CGAACACAGCCAGTGTACCTAGGTACCCAGGTATCCAAATGGTTTCAGGGACGCTCTTAGAGGGTGTGCCTACCTATGTCCATGCCGCTTAGGGTGCACCAATCAAGTCGCTTGATACACCATGAAGATGACGATTTTGGTCCATGGTTACGGATTCATCAAGCAGAAATACATTCTGACTCGAATATAATATTCAGATTTTGGAGGTGTCGGCCACCAAGAGACACTCTCTTCGCCGTAGCTGATCCCACTAGGCGTTCTTGGGAAAGCCACCAAGGCCACCCAGTACATAGTGATGGCTCCCTACCTAGGTATAGCTAATGACAAAGAAATATACCTGAGTACATACCTTCATGAAGAAGAAAGGGCCACCATTCCATACTTTTCTCGATGCTTAATTCGCCGTTTGGATTGGTGTAACAGACGTGTCACACCAGAACATGACACATGCCCTAGTTACACCAGGCTTTGGCGCCCTCGGACCCTGCAACTAACCGCTGCAACTACAAAAACGCCTCGCGACAGCACCAGCGCCTGGCCAAATTCTTTGTTACTCACACGCCGGTTCAGCCACAACAGTCACAAGATGGTGTCTGCATGCGTTCAAAGTTATATCACCCCGATTCGCCTGGGCAATAACAAAAGGGGGCCATCTATGAATTTTATGAACAAAACTTGTGCTGTATTATAACGTTGACCCAAAAGAAAAGAAAAAGGGAAAAAACACCATGTCGCAAAAAAGACCAACCATTGTCCCGTACCGCCAAATCAGAGCCCAGTACGACGACACCACAATCACCGTCTACCAGGCCTTTTCCCCTTCCATCGCCACTGCCGCTGTCGCCGCGCAGCGTCTCGACGCCTCGCCTGACTTCAAGCACGGCCGCATGACTTGGGTCAAGCCCAGCTGGGCCTGGATCATGTACCGCGCCGGCTACTCCTACAAGGACGCCCGCCAGGCTCGCATCCTCGCCTTGCGCGTCACACACGAGCACTTTCTCGGTCTCTTGCAGCGCGGCGTCCTTTCCCACGGCGAGACTGTAGCAGCGACAACCGCCGCCGCGACCAGGATCAGAACGGCGCCGGGCCGCAACGACATCGTTCGCATTCAGTGGGACCCGGAGCGCACACCGGCACTGCAGAGGCTGCCGTACCGCAGTATCCAGATTGGCATCCCGGGCAGCCTGAGCGAGCGCTGGGTGAGCGAGTGGATCGTCTCTATAGAGGACGTCACGGAGACGGCAAAGGACCTCAAGAGGACGCTGGATGAGAACGACCATGTGCCACTCGAGCTGCTGATTGCGCGGGGTCTCGTTCCTGTCGAGAGGCCGTTTGCTGTCCCCGATAGCATCATGACCAAGTTGGGCATGACACGACCAGATCAGAGTCCTTGATCGTATCTTGTCCATAACGATTAGCGGGTAATGAGTAATAGGTAATCACAGCTTCGCACGTTTTGGAGAATAGCCACCTTCTAGGCCCCATAATCCCAATCACAAATCTCAAGCGAGGCCCATGCTCCCGAATCAAGTGTAAAGTATTCACCATCCATTGTCTAATCTTGTACAGCAGCCAACAAATGCAGTCAGGCTCATGTCTCAACAATCAAGACGCAATGCGCAGTCGTCTCTCAAGTCTCCCCATAACGTCAAATCAAAAGGAAAATGCTCCCAAAGAACGCCGTAAAATAGAATCCCATCCATGTGTACAACTGAAGCCGTCGCCGTCTTTCGTTTCACAATTCTCCCGTCGTCTCGATGCCCTAAATTATAGAGCAATGCTGCCTCGTCGGTTCTCTCGCACGTGCAGCATGCCTTGGCAACCGCAAAACACAAAGAAGCCCTGGCACAATAAGTCAGCGGAACAGGTACAACAAGAACAAGAAACGGGTCAAGGACGCACCAGATAGACAAATACGGCCGTGAGAATGGTGCCCGAAATGGCGACGCCCTCCTCCGGTGTAGGATCCTCGTTGCCCCCGACAAACTCCTCGTGGCCGCTTCGGTACACAATCGCCAGCACGGACAGGATCACCATCGCAAAAACGGAGACAACGGTGCTGGAAGAATGTTAGCTCATGCGGGCCGTGCGGGCGAATCTTGAGCCTCTCGACGAGAGAGGAGAGGGGGGGGGGGAGCTCTGGTGCAACGTACCAGGACCACGCGTGGCCGGCGCTGACGACGGGCTTCATGGCGGGCGGCGGTTCTGTCGTGAGCAGGTAGCCTGGGAGAAATTTAAATCAGTCGAGTGGGGTTGCCGCGCGGGTGTGCTCGTTTCGTCGGCGGCGATGAGAGAGGGGAATGATGAAGCTGATGATGGGATGCCTTTGGCTAGCTGTCGCTGTGACGCAGGAGCTTCTGGCTTCTGTTGCGCGTGTGGAGACGCAACCGCTGCGCCTGATTGGCCATGCCCGATACAGATATTCTACGCCTGCAGAGTCTTGGTTCATAACGCCTGTGAGAAAATTACAATTATGATTCATTGATGCATTGATCATGGCCGCTACTCAATAGAATCGATGCGTTTCTGCGAGTTTTCTCGGAAACCATGCACAGCGCGAACAGGCGATGCGCCCTCACTTAACCTGCAGCATGGTCCTACAGCTAGGCAGCCTTGTCACTCATTGTTCAGCCTCACAAAAGCCGCAAATTCAAGGTTGTTACAGTGTAATACAAAAATGTTTAGTGAGTATTTTCATCATATTCGTCGGCTCGTAAAAGGGTGATCCCCGGCCCTCTACCGGGGCCCTCCAAGAATCATCTCCTTGCACACTCGTAGTCTGCTCCGCGCCTCCACCAGGAGCTCGGTGTCAACTTCATCCAATATCCCCACCATGACATCCAGCAGGTCCGGCAGCCCGTCGAAGAGCGTTGCTGCCGACCGCTGGTCCAGCTCCAGCAGTGCCGCCACGCGTGATAGGTACTCGGTCATGCGTCCCTCCGTTGTGCTCGCCACGTTGGGCGATTTCAGCGGCAGTGGCTGGCCCGTCGAGCGCCCCATCGCCTGCACAAACGACCAAATCGTGAGCACGGCGAAATACATGATCCATGGCCTATGCGGGTCCGGCTCGTCGTGGATGGAGTACCTCCCGCCGCTCGTCTCGGGCAATTGCGCGTGGGACGGCATGGGTACCGCTCCGCGTCGCCGGGCCATATGGTAGTGCTGGTTGTGGTACGGCTCTACGAGGACGCTGTGCAGCAGCCGAAAGGCATGGTGGATGGCGTGCCGCGTTGATCCGAGCTTGGCCCACGCCACCATGCGCTTCATGGCGTTGGCGTAGTCGCGAGCCGACACCTTGCGGCCGAGAATGCGCTTCGCCCCCGCGTATACCTGACAGTCGATAATGTCCACGTTGGGCGTCATGTGGGCAAGGTGAAACAGCAGCCGTGCGCTATGAATGGGCCCGTTGGCGAGGCCGCGCTTCGGCCCGGCCGCATGATTCTGGCCGCCACCGGACGGCGGCTCGGACATGGAGCCGGACATGGCCATGTCGAAGCTGACCTTCCAGTTGTCAAAGGCGAGCAGAAGCATCTTGCGCCAGTTGTCCTGGACTTCGGTCGACGGCGTGCGTAGGTCGAGCCACTTGAGGTGCGTCTCTCGGTGGCTGAGGTGCCAGCCGACGCTCAGCAGGCCGGAAATGATAATCATGCGCCCAAACGAGTGCGTCTTGACCTCTTTACCATGAAGCGCACTTTTGAGGCCGTCTAGGAAGGAAACCTGCTTGAAGCCGTACATGCGAAAGTTAGCATCGAGCTGGCGCACCTCGTCGGGGCTGTTTGCGGCCCAGAGGTTGTCGTCGCAGGGCAAGGGCAGGCGGATCTCGTGCGGCGCCATGTCTGCGGCATGACCAAAGATGGCAGCGTGGATAATGTCCAGCATAAAAGCGGCAAAGACGACTCTGTGCATGGACTCGGTTTCCGCCCAACGAGTCCACCACGTATGAGAGTCCAGAGGCATTCCAGACGCTCCACGTTCAATGAGGCTCTCTGGCTCAGCTGGGGACTCGCTGCCTGATAGGCCGATCAAGGGGCTACCTCTTCGAAGCAGTGTGAGAAAGGCAGAGTGGTAGATATGCGCTCGTTCATGGAAGCGTCTTGATGAGTACAGCTTCTCGTGAAATTCTACCAGAAGCAGAGCCTGCGCCACCCAAAGATTCGCAGGAGGCGCCGAGTCATCCGAGGTTAGAATCTCCCACCGCACGGAGTGAATGATGACGTCTGCAAAGGCTCCATATTCCGATTTCTGGCCTGTCTCGTCCCTGTTCCGAAGCGAAGCAGCACCCAGGGCAATCATGACCAATAATAGAAATATTGAGCAGCGGCTGGCAGAAAATGTATGCTGGTGCACAATCGGCAGTCTCGGAGACAAGCTATCCCAGAATTCCTTGAGACAATCTCGCAGCATTTCGCTGTTCAGTGCCGGCAGGTCACCGCCGCTCTCCTGCGTCAACGTAGTCATGAAAGAATCGTACCTCGGCTGCTTTTTTCGGAAAATTTGGAACCATTGTAAGATCTCCTTGCGTCTTACTTCTGCAATCCATTCATCTGGTGCTTCTGAGTGTCGAGGCGGTGTAGGTGCGACTGGAGAAAGACTGTTGAGGGACTCATAGTCGTACTGTATCGTGTTATTGAACGTCGACTCTAGGCCGCCGTCCAGGAAAGGGAGGTTGGAAACATTGAAATCACCATAGGTGGGTTGGGGATCGAAGAGCCAGGCAGCAAAGTTGCCTTGGCTCATATGGCTGTCTGGAGGGTAGGAAGCCGCATGAAATGGTATCAAATCAGCGGTCTCTGGCAACGACGTCGGGTCGCTGGCATAAAAGCTATTTCGGTGACGCATCATAGGAGGCTGCGACTGTTCATCCATTGGCGTTGACCAGACGGTACTCTGGTGGCTAGACCGACCGTGGAGGACGTGTCCAAGTGTCGTTGGCGTCGGCTCCGTGTTTGAGTCTGGTGTCAGCAGAATGGCCGCATCGTGCGGGCCTCCCGAATGCAGATGCGAACGATGGCCGTACGATGGCCGCGATGCTATCGCTGCAGCATTTGCATTTTGCTCCCTTGGTACAAGATCCAGCGTAGAGCTACGGTCCACAGACGTGTCGAAGCTGGGGATGCGGTTACGCGGTGTATAGGACGCAGTGTGGCGCTTCTTGTGCCTGGCCAGCAGATCCAGCCGGACAAATTTCTGGTCGCAGTCGCCCACGTCGCACCTGAAAATGTCCTTGGGGTTGTCTGAGAAAGGTTGGGGGGTTGCGAGTTAGCCTGGCTGTGGGGGTCTGGCGTTGCATGGGGAGTGCATCGGCGTCGGCGTCTGCTCGTGCGCGCGCGCGCGGCGGTAGTGGGTTGGTGCTGTCTTACGGTTCAACTGATGACGCTGCAGGTGCTCAGCCCTGGAGTAAATCTTGTCGCAGCCAGGGTGCTCGCAGATGAACTTGCGCGGCGCCCCTTTGCGGCTCGCGCGCTTGTACCCGCCTCCATTGACGGACATTGGGGTAGGCTCGGTGGGAGAAGTGGGCAACCGCACTCGGTATACAAGACAACTCGTTCTAGAAACTCTTGGTGCCTTATCCGTTACGTGGGCGGGGTCTTGGGATCCGAAGTATCCTCGACGAAGGAAATAACGTTTTAGACCAGGATGCAGGTAAAGCGTGCAAGTAGCAAAAAATTATGTTCATCTTCGCGGGGAAGTCCCACGCTGCAACCCCGGGCTGACCCCCACCGAATACACCCTTGGGCTCCCCACACTCTGCTCTCAGCCGAATTCCGTGGGGGTACCTAATTCAAGCCGTTAGAATTGTCCGACGGTCCCAAGGCGGAATTGATGCAGGCAAAATTGGTATTCAACTCATGCAGCGGCGCACAAGTTTAGTCATGCGAGCGCTGCCGGTGGCTTGACATCTGTTATTCGTAGCAAAAGGCGTTTCGCAGCTCTCACTCAAAGACTGGTGCGAGATCAATGTTGTCTCGGGCTGCTTTGTTTGGGGCTGCTTTATTTGGGGCTGCTTTATCTCATCTTTATATGTGAAAGTCTATTCTGCGTCAAAGATAATGTATACTCGCGCTGGGTCCTCAAACGTCCATCCAGAGCCCACCTACCACTGAGCACTGAGTGCTTGAGTATCATGGAGATTCCGCCATCCTCCCGGATGCAGGCATGCTTTAGCGAGATTTCCGTCCTGCTCTTGTGCCGCAAGGTCTTGTGGCAGTCAACCACTGTGCAGATGTGGAGCCATAGTCCGATATGTGTCACGCGTGGCAAGGTAGATGTGCCCTCCTGCCACACTCGGTGCAGTATATCGTTTGTGCTGCTGCGGCTTTCTGTGCGTCCCAAATTTCGACACTCTTTGCCGACTTTACTTAGTGAGTTTGCCTTTTTACCCACTCTTTATGAGCTGGTCTCGAGGTTGCCATCCTCTACAGTCTCTTCCACCTCGATAGAGGCCGCAGCGTTATTCAGACCCTCGTCAGTGTTCTCGCTCTCGAGCTTCTTAAGAAAAGACAGAAAGTATTCCGAAACCTCAGTCTTTTCATTTTGGTTGGCCAAGTCCAGCGGTACGTAATCGCGCTCGTTGGCAAGAGCAGGTGAAGCACCGTGCTCCATGAGAAGCTTCACCACATCCAGGTGGCCTCCGAGAGCCGCCCAGTGCATGCCAGTGTTTCCATGCTCATTGGGCTCATCCAGAAAAGCCTGCTTCTCCTCTTTTGATCTACCCTCGAAACATTGAATGACCTTGCGTACGGTTTCTAGTGCATGTCAGTCTCCCGCCCTTGGACAAGGCCAGCCTGAAAGCTTTGCCAATCATACGATGTGAAACCCCGGAAGTTCTTACCTAAATGACCGTTGCCAGTTGCCATGTGAAGCACGGTAGATTTGCCCTCGTCCTTGGTCGCCATGAGAATGACGGCGGGCGCAACCTTTTCACGCTCTGCTAGCGCGGTCACGCTTTCCATAAGGTCGACATCTTCGCCAGTGCGAGCAAAGTAAATAAGGTCGTCGATCTCATCTTCTGTCAGTTGAGGGGCCATCTTTTCTGGTTATCTTATGCTGGTGTGCTCATCCGCCAACGTAAAGTGAGCCGTTGACACAAAAATTTTGGCGAGTGAGGGGACTGTGGGAATGAGGGAACCCCGCAGTTCTCGCACTGTGTACTCTTGCGGTACAGGGTATCGCTATCAGATCAAAGAAGTCATGGTGGGAGCAAGAGCCAGAAAATTGTTTCCTAGGAACGAAAGAACAAAAATATTCAGATTGCTAGTTTCAGTGAGTAATATCGAGTATTTTCTGCAGAGCAGCATCTAGCCAGCTTGTGATGTCACCGTTGTCGTCTAAAGACTGAATCTCAGCCTTAGTCCCCAATACCAGCATTATCTGGAGCTCACGGCGAAGTAACATATGTTCAACGTCAATATCTTCGCCTTGAAAACCCTTAGACAACATCCGGGTCGCGCATAATCTATCGCGGTTTGTTAGATTTAACAGACAATAGTCAGACAGCATCTGTGTTTGTGTTTTGGCAAACGCCACAGCCCTGCTGTCAGTATCAAGGGAGCCTAATTGGCCAGATTGTATTCCAAGCCACCCGAAATTAACCTTGAGGTTGCTAGACTCATGAGAGAAGTTTTTTGTTCCATAACGGTAGCATGAGAAAATGTTTAAACCATCAGGATCGAAATCGGACAAGACGAGCATTGGTAGCTGCGGGCAATCGACTTGTACCAGGGCCAAAAAGCTCCTCGTCATCAAATCTGGATAGCCCTTGGCCTAGAATACATCAGAATCTTGACCGCAGTAATGTGCTCCAATTTAAATCATACCGTCACTAGTATTCCACGGCCAGCCAAAGATGTTTCCCAGAAGCGGACTGCAATGAGCGACCGAAAGACCGCCTGCATTTTGTCAGCCGGGATCTCCGTGAAGGAGTCGTATTCGTACGTCTTTCTCAACTACGAGTAGCCACCTGGCATGGCGAGCTTCGATACGTGAAATCGATCTGGTCAAAGGGACCGTAACACCCTGCAAGAGTTAGAAAGTGCTCGCTAGTTCGAGCTAACTACATACTAGTTCCGTTTCTGAGGCATCTACCACTTCACCGCTGTGCAAATAGATGCTCATGCAGCCTGATATCGAACCTTTAGAAGAAGCAGTCTTTTCTGTCAGACAGTGCTTTGCAATGGGTTGGTTGGCTTACAATGTTGAGGTTGTCTCGATCGACACCTATTGTGTAAGCTAAATCGTCGACGAGTTCATCGACAATTCTTTGGGTCTCGAATAGCTCTTGGTGCTGATAATAAATGTGTCTGTAGGTGTTGGTGAGTAGTTCAAACCAAAAACATAAAAAGCGTTAACCTTTTTGTCAAAATTGTACCTGTAGTCATGGCCTGATGGGCCAGCTGCATGATCAAAAGTACCCGTGCTGTTCTTGTGAGTAAAGCGGTTTTCCGGGATTTGGAGACTAACCGAACTTGCGCGCTTCCACAGCAGATGAACCAGGGAATCTCACAAACCTCTCCTCGCGACTTCCAGGTCGAAAGCGCCGTCTTCGTGAAGAAAAAGATAATTTTAACTCGCGTGCATTGGCGAGAGCATCTGCAACACCTTCTAGCGCGTCCTCGATACGACCGATCACGGATGCCGATGTAAGCCGCAATCCGGCAGATAGGCTACTATTCAGACTCATAATTCAACGAGAACAATTAGTCTGGATAAATGATGAATGAAGAGTAAATCACAGGATTTTGATGTATTTTGACCAAACAAACGGGCCTCGCATCAGCAAACGGCTGCCAGCTGCCAGCTGCCGGGGGCGGTGGTCCGAATTCGAGATGCCCCACCCGGCTCCCGTGCCGGTGACAGGGGTCAATCTCATTTCCGACAGGGGCTAATCTAAATTCTTCGTACTCGTTCAAATCGTGACGAGACAAGCACGAAAAACTGAAAAAGCTCCGAGACGCAGCCACAACAAAGTTGTGCCGCTTCTCCGATGCAAATGCAGTGTCACCAACTATTATAAAGGCCCAGTGGCTGAATTGATTTCACAGAATTTTTCCTCACGCTATTGATCATTGTTTTTGCCATGGCGACAACGACCGGTCGAGAAACACGCTCTGCGCGCAAGCGTACCAACGGCAGCGCACGCGAAACCGCAAAATCAAACGTCGAGGGCAAGACAGACTATGCGCGCTGGCGCCTCAAAGACGACGACAGTCGACATACCTGGCACTATCTGACTGATGATGACGAGTTGGACAAGTGGCCCCAGAGCAACGCAGAAAAGTACTTTCTGAATCTGCCCTTGGTAAGGCCTGAGCCCACGGCTCTGCATATATTCGAGAACTCCTTATCAGGGACATGATGCTAATCCGCCTCATTGAAGGGTCTGCCTGACCTCCCACAAGCGACAACTGCCATCGATGCTGCGAAGAACGGAATCAATTTTTTCGAGAAGCTCCAACTACCCTCTGGCCACTGGGCTTGCGAGTATGGCGGCCCCATGTTTTTGCTGCCAACAGTCGTCTGCGCTTGGTACGCTACCAAGACACCCATTCCGGAAGCCTATGCCATGGAGATCAAAAACTATCTCGCCGCACGCGCCCACCCCGAAGATGGAGGCTGGGGTCTGCATATCGAGGGCGAGAGCACCGTCTTTGGCACTAGTCTCAACTACACAGTACTGCGCCTCATCGGCGTCGACCCCGAGGATCCCATCATGGTCAGGGCGCGCGGCATCCTACACAAGCTCGGAGGCGCTTTGTACGCCCCTCACTGGGCCAAGTTCTGGCTGGCCACGCTCGGTGTCATGAGCTGGGACATTGTCAACCCCATCCCGCCCGAGATTTGGCTGCTGCCTGACTGGGTGCCGATTGCACCGTGGCGCTGGTGGATTCACATTCGTCAAGTTTTTCTGCCCATGGGCTATGTGTACTCGAAGAAATGGAGCTGTCCCGAAGACGATATCATCCGAGGCTTGAGAGAAGAGCTTTTTGTCGAGCCCCATGCCCAGATTAACTGGGCCAGTCACCGCAACAGCATTGCGCCCGAGGACAACTACCATCCCAAGTCTTGGCTGCTCAACAGCGTCAACTGGGTGCTTGTCAATATATATAACCCCTACATTCGACCAAACTTTATCAAGAACAAGGCGGAAGCCTGGTGCAGCCGGCTTATCGACATGGAAGACGCCAACACAGACTACGCAGATCTAGCACCCGTCAATGCACCTATGAATACGGTCGTTTGCTACATTCGAGACGGCCCCGAGGCTTTCTCGGTCAAACGACACATCGAAAGATTGGAGGAGTTTCTGTGGGTCAAGGACGAAGGCATGCTCGTCAACGGCACCAACGGCGTGCAGTGCTGGGACACTGCGTTCCTCATCCAGGCCGTGGTCGAAGCCGGTCTGCACACAGACGAGCGCTGGCGCCCGATGCTGACCAAGGCGCTGCGCTACCTCGACCGGCAGCAGATTCGTGACAATTGCGTAGACCAGGAAAAATGCTACCGGCAGCAGCGCAAGGGCGGGTGGCCATTCAGCAATCGCGATCAGGGCTACGGCGTCAGCGACTGCATCTCAGAGGCGCTCAAGGCTATCATTTTGGTGCAGAAGACGGAGGGCTACCCCAAGGCACTCGAGGACCAGCGGATCTACGACGCCGTTGACACGCTGCTGCTGTACCAGAACAGCAACGGCGCCACGTCGTCGTACGAGGCGCGCCGCGGCGGCGAGTACATGGAGCTGCTCAACGCCGCCGAGGTGTTTGGCCGCATCATGATTGAGTACGACTACCCTGAGTGCACGACGGCCTGTGTCACGGCGCTCTCGCTCTTTCACAAGCACTGGCCGGCGTATCGTGCCGCCGAGATCCAGACATTTATCCGCCGCGCCACTAGCTGGATCCGCGGTAACCAGCGGCCTGATGGCAGCTGGTACGGTAGCTGGGGTATCTGCTTCACATACGCGACCATGTTTGCGCTCGAGAGCATGGCGAGCGTCGGCGAGACGTACAGCAACAGCAACGTCTCGAAAAGGGGCTGCGAGTTTCTGCTATCCAAGCAGCGTGCCGACGGCGGCTGGTCAGAGAGCTACAAGGCTTGCGAAACCATGACCTATGTCGAGCACCCGATGGGCTCGCTGGTGGTGCAGACGGCCTGGGCTCTCATCGGTCTCATGGAGGCTGATTACCCCGACGTTGAGCCGCTCAGGAAGGGCATCAAGCTCATTGTGGACCGCCAGCAGGCCAACGGCGAGTGGCTGCAAGAGGCAATTGAGGGTGTCTTCAACAAGTCGTGCATGATTTCGTACCCCAACTACAAGTTTACCTTTACCATCAAGGCTCTCGGCATGTTTGCTAAGAGGTTCCCAGATGAGAAGTTTTAGCTGCCGCAGCAGCGACTGCATACGACGGACGAGAAGCCCTTACGATAATATTAATAGTAACACAAAAAATTGCTCCATTTATATGCTTCGTGAAATCATCTAGTGTCCGTTACAGTATTTACTAGTTCATGACTCTATTGCTTGCGGCTAGAGCTTGCCGATCCTGTCTTGAACAGCTGTTCGTAACAGGGAGATCACCTCGGCCGGGTCCTTGGCGCCAAAGACGGCGCTGCCGGCGACGATGACGTTGGCGCCCGCGTCGGCAGCCTGGCCAATGGTGCCTGGTCCGAGGCCGCCGTCTACTTCGATGTTGAGTTCCGGGTATCGTTGGCGCAGAGCCTGCACCTTGGGAAGCTCCGTGGCCATGAATTTTTGACCGCCAAAGCCTGGGTTGACCGTCATGACAAGAACCATCTGTACGAAGGGAGATATTATTAGCATAGTTGGAGGTGCAGTGGCCAACCAGAGGGTTGGGAAGTAAGCCCGAGTCAGCGTACGTCAGGTAGTTCTTTGGGGTCTGAAGCTTCGAGAATCTCCCACAGCACATCGACAGAGGTTTCGGGCTTGATGGCGATGCCGGCGAGCATGCCATTGTCGTGGATATAGCGGATGAGGTCTCGGGGGTTCGTCTTGCCCTCGGAGGCGGCTTCAGGGTCCGTAGCATCAGTGGAAAAGGCAGCCTCATAGTGGAAGCAATAAAGATCGCAGCCGACGTCTTTAAAAGATTTGACCCATTTCTTGGGCTATTCGAACATCCAGGTCAGTATGTTTTCGTCCGGGACATCCGAGTATTTGAAGCGGCGCGCACCTCTGCAACCATCATGTGGCAGTCAAAAGTACCACGGCCATGGTTCTCGGTCGGCCTGTCGACGAAGCCTCGGATCTTGGCAACAACGGGCGCGCCGAACGTAATGTTGGGCACAAAGTGGCCATCCCTGTTGGTCGATGTTGCGAGGTTAGCGACGAGAGAATGCGCAATGGGGGATGCGGCTTCGATGATGCTGACATGATGTCGACGTGAAGCCAGTCGGCGCCCTGTTCCATGGTGCGGGCACAGGCGTGGCCGAAGTTGGCAAAGTCGGCGCTCAGCACCGAGGGTGCGATGATTGCTTTGGGCGCCATGGTTGTCAATTTGCGTGTGAGACGAAGAAAGAAGTGAATATATGGCGCAAAAGAGTGTTTGAGAGGAAGAGAAAGAGAAGAACCGGTAAACCCGGGGTCGGGAGCGAAGAGTCCAGGCCACAGAGGACCGATCTTTGGTGGGGTTTGAGTAGCGGTTTTCCTTGGTGGTGGGGGTTTACAATAGTTACGGGACCTGAGAAGCAAGAGAAGTTATGGGGAGCTAAGCTGAGCGAGGGGAAGCTCAACTGAGAAGCGTCGCGATGATATAAATGTAATTAATTGGACGTCGAATTGATAATGCGGGAGAGCGGACTGGATGAGATTAGTCGGATTCATAATGACGGACATGCCGCATAAATTGCATTAGCTATTTTCGAGCTATACACACTGCCGGCCCATCACGCCGTTTGCTCCTAATGACGGAGTACAAGGCTGCCTTCGTTTGCGGCGCTGCGCCCCACTAGAAAGAAGCATCTCGACTGTTTCCTCCTCAGGAACGTTTCCTCACGTTTCCTCCTCTGCAAACGATATCACCATCTTGAATCCTGCCTTTCAAATCTCGAGCAGCTTGCCAGAGAAGGCTCGCCACGCACTCCGAAAAGCATATCGCATTCCTTTTTTCGCAAATGTCCCACATCACCCTCGCCCAACAGGGCCTGGCCGCCGTCGAGGCCAAGGATTGGGACGGCGCCATCACCAAGCTTTCTAAAGCGCTGCAGTCGTCGTCCAACCCAGCTTGGCTGCTCGCACGCTCCAAGGCGCTCATTAATCTGCAACGCTTCGAGGAGGCCCTGGATGACGCCAACCTCGCCTGGCACACGGCCTATGAGCGTAATAAGAGACCGCTGATGATCGAGGCCCATTACCGCCGTGCCGTGGCTTATTTCCGCCAGGGCCAATTTGCCAACGCCGACGCCTGCTGCGTCTACGCCATGCGCCTCATCAAGGGTGCGCCCGCCATCGAGAAGGAGGACCCGGTCGCGCACCTCAAGGACCCGGCGACGGGCCGCTGGACGGCGACAGCCAAGGATGCCATGCAGGAGGCGCAGAGCGACTCTATCAACAAGAGCAAGGGAGACGCGGCGGCCGTTGCTATGGGCCAGGAGCAGGTGCCGCACAGCAAGGAGTGGCGCATGGCGAGCACGCTGCGTATTCAGATTCTCAGGGCGTTGGAAAACCTGCCAGCAGACGACTCCGCGCGAATCGCGACAGCACCGCCAAGACCGGACAAGAAGAAGCTCGCAGATTTTTCTAGGGCCACGGAGGAGGCTAAGCCAGCTACACCAAGTGTAACTTCCGAGACCTCCATACCCAATTCAATACAAACACCTGCTGCCGCGAAGCCAGCTGTGCCTAGCGATGCACCGCTACGACTGCAAGATTTCCAAAGCAACACAAACATGTCGGTGTCTATATTCTCCAAGGGTGTTAACAAGGAGACGCTCAAGGTTGATTTTCAGCCGCATTCCGTTCATCTTGATCGCGTCATCTATCCCAGCGGTGAAGAGAGGGAGTTTCAGCTCGATCTGTGGGGAGAAATCGACACGACGGCGTCCAAGTACACCGTCACACCGAACAAGGTCGAACTGAGCCTTGTCAAGAAGACGCCTGGGAAGTGGGCTCAGCTGAAATCGGATGGCCGACCTAGGGAGGCAGCCTCTTCATCAGCAACCGCTGGCGCTCCAAAGATCGAGTCAGTTTCAGCTACTCAAACCTTCGTCGAACCCAAAGCGCCAGCCGCCGCGGGCCCTGCGTACCCTACATCGTCACGCACCGGCCCCAAGAACTGGGACGCGCTCGACGTCGGCGAGGATGGCAAGGAAGACGAGGACGGCGACGTCAACTCGTTCTTCAAGAAGCTGTACAAAGGTGCGACACCCGAACAGCAGCGCGCCATGATGAAGAGCTTTACGGAGAGCAACGGCACTAGCCTGAGCACAGACTGGAACGACGTCAAGGGCAGAACCGTCGAAACGATCCCGCCAGAGGGTGTCCAGGCGACGAAGTGGGAATAGAGCAGTTGGAAGCTACCAAATCATTTTGTTTGATATAGGCGCGAGCGAAAATCATACCAGCAGGAGAATAGCTACAGACTGTGCATCTTTGACAAGAGAGCCAGACACTGGACCCGAAAACAAACGCATATTCATCAAGCTCTGCTAAAGTAATAACAATAGCTATATACTACTCTATTCATTCATCATATTCCCTCGTCAAAGTCTGCCCCTCGTCTATCGTAGAACATAAGTCTATCGTCATTCTATTTTTACGCCATCTTGTCAACCATTTCCTGCGCCTCGGCCTTCCACACCCCATGCGCCCCTAGCTTCTCCTCGAGTTCCCCGTACCACACCGCACCATCCGCATTTGCCTTGTCCGCCAGCTCCTGCGGGATCTGCGTCGCAATACTCACAAAGTCTTCCTGCGCGATATACGTGCCCCGCAACCACCGGCTGCCCCCGCCCGCCGCATCAAACGCCGTCCTCCCATGCATCACCCTCAGATTATCAAACAGCACGCACTCGCCCGGCTGCATCTTGCGCTGATACATGGCTTCCTCGCCGTTAATCAGCCCCTCGAATACCCTCGCCCCCGCCAGCCACGGCTGCAGCGGCGGCTCGTCCGCGCCGCGCGCGCCCTGAAACGGCGGCGACCAAAACACATTCTCGAAGCGGCCCTCGGCGTCGTAGTGCAGCAGCGGGCGCCGCCGCGCGTAGCTGTACCCGTTGCGCGTGTACGCGTACGGCACGGGCTGCTGCCGTAGCGGCGCGGCGAGGGCGGGGTGGTGCCGGAGCAGCAGCCGCGCGGCGCGCTCGCCGTCGGAGAAGAGCGACTCGCCGCCCGCGCACGAGTTGTCGAGGCAGTGCAGGATCTGGATCTTGGGCGGCGGGTCGAGGTACAGCAGGTCCTGGTGCAGGCCGAGGTAGCCGGCGGTGTAGGCGACGTTCTCGGCGTGGGGTTTCGCGCGCACGTCAAACGTGCGCCCGTAAAATGTCTCCCGGATGCTGGCAATGCGCATGGCGATGCGCTCGACCGAGGACTCGTCGCGCGGCACGTTGGAGAGGCAAACGAGCCCCAGGCGGACGAGGTCGAGGACCACGGCCCAGAGCGGCGCGCCGCCGGCCATGAAGGCGGCGTAGTCGATGGAGCGCACGCGCTGGGTGATAAGGGACCGGTCCCAGAGGGTGATGCCGAGTCGCGACCGCACAGAGTTGAAGACGGGCGGCACGGCGGCGACGTCGACGGGCAGGCGGGCCCCGAGCGCGACTTCGAGGCTCTCCCAGGGCACTGCGGTTTCATGGTCTGCGAACCGCGGGATGTCATTGTGATAGGTGATGCGCAGGCCGTCAGCCGTCTCCCGGACGCTGGCGACGGCGAGACTGGGGGGTATCTCGACCGACGCAAAGGTTTTCTGCCCCGACGAGGCATCCTTGCACGCGGCGCACTGGCACCCGTCGCGGAGGGCCGCGGCATCAAGAGTCACGGCCGCGCCGCTCTCCTGCGCCGTAACGACGACGCGGTCGCGGTGCGCAACGTACGAGAGCGGGCCCGTGGCGAGGCCGGCGCGGCGGATCAGCGCCTGCTTGTGGTGACCTTGCTGCTCGCGGAGCTCTTTGAGGCGCCACGGCGGCGGCTGCGCCCGAACTGCGCTGATGCTTGAATCCGCGTCTGTGTTCTGCAGCTCCTGCTGTGTTTTCTGCGCCGTGGCATGAATCGAAGCTCGTCGGACGGGTCTCAAGCCTGCGTGTAGCCGGGGCACTCGGCGTATCCATGCGCGCCCGGGCGAGAGCATCGTGCGCTGTAAGTGGCTTGTTATTTGTATACCAAGTTAGCAAATTCTTGCGCTCTGTATGAAAGATCGAGTTTAAAATCAAAGAGAATGCGCATTGTTAATTAACCTCGGACGAGCGGGAGAGGGGCTGCGCTGTTATATGGAGGTTTGTGGGTTGTGTTAGTTGCCGGCAAGTGGAGGAAGCTGGGGGAGCTGCCTCGGCCGTCGCATCGCCATCCGGTGACGGCCGGATCCGGGTTCCTACCTCGACTTCTGCCAACGCATGTTTTTCTGGCTTCAATTGTCAAGAAAAATCAAAGAGAAATACAAGAAAACTTATTCGAGATGTATTCGGAATTCGACCAAGATGCGCAAGCTGGTCATGCATATACAATTCTCCTCCAAAGTTAAACCGCTAATGTTACACAAAATGGGTATCTATCATACAACCAATCCTCTACCGGTTCCTGTTGGCCGCCCAGCGCTTCACCATGATTTCTCTTACTTTGTACAGTTTCAGTGCATCCGTAAGACCTGATGCAATGGCCTCATCAAACACAGGCGGCGGTGGCACATCCACGTACACGAGCACCAGGCTCTTGGTGACATGTGACAGCACTCTCACCACGCTGTGAAGCCAAGACCACGATTTTGTTTCCGGCTTTTTACCATTGGCTTTCCACCAGGGAGCCGAGTAGGACGGAACCAGAATTAGACCAAATTGGGCGTGGTCAAAGACTGGTCCGCGATTGTACAGAAGCCAGTCGACGCCGAATTTGATGCCCGCGCGAGGGACCCAGCCGAGCGAGCGGAAATGATGATACACGACATAGTGGACCAGGAAGGGGTCGTCTGGTTGTAAATTGTCGGCATCAGGCCCATTTCGCGGCGGTGCATATGAATGTTCGCGGAATAAGCGCAGCATGTCCATGGTCGACAAGTCCAGGCCCGAGTATGGATCCGTTACAGACAGGGCTCCTAACCCGAATTTGAGGAAGAATGCCTCTTGCGGGGTGAGCTGAAGATGCTCTTTGTTGACAACAACGCCCTTGGCGGATTCTGCTGCTGTCGCTGTTGTATCGTCGTTATTGAGGGCTGTTGTCGGCTCAGCACGCTTTCCCTCACGTGCAGCATTGAAGCTCGGGGGATCCGAGAAATCAAACGTGGTAGATTCCACTTTCGGCGAGAATCGAACACTTTTCTGTTGTTTCTCGGAGCCGTCATGAGAAACAGTCGAACTGCCACGAGAGCGGGTTACTGGTGTTTGCGGCGTCGTCGCAGACCCATTGGTGCCAGCGTCCGAGGTGACGCCAGCAAGCTGCTCAATGAGTGAGAGCTCGCGTCGCGGTGCGAGGTAGTCACCGTTTACAAGAATTGACGTAGTCGACTGCTTCGCTTTCGTTACTTTGATATCGGACAGCGAGTTGGGAAGCGCTAGGAGCTCAGCCGGACCAACGGGAGCAAGGATGGTTGCCGCCGCCTCGATCGCGACCACCGCCTTTTGCGCTTCACTGAGCTTTGTTTGACGGATAGCTTCTTGCTCGAGTCTTGCACGTTCCCATTTGGCTTCGGCGCGTTTTTGTCGTCTTTGATTTGTCAGGATTTCACTGACGTGCGTCTCTTCGACACCCTTGCGGACGAGCTCGCGCCTGAGCCAATTCGGCTCACTTCGACTTAAACTACCTTTACCAAAGAAGCCCTGTTCCCACAGGCCCCTCATTGATTTCTCATCGGTGACGTGGACAGAGGTGGTGCCTTCCGACCAAACGCCGCGGTAAACAACGGAGGGTTCCGCAGGCGGTGGGCGTACAGTCTGTTTTAGCCATGCGTACGCTACGTGAATTATGGAAATGGGATTGTTGGGATAGAATGCCGGTAACGGAAAGGTCCGAATCGGCACAGGCAAGGAATATATCTGATTCAAAGGCGGACCTTTGCGTTTAGGCGCAGGCTTGCCGTTGGGCTGGGCAGTAGCCGAGTCCTCCGGCGCCGCGGTAGGCGGAAGTGAGATATTTAATTCAGTCATCGGTCCTGGCCATGTCTTTGTTCTGGTTAGCGCTGGTCCGAAAACGAGATGGTAAGAGAAGCAAGCGGATTAGATATGCTGTATCAGATACCGTTGTAGTCTATTCAGTGGCCTTCACAGAGACCAAATGAATGGATTCTCTAAGCACCGAAATTTGTTGTCATCATAACAGCGGGGATAGAAGCGAATTGCTTCGAGTGGCTAGGGGAATCAAGTGTGCAAAGTCTTGTACTACGGACGTGCGCAAGAGCAGCGCTCGGAAGAATTTTTGCTTACCTTTTACAGCATCGCCATCGACAGGGCGGTGAGGCAGAGTCGCCTCGATTGCAATGAAAATGCCGACAATCGAGCGATGTCAGCCAAACTTTGGCTGTCGGCGCGTCAAAGAGACTTCTTGCGGATGTAGAGAAGGAAGAGTGAGAAGAAGAAGCTTGCACAGAAATTTTTTGACTATGGAGTCTTGTTGGCGGAGATCACGGGTTTGCGAGGTACCCACCTTTCATCACAGCTTCCCAACTGCGTATCCGTATTCAAGCTAAATCTGTGCCTCGTTCCACAATTGAAAAACAAAGGACCATACAACAGCACGTATCAAGCTGAACAAACACTCTTCAATAAGCAAATGCCACTTGAGATTTTGTAATGTCAAGCCCAGTGTCACATCCGGAGGGAAACTTTAGAAACGCGTAGTGATTGTAGAATCAATGTAATGGTTAAAGAGCAAGGACGCGGTATGATTTTAGTGATGAATTCTGCCCCTCAGCGTCCACACGCTTCACCTAGCCACTACGTACACACAGCTAAGCCATAAACTGGCTAACACTTCCTATGTTTTGAATGATCATTGAAACTCGGAAAGAACTCTGAGCCACAAATTGGTTGACACCTCTTGCTGTTTTTAGTTGGCAATGTTTTGGTTGACAATCGGAAAAATCCAAGCACGGGGCAAAAAATCAAGGCCCCATCACAAGACCATGTTCACTTGACTCCATCACCGATCGGGCCCCGACGTCTTTTCTTCTCGCTCGGAACTCACGGATGCAGAAAAGGCTCTTTGCCTGGGAAAGTCTTGTGCCTCCTGCTGGTGCTGACCGACACTTAGTATTTATTGCACTCTTATTTCCCAATTTTAGAGCTGAAGACCGCCGCCCGAGGCAGCAATGTCCTGGTTTGTTGAGACTGTTGCCACCATCTGCCTTGTTTGGTGCTGCTTCATTGTTATTGTCCAAACGGTCGGCATTTGTGCAATGTACGTCTCGTTTCAGCTGCTCCAATGAGACAGGCGACTTTTCTGACTTTGATTGAACAGTTTCCGCTACTTTTCGCGCCAACCACAACCGTCAATCTCGGCCAAGCAAGGCAGCGAGGCACCCTGGGTCACTGTCATCCGTCCCGTCAAGGGACTCGAGCCCAATCTCTACGACTGTATCGCCTCGACCTTTCGCCAAGACTACCCGCACGATCGCTACTCGATTCGACTTTGCGTCGAGGATGTTGACGACGCTGCATACCCGATATTGGAGCAGCTTGTTCGCGACTTCCCCGGCTTCGATGTCCAGATCCTCGTCGAGGCGCAGGACCCCGTCCTGCACGGGCCCCATGGCCACATTGAAAACTTAGGACCGAATCCCAAGATTCGAAATATCAGCAGAGCATATCGAGAAGCCAAAGGCGACATTATATGGATCATTGACTGCAACGTCTGGGTGTCGCCTGGGGTCCTCGGCCGCATGGTGGACAAGCTGTCTGGTTTCGCGTCGCAAGGCAAGGTGGTGCGGCCGTACAAGTTTGTGCATCATATGCCGCTGGTTGTTGATACGGTTGACTATAGCAGAGATGCGACGAGTCAACAAGCTCTGCTGGCTTCCACTGGTTCTTCAAACGACATGGGCACCATGAACATGGGCGAGGACCTCAGCACCAGAGTATGGACTCAGGGCGGCGGCCGACTCGACGAAATGTTCATGTCAACTACGCACGTCAAGTTTTACGGAGCCATAAACTCTGTTGGAATTGCCCCCTGTATTGTCGGAAAGAGCAACATGTTTCGAAAATCTCATCTAGAGCAAGTCACTGCACTTTCGCGCCCCTCTGCTCCAGGCAGGCCCTCCAGACCGACAGGTATTGATCATTTTTCGTTTAATATTTGCGAAGATCATCTGATCGGCGATTTACTGTGGAAATCGAACATACCAGGCTTCCTCAACCACGGCATCGTCTGGGGTGATCTCGTCATTCAGCCCATGGCTGGTATGGGTGTCGCCTCGTACGTTGCGCGCAGAGTGCGATGGTTACGCGCACGCAAGTTCACAGTACTAGCTGCGACACTTGTTGAACCGGGTGTCGAATCTATCCTGTGCTGTGCATACCTCGCATTTGCGCTCACGACTCTGCCTTGGTTCCATCGTAACCTGGGCATTCCGCAAACGTGGACAGCTGGCGGTTGCATTTGGCTGATTGCCATGACTGCATGGCTGACGGTGGACTGGTTCATCTTTCAACATCTTCATACTGGCAACTCGATGAAGACAGACGCAAGCACGCCAAAGTTTGCTCAAGGCACCCGGAGAAGCGGCGGCATGAACAAACGGCCATTCAAAGAATGGTTGCCGGCCTGGATTGGTCGTGAGGTCCTGGCGCTCCCTATTTGGACAACTGCCGTGCTGCTGGGAACGACTGTGAGTTGGCGCGGAAGATCATTCTCGGTCAATATGGACGGTGCTGTGAAAGCCATCGGTGACAAAGACATGCCTGTCAGGCCGTTGCTCAGAACACCAGAGCTGGAACGAGCACGACCTCGAAGCAAGGATCGGCTCGACTAGACTATTACGAGCCTAACAAGTGGCACCGGCATTGCCTGTTGATAATGATAAGGCTAGATTTCGTGACAGCTTGATGAACCTGCTGCCTCCGAAATATCCAGCTGCAGGCCAGCCGCTTTGAGACAGCGATTGCTATGCACATGACTAGAAAGCAGCGGTTAGTAATAAATAGACTAATTTGATACCCCAACATGAGATAGCCAGAATATGTGACCCAACGAGAGGTCCATCTGCCAAAAACAAACTTTGCCAGCATGTGTACAAACACGCAGAGGTGTTGCGAATTCGAAATTTTGTATGCTATCCCGTAAATGCCCTTCTGATTAGTTGTAGATTTGGATGCCAATGATGCCAATGAGGCGTGAAGCCCCGTTGAGTAGCAGTTCCGAGTTATTTTCTTGGACAATGGGTCGTTCTCAGCCAAAGCTTTCGGGTACTGGCCACTCTCACCGCACAATTGCTCTTCAGAGAAATGCTCTAGTTGGAAATGCGCATCAGTGGGCAACTTCCGAAGCGGGATTGTGGACTTCGCATAAGCGCCGTTTCTGGGGCGCGGGGTCGGTCGCAAGATTACGTGCCTAGCCGTTTCAATGATATGGGGCCTTTGCGTGAGGGATATTCTAGAGGTTCTCTGATGATCACATCTGCTGTTGAAGTAGTCGCTATTGGTAGAGGTTGCTTTGTGGGTGATCAGTCAGGCATGTTGGGAGCGAGGCTGACTTGTGGGGAAGACGAGTGCGCTCATGGGCTGATACGTCTGGCCGTTCTGGGTCACTAGCCAAGGCCTGACGCAATTCGGCGCCTGTTTATTTGCCAGCACCGATTCGGGTACTGATACGGATACTGAAGAATGAGATTCGAGCGACGACTGAACAATGCCAACACGGCGCTAGCGGGTGAAGCAGCCCTGCATAGTGGCGGTGGCGGCGGAGGGATACCCCTCTGTCCGGGCTTGGGCTTTGGGGGCATGTGGCGTGGGCAAACAGGGGATCAACTCATGTAATTTGGAAGGCCAAGAAAGAGGCAAAAAGCCAGTGGCTTGCAGAGTTGAGCCCCAATCTCTGGGCACAGGGAAGCGGGGGAGGCATCGTCATTTCTGTTGTCAACGACAGCGTAATACTACCAAGAATATCCGTAATGGGTGGCATAATATCCGAACATTCAAGACATGTTCTCCATAGCTTCTCAGTCATTCATTAGTCTGGGGAGGTGAACAGGTGGTGTCTTGGCGTGGGGGTGTTACATAGGTACAGCCCTTGTACGACTAAACTCAACTGTACTCCAACCTTTTGGCTTTTGCAACTGAGATACATGGCGTCAGACTGTGCGTATAAATGGGAGCACTGAGAGGCATCTGGTATATGCCGATGCAGCATGGAGAGCGCAAGAGAGGCGCAAGTTTATCACGGCGATCTTGCCGCTTGAGGTCAGAAACATCCTTCCAACCCAGCCCATGGGGGTCGCGTGGCGTCGTTTTGGCCTTCTGCGTTGCGGCTAGCGCTCGGCGATTCATTGTCCTGAGGTTGGGATGGGGAAACTAGAGGGCGGCGCGCTGTAATTCGTTCCTTATCTTGCTGCCTGCAATGGAGTCTTTAATAGCCGATGGTTTTGCAAGGATGCACCCTGGTTGAATGTGGTTGTTCGGTAAATGGTTGCGGGCGTGGTGATGCAGAGACGGAGGGCTTGCGGTGGAACATGCCGGAGCTCCATTTCCGTAGAGTTCCGCTGGTTTGGCACTGGGAGCTGAAGCCCGTGCTTGCTCGAGCTAGGATCGGATGCTTGTCGAATGTTCTTCTCGGCGAAAAACGTGTCCCCCCACATCCTCGAAGCCGTAGCAAGAATAAGACGGCGGGCGCGGGGAACGAGCGATGATCTGGTTGGAGTCTTGGACTTGGACGCTAAATATCGCTTTCGCAGCTTGTTGTAAGCTTAATTTTACGCTAGCCTGGAGGAGCCTGTGCGGCCTAGCGGAGGATCTTTGCACTCGGGTTGATGGAGATTGATGGGCAGAAATGAAGGTAAATAGACTTGAAGCGCTGTGTTATCCTGTCGTATGTAGGATACCTCTAAAGCAACAAGCGAGACGTTGGTCAGCACCAGCTTAGCTGCCAGCTGCCAAGCGCAAACACCAGCAAAAGTTGCCTACCCGTTTGCCCTACCCAATTATCTGTAGACACTCAACACTCCACATCCTCAAACACCAAACTTTTCTAACAACTCAATTTCTGCGCTACGAATACAGCTTTCTCCGCATCATTCAGGCAAATATGTGCGGAGCATATTCCCATTTCCCCATACGGACCCCTCCCGAAACCTTGCCCTGGCCCAATGAACTTTCGTGTTGTTTTTGTTGTTGTCTCAACAGTCTGTCTCCGCAGTCATGTGCTAACTAGTTATTTAACAGACCGCTCTGTGCTCAATGCAACGGACCCCAGAATTCTGAATACGACGCTGGTCTGGGGAATGTTGCTTTCATCTCATATACTCATCAACGTCGTTTCTACCTCTGCGACATTGCCTCTGGTGGCAAGACAACGGACCGCTCGAATTTGCGTTGGCTCAGCATCGCAAACCTTCATGTACTTCGCACGCTAAATAATACTACTTTATCCGTATTATGCTCGAGAATCAGGCTGCAAAAGCCACACTTCTGCAAGCCCACCACCTCTTTGACTCAACCCCACACCAACTCGCAGGGCTACTACAGCGGCAAAGCTGGCGGGCTTACATGCACCGACCAGGGCAGGGAGGTCTCGTGGCGCCGAGTTGGTTGCGAGATGGTGTCCCGGCTGGCGCATTCGCTTCCAAAATGCTCCGTTATGGTTCACGAAGCACGGGCGCATAACAAAGTCACGCTCTAATTTCTTCTCTGGTGCTTTGTGGCGTTTTGGGGGGAGCTAGAGGCCCAGAGCATACGACGTAAGTCGTGCGTGGCATGAGCCGCGAGACATTTTACGGAAGTTCCGATCTACCCCAACAATGATGAACAGAGATGGTAAATTCTCATTCAATATTTGGGTAGTTGAGAATCCCTTCTGCCTCTTTGGCTGTCAGTATCATCCAGTAAGTACACATCTCTAGTGATTCATGCGGCAGATGGTAGCACGCGTTAGTGGCCCCAGAAGAGTAATAAGATTCCGCCATTGACGTGACAGCAAAAAGCAAAGCCCTAATAACAGATACTTCAAGGAGCATGACTCCATCCACGCTGGCTTGCAGAGGCGGGCTGCAAGTTGGGGTAGCTCCATCCCGATGATGACCACTAAATACCCCGTCGCACCCCTCACATTGCAAAGTACTTAATGATATAGGTAAGCCAGTCCGGCGTGAAGTGGCGCTACAGCTGTATCTCTTGTCTTGCATATATCCCAATTCCCAGTCGTTCCTCCTTCTTCATATCATTGAAGGAAGGTTCGAACCAGGCCATCTATAGGTACAATTGGGCAATTCCGTCAAAAACTCAGCCCCAACCTCGCCGGTAGCCATTTCTACCAACAAACCTATAATCCCTACAATTAGTCACCCTACAAAATCTGCTTTTCCGCCAGGTAGAGTATCCTCCCACAGTCATGGCCGCTCCCTCTAGCCATCCCGTGGCCAACGAGCCCGCCGACGACCTGGCCCAAGGCATCATCCCCACGGCCAAGCAGTCCCTCCGCGATCTCTTCGTCTGGAAGCAGCGCGTTGTAGTCAGCAACGCCTACGGTGAGACGCGTTGCGAGTGGCAGCAACCCGACAAGTTCAAGAACCCCATTGCGCTCTTTGCCCAGCTCACCCCCAAGGCCTGGCTCTTCTTCATCGTCGGCTGGCTCGCCTGGGTCGCCGATGCCTTCGACTTTCACGCCCTTTCTATCCAGACAGTCAAGCTCGCCAAGTACTATGGCCGCACAAAGGCCGACATTACCACCGCCATCACCCTGACCTTGCTTTTGCGATCGGTTGGCGCGGCCGTCTTTGGCCTCGCTGGCGACAAATGGGGTCGCAAGTGGCCTATGGTCTTCAACATGCTAGTGCTCGGCCTCCTACAGATTGCCACCATTTACTCGACCAAATTCTCCCACTTCTTGGCCGTCCGTAGTCTCTTTGGCCTCTTCATGGGCGGTGTCTATGGCAATGCCATTGCCATGGCGCTGGAGCAGTGCCCGTAAGTCGACCACAAAACTCAACCATGGGATCGGAATACTCACTCATACTCCCAGTTCTAACGCTCGCGGTCTGATGTCTGGAATTCTGCAACAAGGCTACTCTTTCGGTTACGTCTTGGCGGCATGCGCCAACCTTGGCGTTGGTGGCGCCGTCGACAGCTGGAAAATAGTGTTCTGGATCGGGGGTATGATCTCTTGGCAGCGCAGCCACCCGTCCACGGAACCCATACTGACAACCTTTTAGCCGGTCTCTCCATCGCTGTTGGCCTCATTCGCATGCTCTTCCCCGAATCTCAGCAATTTATCGAGGCCAAGAAAAGGGGCAAAAAGGCCTCGTCGCCTGGTGCCTTTTGGCGCGAGACGAGGGTGATGCTGGCCAAGGAGTGGAAGATGTGCGTCTACTGCATCTTCCTCATGACCTGGTTCAACTTCTACTCGCACACCTCACAAGACTCATACACCACCTTTATGCTTACCGAAAAGGAGCTTTCCAACAAGGGAGCTTCGCGCGCCTCCATTATGATGAAGGTCGGCGCCTGCGTTGGTGGCACCATCATTGGCTACGCGAGCCAGTTTCTCGGCCGCCGCCGCACTATCATTGGCTCGGCGCTCATGTCTGCCATGCTCATTCCTGCCTGGATTCTTCCCCGCGGTGAGGCCTCCCTTAGCGCCTCGGGCTTCTTCATGCAGTTCTTTGTGCAGGGCGCTTGGGGCGTCATTCCCATCCACCTCAACGAGCTGTCCCCCGCTGCCTACCGCTCCACCTTCCCCGGTGTCACATACCAAATTGGCAACATGATTTCGTCGCCCTCTGCCCAAATTGTCAATGCCATTGCCGAAAAGACCTTTATTACGCTTAAGAGCGGCCACCGTGTTGAGGCTTACGGCCCTGTCATGGGAGTTGCCACGGCCATTATTGCTCTCGGCATCATCTTCTCCACAATGGTTGGTCCTGAGAAGCGTGGCCGTGCCTTTGAGAACGCTGTGGCCGGTGTTGAGACTGCTTCGTCAGAGAAAACTAGCGCCGATGAGGAGGATGTGGAAAAGGCCACGGTCGAGCTTTCCGAGGTGAAGAAGTAGTTGTATAATGCTCTTTGCGCCCTGGTTCACGTTTTTTTGTTGACACTCCGAGATATCTCTTGCTTTTGGTCTGATTCCCCGTCTTACTCTCAGCGACATGATAGAACAGCGCTGTCTGTGTTGAGTACGAGAACAATACAAACATACGCGATGTTTGCTCTTATGCCGTATAGCGATGAGAGCGTGACGTAAGAGTACTGCCACTTTCAAAAGACGAATTCAGTCGGAAAACCAACATGTATTCATCTAGAAAGCGCGCTTTCGAAGTGGTTATTAGTATGTTGCAAGGTTATGTTAGATCTGTCACCAGCTACCGACGTCCGTCAGACGGTAGACCTGGGTGAGGAGGGGAAGAAGAGGTGAGGGCTTGATCAACCTTTTGGCTGTGGTGCTCTGTATTCTCTGCGAAAATGGGTACAATCATGAAAAGGTCGAGTCGCACGCCGTCACGGCTCCAGCCAGACACGAGAAGGCCAATGAGGACCTCTGTAGTGTAGAGGCGTAGAGAGAGCTCGACGACACGGCATCGACAAGAATAGAGAGCCGACGAGGACATGTCATTCAATATACTATTTCCGAGATCAGCACGTAAAACCCTTCCCAGGCGGCATCTACGATGGAACGTCCCGCTCGACCGTACTTGAGCTCAGTCAGTCTCGACTGAGGGCATCTCAGGCACAGTCTCATGGAAAATACGCAGCGATGGACGATAGAGCGACCGATGCAGCGTCATTCGCTGTTACCACAGGTAGTGTGGTATTCGTAAATGGTCACGAGTAGCAGTGAGCCTTGTACGTGAGCCTCAACATCTGGTTATCAATGATGCTTGGCCAAAGGTTGGGGTTTCATTCGGAAAGTTATCCCAAGTGCAGCTTCCGACATCCCTCTCAAAAAGTCTCAGGTAAGAACTTGAAGCCTCAAACGCGCTGAGTATGAGACATTGGGTTCGCAGCAAGTGAAGCTAGCATTCCCCGTCGCATCGTCGAGGGGGGAGGGGGGAAGCACAAGAGCAACCCGACGCATATACATACGGCTGATGTAGGAGTACTGCCCAGAGTCAGCTGTCGTTTTTGTGTACCCAGTCGGCAATGAAAACTCTTTTCCGAAATTAGTTTTTACACGAGCTCATGATGGTGTTGAAGTACAAGGCCGCATCGGGGCAGGGCAAGCGAGCGGCTGCCCATACGTGTGTACCCCACCTTGTCCAGCGGCGGCGACCGAGCTGCCAAAGCTTGGGCTGCTTCAAACAGCCAATTCAATCATCTCGGCAACCCGCCCACGAAGAACATATCAAACAGCCACACCTGATCGGTGCGACGTCCTTGTCCGAATATATAATACACCGTTGATCCCTCCCGCCTACCGCCATCGATACGTCTCTCTTCGACACATCACCCGTCGGCCCAGCATGGCGCCCAAGAATGAGGCCAAGGCCACTGACGCCGCAGCCTCTGCTGAGCCTCGCTTGGAGGTTAAGAAGCCCAAGAAGAAGAAGGTTCTGCTGATGGGCAAGTCGGGCTCCGGCAAATCGAGCATGCGGAGCATTATATTCAGCAACTACATTGCGCGCGACACGCGGCGGCTGTGAGTCTTTCTTTGGGGGGCGGGGGGACGGCCAGCATCCTCCCGTCTAGTAGTGACGACACAATACCCGCTCCAGGATGGTTACTGATACAAGTTCATCTGAAATGCTAGAGGCGCGACCATTGACATTGACCTCTCGCACGTCAAGTTCCTCGGCAACCTGACGCTCAACCTGTGGGACTGCGGCGGCCAGGAGGCCTTTATGGAAAACTACCTCTCGCAGCAGCGCGTGCACGTCTTCTCCAACGTCGGCGTCCTCATCTACGTCTTCGACATTGAGTCGCGCGACGTGGACCGCGACCTCGCCACCTACGTCTCGATCCTCTCGGCGCTGCTGCAGTACTCGCCCGGGGCGCGCATCTACATTCTCGTGCACAAGATGGACCTGGTGGTGCCGGCGTCGCGCGAGGCCGTCTACGACGAGCGCGTGCGCATCGTCCGCCAGCGCTCCCTCGAGTACGCCGCCTCCATCAGCGGCGGCGACCGCACCGTCGACATTTCCCCCTTTGCCACGTCCATCTGGGACCAGAGCCTCTACAAGGCCTGGGCCAGCATCATCCACGACCTCGTCCCCAACCTGGCCGTCATTGAGCGCAACCTCGCCAACCTCGGCGTCGCCATCGAGGCCGAGGAGATTCTGCTCTTTGAGCGCACCTCGTTTCTGGCCGTGTCCTCGTGGACGTCAAAGGAGGCCGCGCGCAACCCGACAGAGGACCGGCTCGAGCGCATGTCCAACATTATGAAGCATTTCAAGCAGAGCATCTCCCGCTTCACCGGCACACCCCGCAACGCGGAGCAGTTTACGCGCATGGAGCACAAGGCCGGCACGCGCTTCAGCCTGTTTATCCTCAAGTTCACCACCAATACCTATCTCATGGTGGTGCTGCCGCCCGGCGAGGGTCGCTTCAACGCAGCCATGCTCAACTGCCAGATTGCGATTGAGCATTTCAAGTTTCTGGATGCTCCTGGTGGACTACCGCTCTCGGTGTAAATAGGGGCTCAATTTTTTGTTGAGACTTTGCATTTGACATGGATGCATGGTTTGCTTGCTTGCTTTTTTTGTCTTCTTCCTTTTTTTTTAACGGCGTTGGAGGAGTCGCAACGGATACCATTTTATAGGCAAAAGCTAGCTACTTGTCACTAGATGGACAGGACTGAACCCCAACTGACGTGATATCTAGCAAAGGAGTTTCATAATCCATGTTGATATTTTTATTCTGCCTACTGCTACTTTGCCATGTCGTAGCTTAGTCCCAGGTCGTAGCTAATGCTTCCATGTCTCGTAGCCGTCGGTCTTCGTCTACCCCAAGATCCCTAAAGTCTATTTCCACTTGACAACCGCAGTACCTCCCTTTTTGAACTCTGGCATTTCTCCAAGCACCAGACTCTTGTCTGTGTGCTCCTTGCTAGGAAATGTGGTGGCGAGCACCCACGCACGCGTTTGTGTCTCTGCCGACGCTCTGCTAATAAAGTCGTACACGTCACCAAGAGTGTTGGTTGTGTTGAATCGAGCCGGCAGTCTCGTGCCGTCAGGGAGCTGCAGGCGAATCGTAACCGTAGGCTGCGACGCATCGATGTCAGGAATCGGGCTGCTGGGAGCGGCACCGCCCGCAGCCGCAGCAGAGCTCCTAGAGACGGCGGCCGGAGCCGGAGCCGGAGCGCCTGGCACGGGACTTCCCAGGCGCTGGCCTGAGCCCGAAAAGGGCTTGTACTTCCTGGGAAGGGGTTTGTAGGGGCCCTCGTGCTGCTCGAGCTTAACGTCGACGGCCTGGTCGTGCTGGACATCCATGAGGTGCAGAGGCGCGCGGCCGGATCTTATCATAGCCAGGTCCGCTTGGTTGGCGGGGTCGTCGAAGCGCCGTAGCTCCCCGTCGTCGATGCTGAATCCGTTCTGCCAGATGTGCAGCACACGCTCGATGGGTTCGCCGCCGCGCGGCTGGAGGGGCCCGTTGGGGTCGGGGATGCTGCGGCTTTCGACGCCGTCGCCGCCGAGGGTCATGCCGGTGCCGCGAAACTGCTGTGGAGGGGCACTACTCGCTTCGTTTTCCTGGTCGGGGCGGCCCGTGTTTCTAAGGGGTCCCTTTGGTCAGCAGCACGTTCTAACAGCGGCGGTTGCCCCAGAAGAACTTACTCTCGCGCCTTGGCCAGGATATCGCTGATGATTTTTCTAGGGCCATTGTCCTGCTTGGCGGGATCTTTTACTGCTAGACCCGACTTTTCGCCACCTGCAAACAGGTTGCCACGGCTGCCGTCCTCTTCGTCCTCGTCGTCGCTGTCGTCGTCGTCATCATCGTGATGGGCGGGCTCGGGTCTGGCGCTGCTCAGAGATCCGAGTGTGGCGACGCCTTTGCGCTTGGGCTGGGCCGTCGTCGTCCGCGCAGGTCTCGAGGAGGACGCAGGCGCGGGGCGGCCGTCGAGGGTTCGAGGACCTGTGTAGCTGGCATCGGGGGCCGCGGAAGAGCCTTCCTCGGCACCTTCGTCTTCGTCTTGGAAGTACGAGTTGGATGCGGCAGAAATTTGCCAGCCGTTGGCCTGAAGATATTGTGTCGCCTGTTGAGGGAGATGTTAGCACGAGCTATCGCGGTGCGGTGGCGGGGGAGCGTCAAAATGCACCTTTTCGGGGCTCGCGCCAGTGATGGAACAGAATTCGCTGACGAGGCCGTCTTGATCGTTATCCGCCATCTTGCTCAGTTTTTATGATTGTAAGATTGTAGAGACAGACGCGGTTTGGGGTGTTGAGAGGGTTGAGTGGAATACGAATAGCTTGGAGGTGAGAAGAGCTTCACTTAGCCAGCTCAGAATCGCCTGTCGTCATTGCGATTGCCTGTATGCTAACTCGTGTTAAAAAGCAGCCCCACCATAGCGCTAAAACAGGCTAACGTGCAGCGCCGCTCTCCCACCTGAGCTTTTTTACGGTGCACGTCGTGCATCCTCGTGCAATCGTTCAAGATGAGTGAGGCATATTATTGTAGACTAAAATTGAGTCTTAGAGTCCAAGGCAGGGTTCGAAACCATAAGGAATTATCTTAAGTATAGAGTCATTACTCTTGTAGTGGTGAGCTCGACGTCAAATCAAACCATCGTACTTCTTCACCTTTCTATTGGCTGAAATGGACCTGGCTGCAGGGGTTGGCCAGCACTACCAGTACCTAGGCCGGACGGGAAGAAATGCAACGACGTACAGCTATGCATATTGACGACCCAACCCTTGATGAAGAGGGACTACTGAGACACTGGTTCCTGGATCATTTCGCTGATGCAACTCCGCTCAAACAAAGCGATTGTGGCAAGTCTGCAGATGGTGATGTGGATCGAAACAGTCATAAGGCAGGAGATGGCGTAGCTGGAGCCAGATATTGAACGCCGCTTGGCAGTTTTAGTAAGAACAGCATGACAGACATTCAAGCTACATATGTGCTCTTTGCATGAGCCCCAAACCGCCCCACGGTGCGGATCCTAGGTAGGCATGGCCGCGGTAGCAATTGCTGGTTATCATGGCGATTACTTAATTAATTATAGGCACCTATCATGTAGCTATGCCCACAGCAACGAGGCAAATTTTCGAGAGTTACACCTGTATATAAAGCCCGGAGAAGGGTGTGGTCCCATACGCGTTTCCCTCACTTGACAACCCAACCTCGATCACCCCAGCCCTGTCGGAGGATGGCTTCAAGCAATCTGAAATCCGAATATGACGTCGTATTCGTGGGAGGTAAGTTTTGCTATAGATTTGAACCCCATGAATTGAGTCCTGACAAGCAGTTAGGCGGCACCGCTGCGTGCGTTACAGCTGGTCGACTTGCGAAAGCCGACCCGAACTTGTCAATTCTGTTGATCGAGCAGGGACGCAATAATCTAGACGATCCTACCGTGGTCACTCCCGCCATGTTCCTAAGCCATCTCTTTCCAGGAAGCGAAACTGTCCTCTTTCACTCCGCGAAAAGGGAATCGAACCTTGCTGACCGTGCATTGGTGGTCCCTACAGGAGGAATTCTGGGCGGAGGCTCCTCCATCAACTTTACCATGTATACACGAGGTGCGTGGCGTTTATGTGATAATACGCGCTTGGGCTAATGCAGAAGCTTAGCATCGGCGGTGGATTTTGACTCATGGCAGACAGAGGGTTGGGACGGGAAAAGGATGCTGGCTCTTGCGAACAAGGCAGAGAACCACATGTTGGACGACCCAAGAATTGACAAGAATGCTCACGGCCATGACGGTCCTATCCAGGTCAGCTACGGAACACATCTTTCCAAGCTAAACAACGACGACATCCTCGACGCAGCCGAGTCTTTGGGCGTGCCTCACGTGGCCAATTTGCAAGACTTTGAGGTCGGTCACGGCTTCGAGCGTTGGGCCAAATACATTAGCCCAGACGGCAAGAGGCAAGACACAGCTCACTGCTACATTCACCCGCTTATCAAATCCGGGAACTACCCTGATCTCCATATCCTGCCCGACTCAACTGTCACCCGGATCAAGTTTGATGGCACTCGCGCCATTGGCGTTGAGTACGAGCCCACTACCAACCGGACTCAGACACCGGCGGCTTTTATCGCTGCCAAGAAGCAAGTTGTAGTCACCTCGGGCGCTCTGAAAACGCCCCTCATCCTCGAGAGATCGGGTATTGGCAATGCTGAGCTGCTGCGCGGACTTGGCATCGACGTCGTCTCGGATCTTCCCGGCGTCGGCGAGGACTACCAGGACCATAACCTCATGTTCTATCGCTACAAGGCCATGTTGACGCCAGAGATGTCATTCGACGGCTTGCTTAGCGGTCGCGAGGATATTCACGAGGCCGTGGCTGCCGGGTCGTCCAAGATGGGTTGGAACGGGCTCGACGTGGGCGGCAAGCTGCGGCCGACTGAGGACGAGGTCGCGCAGCTGGACTCTGCGTTTCAGGAGTGCTGGGAGCGCGACTTTAAACACCAGCCTTCGCGACCCATTATGCTCATGACCTATTTTAGCGGCTACATGGGCGATCATGTCGCGCTGAACGAGCCCGTCGACAACCCAGCGCACTACATAACGGGCGGCACCTACACGGCGTACCCGTACGCCCGCGGCAGCACCCACATCACGTCGACGGATCCGCGCGCCAAGCCGGACTTTGTCACGGGCTTCCTTGAGAACCCCGTGGACGTGACCAAGCAGGTGTGGGCGTACAAGAAGCAGCGCGAAATCATGCGCCGCAGCGACAGGTACGCCGGCGAGGAGCCCACCAGTCACCCGCAGTTCCCAGCGGGCAGCAAGGCGGCATGCCAGGACAGGCCCGCGGTGGAGGGCGGCTTCAGGAGCGTGCAAGACCGGGCGAGTCTCCCGCTGCTTGAGTACAGCAAGGACGACGACAAGGCGATTGAGGAATGGATTCGGTCGCACATTGAGACATCGTGGCACTCGGTCGGCACGTGCAAGATGGCACCGAGAGAAAGGGGCGGCGTGGTGGATAAGGATCTGAATGTGTACGGCACGCAGGGGCTCAAGGTGGCGGATCTGTCCATTGTGCCGGAGAATGTAGGTGCCAATACGTACAACACGGCGCTGATTGTCGGCGAGAGGGCGGCAGAGATTATCGGCAAAGAGCTTGGCATTGTTGTTTAGTCCGGGGGGATGTAATTCTATAATTTGAATTGATTGATGTAGAAACGAAACGCTGAATTCTATCATGGCTCGTAGTATCTAAATCGGTCGACGTCTCCTCTACCATGGTATCTTACTCTCAGATCTCCTCGTGCCAATCTATTCTATATGTGCCCTCTGTTCGCGCTTCAGCAAAATGCAGACTAATGCTTTGAATCGTTCAAATCCAATTCTTCAAAACCAGCGTCCACCGGCTTCGTCTCGGCGGACTGTCGGGGAGGCAGCGCCGGCGGAGGACCCTTGGGCAGCACCACCGGCTTGACCACCGCCTCCTCTGCATCGGCAAACCCGTCCTCTTCCTCTTCATGGCCGTTTACTCCATGCAATCTGCCGTCTGCACCGGCCGAGTACGGACTCTGGGCCTTTTCGTCAATGTGCTCGCGGCCCTGCTCCTCGTACCTCGGCGGCTCATCTGCCTGCACATGATGATGATGCCGCGTCAGAACACGGGGGCTATGGCTGTGGCTGCTCGGCGGCGCAGAACTCGTCTCCTCGGGCGACTGATCAATTTCCGTCTGCGTGGCGGCATCCGACGTTGTCGTGGCGACGCTGTCGTGGCTCCAGCGCGGGTTCTGAGCGAGCGCCGCGGCGCCAAAACTCGTCCGGTGCGTGGGCGTCGAGGAGGCCGTGTTGGCGCGAGACCGGTATCCGCTGCGCGGGCGAAACGTAAACTCGTCGCTGGACACTCTGGCGTGCGAGCCGGCCTCGACGATCCCGAGGCCTTCCTTTTCGAGCGCCGCCACGCCGTAGGGGTCCGGATCGTCCTCCTCGGGAAATCCAAACGTTGTTGCAGTGGCGTTGGGCGAGGTGACTTGGACATCCCCCGGCGCAAGCTCATGCTCGAGCTGCTCCATGATGTCGTCGTCCACGTCCACGCGACCCTCGGCCGCCTTGAGCGTCTCCATGAGCTTGCGCGTCTCCCGCGGCGGTCTCCGCACCTTGCCCGCCAAAATGTCCGCGGCCGCAATGCCCGTCTGATTATAAAAACGCGCATTCTCGTCGGAGCGCTCAATCACGACGGTGCCGTCCACCTGCACGCCCGCGTAGAAGCCTCTCGATTTTAGATAGGTAAACACGGGCCGGTTCGCCTGCTTCCAGCGGCCGTCATTCTCCAGCACGCCGCCGACGCCGACGGGTCCGGCGACGGCGCTCACCTCGCCGCCAATGGTGGCGCGAATCTTGGTAAAGGCTGCGAGCGCGGCGCGCGTGTTGATGACGAGCACGCAGTCGTAAATGTCGACGCCGACGAGGAAGCCGAGGCCGGCCGTGTGCAGCATGATGCCCGAGGGCGGCGACCACGCGCCGTCGTGCTCCTCCTGCCGCGCGACGAGCACGCCGGAGCCGCCGGCGCCGGAGACCCAGAGGCCGGTGCGCATGGTGGTGAAGATGGCGAGGCCGACAGCGTTGGCGATGACACTCTGGGGAATCTTTTTGAGCACGCGCTGCTTCTGCTTCGGGCCGTCGCCAGGGATGGCGGCGTCGTCGTCTTGCTCGGTGTAGAAGCCATCCTCTGTTGCGCGCGAGGTGTCAGTGTTCAAGCTCGGTCACGGCCGAATTTGCAAAACGTGTGTGCGGCTGGCAAAAGTTGGCGGGAGAGATTTTCATTTCACGTACTGCAAAAGGATTTTAAAATTCTGGCGGCCTTGTCGCTCTCCTTGTCGAGAGTTGTCGGCCAAAAGGCCTCGCTGCCGATGCGGTTGGATAAGCGGTTGATTGGCGCGCCTAGCTTGTCGACGACTTTGTAGGCCTTGTCAAAGCCCTTTTTACTCTGACTTTTCGTCGTGTTCCAGGAAGGAAGATGTGACGTGATTTTTTGCATGGTGACGAGGGGCAGCTGGCCAGTGAGGGTTTGTGCACTAATACGCAGGAGGGCGCGAACGGAGTGTAACTAGCCTGCAGGCGGCAGATATATATATGTACAGCAATATTCGGGTCAGGAGGCAATTTTCAAATATGTTGGGTGTATGTAGCAGGAAAGAAGAGTATGCGAGGAATTCAGGGTCTATTGGGATTTTTAAGCAAGCTGGTATGACGGTTTCTGCCGACGGTGCCGAATGGCGGAGCTGCTTCGGGTGACGCGGCTCGCCATCCCCGGCCGGCATGCACGATGGGGGGCCCGAGGCCGCTCCACCAAACAAACGCACGTAGACAGACGGGCATATGGCTGGCGAGAACTGGTATAAAGCGCCTCGATCGGTAAAGGGCTGTTTTTCTATCATTTTTTTTTTCTTTTTTCCCCCATGTCTGAGAAGATATGACTACGGTCTTTGAGGCATACGCCTGGTCACGTAGTAGCATCAGCAACTCGGGAACTGGAAAGCAACGCTACTGTTGGAAATGTATAAAAAGGTTCGTCTTTAGTCACACGGAGCAGGCAATTCACATTGTACAAAACACTGGCAACACTGGTGAAAGTTGGCCAGGAATAGAGAAATCCCAGGCTACCTTTTCGACTGTCAATGACGATGCGATTAGCTTCTTGTAATGATACGTATGTTCACATACAGTCACTTTATTAATCTGTTCCATGGCTTATTAACCCCGCTCGCGTATCGCGGGATATCCAGTCAAAGGAAACAATTGGCCGGGGCGTAGGGTGGGAGGCAGTGGGAGGGTGGCAATGGGCCTCGGGAGTGACGAGGGGTGTGGGCCGGCCATATCTTTTAGTAGGAGGAAGCCATGTTGGGATGGCAGATGGGTATTATTAGCACTGTAGAAAAGAGTGCGCGGTTGTGTCCGACATAACCGCGTGCAAAAAACAAGAATGACATGCATCATAGTAATGATTGAGAGTAAAGACTGTAATCGAAAGTAAGACTGAAATATTGATTTTGTATTGATTGAGAGTCGGCGGACTTGAGCAACGGCCCGCTAAACAAGCAAGGTGAGGCTCGAGAGGTAGGCAGGTACCGAGGTACATAGGTGCGCCACCACAGCCACAGGGCGGACTGTATAGGCAATTCTACAGACATTTAGCCTTTGCAGTGAGCGGTTTGTTTAGATGAGACTATTCGAATTTCGCCCTTTGATCAGCCATAATTTCTGTTTCAGAACCCCGCGCTGACTAGAGGGCATTTGGGGGCCTGTCTAAACAGGTACTAATGCGCCTACCTCCCAAGTACCAAGGTAGTAAGTGCAAGAAAGCCCCCACTTGAGCCCCGAGGCCCCGTGGCTGGGCAAGTGTGGTTCGAGTCCGCCTTCCCGAAAACGAAAAGCCGTTACCTTTTCCTGCTGATTCTTGCACGCCTCAATCTACCTTATCCATCCTTTTCCGCTATTTTCATTACCACATTCGAGCGACGAATTTCCTCTTACTTCATCCTTCATATCATCCACACTTGTCCATTCCTATACACAGTTCACCTTGCCGCCAAAATGAAGTTCGTCATGTCTCTCCTCGCTGCCGCCTCCCTGGTCGCCGCCCAGAACCCCCTCAACGACATTCCTGAATGCGCCGTAAGTCAGAACCCAGCAAACATTATCCGTCTAGTGGCGTGCGCAGGCCATTGCATTCAGCTTTTTCGGCTAACACTCGCTCGTCTTGCAGAAAGACTGTGTAGGCCAGAATCTCAGCGGCAACAGTATTGCCGGCTGCAGCCAGCTCGACTACAAGTGCGTCTGCAGCAACAAGGACTTTATCAACAAGATTGCCTGCTGCCTGGCCCCCGTCTGCGACGACAAGGGAAAGGCCGATACAATTGCTCTCGCCAACAGGCTCTGCAAGGCCTTTAACGTCGACCTGCCTACCGCCGTCGTCTGCAACACAGGTGCCAGTGCCTCGTCTACGGCCGCTTCAACCGGCTCGGCCACCTCTTCATCAAACGCTTCCAGGACCACCGATGCCTCGACCAGTGCTGGTAGCAACGGTGCGGCTGCCTCGACCACCTCGAATCCCAACGCCGCTCCCACCAACGTCGCTGGCATCATGGGAGCCGCCGCCGCTCTTGCCTTTGCTCTGTAAACAAACAAGATTAGTGACGTGGCATCATAGAGTGTTATTCTTGATGCAAGTTGGAAGCGAAACCTGAAAACGAAAAAGGGACGATGGCACACTGAGCTGCGGATACGATTAGCTTCTTGTAATGGTATGATTGGAGGACAGGGGTAAGTTGAATCGGCCCGGCGTCTCGCTATAGGGGCAAATGGCCCAGGGGTTATGATAATAAAGGCTGGCAGCAGTCAGAGATGGGAACTAGGCGGTACATGGCTCAAATATGAATACATGAATCACTCAACCTCGCTGTGCTTTTTGCTTCCCCGGATTTCGGCATTTGGCTGCATAGGGATCCCCCCACAGCCCCGCCTGCGACGTGCCGAATCGAATGCCACCAGTGACTACTGAATGCAAAACTCTTTTTTTCCACAACTACATAATTTTTGTTTACAACTACGAATCACTGTTTACATATACACAGCCTGGAATTTACAAAAGGCAAGCGAAATAATGAGGCGTCGAGCAATTGAAGCTATTTGTTTCGTTCGCTCGACAATGGCAGAACCTCCTTGAGAATCTTGATGAGACCAAGCACTTCTTCCACTGCAGCACAAGAGTCAGTAGAGTTGGGCGAAAAGCACAAAGCACACCCAGCCGGCCCTAAACACTTACTTGTGTTGTAATGCGCCAAACTCACACGCACAACGCCGTCCTGCTTGAGCAGCAACGTCTCGCGGACGAGCCGGTTCGAGTAAAAGCAACCCCAACGCAAGCCGTAGTGGGAGCGCGCCTCGACCGCCTCGACCAGCTCCCGCGCGTCCCACCCCTCGACGGTGAAGCTCACAATCGGTAGCCTCGCCGCCTGCACGTGGCGCTTGCCGTAGATGCTGATGCCCGGGACGCCGCGCAGGTACGCGAGCAGCGCCTCGGTAAGGGCCTCTTCGTGGTCCTCGAAGCCGCCCCACGACCCGCACTCGCCGTCGCCGAGGTACGAGACGACGGCCGACACGGACTGGCACAGCTCGTAGCTGCCGGCCGCGAGCCCCATCTTGTCGGCGAGGCTCGCCTGCGGGTTGAAGAAGTGACCGAGCGAGCGCATGCCGGCCTGCGCGCCCCAGCTCGCGTACAGCGTGGCCACGTGCGGCCCGTACACCTTGTACCACGAAAAGACGTAAAAGTCGGCGCCGAGCGCGCGCACGTCCACGGGCCGGTGCGGCGCAAACGCGACGCCGTCGACGCAGACGAGCGCGCCGACGCCGTGCGCAAGGTCCGAGATGGCGCGAATGTCCGTCACGCTGCCGAGGACGTTGCTCGCGTGCGTGCAGGCGACGAGGCGCGTGCGCGGCGACAGCAGCGGCGCCAGGTCCAGCGCGTGCAGCTCCGGGTCCAGCGCGTCCCGCGGCCGCCACCACCTGACGACCAGCCCGGCGCGCTCGGCGAGGTCGACCCACGGCGCAATGTTGGCCTCGTGGTCAATGGCCGAGACGACGAGCTCGTCCCCGGCTGCAAAGGAGCGCAGAAGCGTCCAGGCGAGCGTGCGGAGCAGCTGCGTGGCCGACGCGCCAAAGACGACCTCGTCCGGGCTGGCGCGGATAAAGGCGGCGGCGTCGGCAAAGGCGCGCGTGTAGCTGGCGGTGGCGCGGTGGCTGGCGGCGTAGGAGCCGCCGAGCTGCACGTTTGAATGGCAGAGGTATGTGCGGATCGATTCAATGACGGTGTCGAGCGTCTGGCTGCCGCCAGCATTGTCAAAGAAGACCTGGGGGAGGTTGGCTTGTAGTGCGGGGAAGCGCTTGCGCGCCTCGGGGTAAAAATCGGCCATGGGCGGCGGCCGGGGTTTGCGGAGGGCGTGGGGGAGGGGGGCAAGCCGTTGCTAATATTGAGGTTTAATTGAATCTGATTTCAGATTGGAAACTTTGTGTGAATGGACAAGACTGAAGGACATGTGTACTTGGATGAAGACGTAGTTGTCATCGACGTTGGCTGGTGCTGGCTTGCTTCCCCGCATGCCATTCAGTGCGGGGTTACGCTTCATTGACGTTGCTTCAAGTAGCGCCGGCAACAAGGTCCTCTGTTGCACTACGAAAGGCCGTTTTTTGGCTCAGAGCATGTTAAATCTAGCCTTCTTGTAAGTTGGGTCGACTGTGGTGTATGTCATGGGAGCCTTGTGCCGCTTTTGCGTGTAAAGCGACAGTAGCCACGGCCGAGCATGTACATGAGCAGACACGCCAACTACCTACATACCCAAAGTCACTTGACAGATCTGTTTGAAGGTTTCCTGCAGATGTCGGCAGCGATAATTTAAACAAAGTGATTGGGGGCCGGTTCTTTAGCTTCCGACTCTTGCTAGAAGCGCTTTCAACTTGAAGCCGTTTCTGGTTGCCGTGATTCTGGGTGTGCATAACATGGGCGCGGTGGCACAAGTATAGCGTTGGAAAGCTCAAGGGCACGATGCGTTATGGTGAGGGGTGCTTTCGGTGTTATTGCTAATGGATGGTTGAATTAATTAAATCGGGGAACTGCGACACAGCTGTGAAAGAGGAGATACAAACGAACCCAGTCTGCTGCCTCTTTTCCAACATCAAGTACCTAACATCAACACAATTATAAAATCGCTTTCGACTGAGTCTACATCTCTGTAGATTGAAAATTGCTAAACGGAAACCGATATTCAAGGTTCCCCAAGTCAACCCACGGCTGGCCGCAGAAGGGCAAGAAAATGATTACGTCATAATTAAATTCCAGAATCATAAAGTCCGATCCTGGTCAGGCTTAGCCAATCTCCCCGCAAACCGGGGTCCGCAAAGTCTCCGGGCAGGCACCGGCCAGCATCAAAAGTCGAGATGACCGTCCGATTGCTGCTTCAGCTGGTCCGATCCAATGAGGGGAAACCAAGAAGCTCCGCTCTTGACTATTTTGCTATTTATTAGACACTAATGTCGATGCTCTGAAATGCCGCTCTGCGGTAAGGGAGTCGCGCCGACCGAGGCACAGATTTATAGTGGCCCTGTATTCGATGATTCGGGCGGAAGATGGAAACCCTTTGAGGTAGTTAGGCACGTAGCTTACTTGCAGCCTCGGAGTTTGGTGGTTCGCCGCGGACTCGGCCGCACATTGTCGAAAGAGGACTTTGGTCCTCGGCATGATTGCTTGAGCAATACCATTTATTTGAACCGCAATCCTCGTTCTAATTCAATTTCAATCATTTTTACTCAACTTCATCTTCTTCGTACAGTGTTTCTTTTTTCTTTTTTTGCGCTCTTCCTGCCAGCGGTACTACCTACATACCGTCACTTGAGCCGCAGCCAGCCGCGTAACTCAACATGTCAAACGGTAATAGCCGCGCCATCGACTACGACGTCGTCATAGTCGGCGCAGGCATATCTGGCATTAGTTTTGCCTATAGACTGCAACAGACGAATCCGAACCTGTCATACGCCATCATCGAGTCCCGACACGAAATTGGCGGCACATGGAGTTTATTCAAATACCCGGGTACGCCAAAGTCCACAAAGCCGCCTCCCAACTCGACGTCACTGACCATTACTTTTAACCTAGGCATCCGATCCGACTCCGATCTGTACACTTTCAGCTTCCCATGGAAGCCATGGACCAAAGGGCAGGCCATTGCAGAGGGGGCCTTGATCCAAGAATACCTTCACGAGGCGGTTGAAGAACAAGGCATTGCGCCGCACATTAAATTCAATCGCAAAGTTCGTGCAATGGACTGGTCAAGTAACACCAATACTTGGACATTCGATATAATTGGAGAAGACAAGAAGCAGAAGCAGCTACGCAGCCGCTTCGTCTGCCTCGGATCGGGCTACTACGACTACGACGAGCCCCTGAAAGCAGTGATCCCCGGCATCGACCAGTTCCAGGGTCCTGTCATTCATCCGCAGTTTTGGCCCCAAGACTTTGACTATACCGATAAAAACGTCGTCATCATCGGCTCGGGCGCCACGGCCGTGACGCTACTGCCGAGCATGACAGACAAGGCCGCTCATGTGACGATGCTCCAGCGCTCGCCCAGCTGGATTATCCCCGTCAAGAACCGCAGCGGCGGGCTCGAGGCGCTCATGCAGCGCTGGCTGCCGACGCAGCTCGGGTCGGCCCTCGTGCGCTTCCGCCGGACGCTGCTCAGCTTCCTCTTTGTCAGGTACTGTCTCTGGCGGCCCGCGTCGGCGCGCAAGCTGCTGCTCGGCGCGACGGAGAAGCAGCTGCCCGCCGGCACCGACATGGCGCCCGACTTTGTGCCGGCGTACGACCCTTGGTCGCAGCGGCTGTGCGCGACGCCCGACGCCGACTTTTACCAGGCGCTGCGGGCGGGGCGGGCGAGCGTCGCGACGGGCCGCATCGCGACGGTGACGGAAAGCAGCATCAAGCTCACGTCGGGCGCGGAGCTGCACCCAGACGTCATCGTCACCGCCACGGGGCTCAAGACGACGGTCGGCGGCAACGCGCGCATCGCCGTGGACGGCGCGCCCGCGCACATTCCGGACCTGTACGCGTGGAAGGGCGCCATGCTCGAAGGGCTGCCGAATCTGTTTTTTGCCTTTGGCTACGTCGACGCGAGCTGGACGCCCGGCGCCGACGCTACCGCGCAGCTGGCGGGCCGCATGATTCGGCAGCTCGACCGCGAGGGCAAGCAGGCGCTGATCCCTACGCGGACGGCCAGGGAAAAGGCCACGATGCAGGATGTGCCGTTTATGCGCCTCACGTCCACGTATGTCAAGTCGGGGCTGAGCAACCTGCCCAAGACGGGCGATGCCAAGCAGTGGCTTCCGCGGTCGTACTACTTTAAAGATGTCATGAATGCGTGGTGGGGAGACATTCGGTCGAGTATTGAGTGGAGATGATATCTTTTGTGTGATTGATGGGTGGCGCTTTGTTCTTTTTTTTTTTTGTAAATTTAATATCATAATTCTTTTTCGTGGACTGTTATCTAAATTCAGCGAGCCGGCTACTACGCGCAGTATTTTCATGAAATCCAGTTTCTTTTTTTCAATTAGATATTACAGAGAGCTGAAGTAATTGAATACTTTATGCAAAGTCACAGAAAGTTACAGAAAATTACAGAAACCTTGTTACGGGACCTGGTGGTGCGTCTCGGCGGCCAAGTGGTCGCAGCGACTGTGGCAGGTTGGGCCAACTACTCTGACCAAAGAATCGGCGCCAGAGCCTGAGGCAAGCTCTTGAACATCATCGAGGACAACTATCGGGCGAATTATTGCTATAAATCGGACAAAGTGCTTTCCAAGTGTCCGAGAACAGCCTACGATGATTCGGGCCTCGGTTGGGTAGCAATGCATCTTAGTGGTAGGCCACCAAGCCACCAACTCAAGTTCCGCATGTATGCAGCCACGGCTTCTGGAATTAACAAGATTTTCTCTGACACTTGCAATGAGCATCCTAGCACACTGTCTTATGTTAATTGCACCCCCCGTCGGGAAGAATTTGACTCAAGTCAGAATAACAAACAACGATGGTTAAGGGCTTGGGCTTGCCGACCGGGCCGCGACATTGCAGGCAAACAAGACGACTTTCACGGCCCCCGATACTGGTGACTAAAGCCCATAGATTCTGATCCCTGCAGAGGTTGGGGGAGCCAAGCGGACATTCCGCTATTGGCCCAAACATCATTCACCCAATGTGCTGCCGTTGGCGTGATCGCCGGGCTATGCAAGACAATCACAAACATCTGAAGCCCGGAAAGAAAAAAGCGACGACTATTTCCAGTCCTTACATGCCATATTTGAAGGAATTGTTTCTGCTATGCACATTCTCTTGTCTTCAGCGACGAAAGAATCTGCACCTTGTTCACTCATCCGATTGGAACCCCCAAGATTTCTTCTCTTCGTTGTCAATTTCGATTTGTCAATTTTCGCCATTCTTTCCAGTACTTTACTTTTACTCTCTTGTCTCTGCTCCTTGATATCATTGTCTCTCAATGGCAGCGCGGTCAAACCCGCTGTTGGAAGCAGTGTTTGACCACCTTGTCTTGCCGCCCAAGCTTCCAGCTGCCCCCGAAGATGATTCGATTCCGCTCAGTTGGGAGCTCACTACGCGGCTCATCACAGCATGTCGGCAAATTGCTAGAACCAGTTCACAGAGCCCATGGGACACTTTGGAGACGTCTTTATTATTGACACGCAGTCTGCAGGGCCCTGTCTCCGTGGAGACGCTGATGTCGGCATTTTCCACGATTGCACAGGAAGAGGACGAGATCTGGTTCGCTTTCCACGTGGCACAGCAAAACGCTGCCATCATTGTTCATCGAAGCAAAGCGTAAGATCCTCCATGCTCAAGAAACAAATTTTGTCTTTGCGCTCACTCACTGATCGGTACTACAGAACAGATGAAGTAGTCTTCGAGGCGTTCGAGGTATCGGCCTCTGCTCCTGCCGTGCTAGAAGCAAAGCACGCCTTAAACTGGAAATTTCCTTGTCGGGCAGTGGCCATACCTATGGCTGAGTTTGTCGAGCCATCATTCCAAACAACTATTGCCGAGTTTGTGGAACAGGCCACCGAGATTGCACTGGACCAATTCGCCGCCAGAGCATACAAGGGAGACAAAAAGGTTGTCGAAACGCGCGACACTTGCAGCCCGGCACTGATCACAGAGATGTTCATGTCCTATCTCGAGGCCATTGGCAGGGCAGTCCCGGTCCACATTGTGCATAAGCGCGTGAGAGATGATGTGGTTCTGGGCTCATCGGAGCATCCCTGGAGAAGATCTCCCCATTGGCTACTGCTTCGCGTCCTTGTTCAGCGCTACTTTATGACTAAAGGTCCAAGTCCACATGAAGGTAGAATCTGCTTCAAGCTCGCCATGTGCGTAGCTTTGTCGCATTTACTGTCCGACTGCCAGACAAAGATACACCCTGAGAGGGTGATGATGCTGCAGGCTAAGCTTTGCCGTCGGCTTGCGAAGTTGCAGACAGAAATATCAAAAGCGCCGGTAGAACTTCAAAAGAAGTATGGCGAGGACTTACTACTGCAAAGGGCCTTTTTTGAATCAACTGTCATGGAGGCGAAGCGAGTCATCACCGCAATATGGAACGAGTACACGAGAAAAGCAGCTCGGCCTATCCCCTTGCTCCCATGGACCGCGGATCAAAGCGATCTGATTCTTCGGTTGCCCAATAGCGGCCACAAGCTCAGAGCTCTTCTCTCTATGAGCATCGCCCCTTCCCAACGTCCTCATAACCTCGGCCTTCCTTCTCATGCGGAGGGGACTGTGACACAGGTCAACGAATTCGCTACCAGGTACTCCATTCTTATGGCATGTGCAAGTACAGCCATGTCGACGCGATGTCGATCATACTCTACAGTTGAAGATACATGCATAGGCCTATCTCAGGCATTGACGACCTACATGGACGCCGTTGGGGGTTACTATGCCGACGACGCCATCTTGGTGAGCCAATATTTACTCAATCTCTTTGAATTATGGGTTTCCATGGACTCTGCAGCCACTCGTGCATGCCCAACACTCAAAGAATACCACCCTTGCTTTGTGCCCGAGGCTCTAGACATGCTTTGCTTCACGACCAGGTGCGACATGGCCCGACTTCGCCAAGTGCAGAAATACATCTTCAACCGTATCAAACACTGCTCTCAATCTCGCTTCACCATCTTCAGTGATCCGAATAACAAGGCAGCATTTGCTGCATTATACATGAGGGATCACGGGGAAGAGTCTGGACTGGAGTCACTCTTGGAGCGCATCAATGAACGGTCTGTGACCTCGATAGAAGCCAAGAAGAAGGAGCTTGACTTGCGTATGTCTCAGTATCAGAAACTGACGGTCGAGATGAAGAGTGGCACTTGTGTTTGCAAGCGACAGCTCGACGGCACTCTAGATGTGCGGGGCTGTACGCGTTGCTGGAAGGCACGATGCCGCAAACGCCTGAGGATTCAAGTTCACGAAGCTTTTCTCCCTCGAAAAACACCTGAGAAAGCCGCCATTCTGCTGGAGATGGAAATGCCAGAATATCTGGGGGCCTATCGTGATGCTACCTGGCGGCTGAGAATGCTGGGCTGTCAAAGTCCCGAACGAGGATGCGACGCGGTCGTGGTTCTAGCCGACTTTGGTCCTTTGAAATCATTTGGCACAAGATTGAAGACCAAGAGAAAAGCCAAGTCAACTACCTCACTAACTTTGGCTTCGCGGAGCAAAGCCTATCTGCAAACTCATTATAGAGAGCTCAAGTTACCCAAGATGGCAGTCGAAGTGTTGCTGCCCTTTGGTCCAGTCTTCACGTACTATGATACGAAAAGCGGCATATGGGCGAATGACTGCACTGAGCCGCCGTGGTACCATCACATGCTAGGATCCTGGCTTCCAGAAGGTATACCGGATCCCTTTGACAAGCCCGAGGTATACATGGATGATAGAGAGCACCCAAGCTCATACGAAGTCGTTGCCAACCAAAACGACTGCCCTTCAGGCATGTCACAACACGAGTTCACTTCGTATCAAGCAGCCATATCGGGTGCTTACAGGAGGTGGATGGTCCTGGCGCTTGAGCTGGGATCTACGAATCTCAATCTCAGTGACCGCTCGACGGTCAAGTGCTTCAAACGTCTGGCGTTGCAGTCAGGACCACCGCAGTCAACAGCCAAATGGGATGCCCTGGGAAAATTTCATTCCGTGTTTCTCGACAGTGGGTTCTGTGAGACTTTGCAGCATCAGCTTTGTCTCCGTCTCAGCGCCTTGCAATCCAGTAGAAGAGACCTGAATGGCATGAGTGTTGTCATAACTTGCGCCTTGCGGCTACTTCACCTGAGCCAAGAGAACTCGGAAAGTAGCATTATGAAGCTGCTGCAAGAAGCTCGCAGCCTCCTTTCCCTGTGGATCTCCCAGTATCGCCAGGAGGTGAGATGCGCAAGGGACGGGAAGACGGCGCAAAGTTATGCTTTCAGTGCAGTCTGGGCGTCATTACTGTCTCGCCAGACGTTTACAACTGGCTCCTTCAACGAGCATGATTTCAATGAGACTGAAGCGTTGCATTTCTTCCGAGCATCCATCGCGTTTTCCGAAAATCTTATAGTCAACTTGGATGCTGTATCTCCGGATCTGCAGCAACTTCTTGCGCAATATGTGAGCTGGGCATACACAGTTGATGATGAGATTAAACAAATAACGTTGAGAAACACATTGGCGCTGGAGACAGCAATCAATGAGACATGGACGCATGCTAGAGAAACGGAAACTCGGTCTTTCTCAGAGTGGAAGTTCTGCGATGGGGGGGACTGGCTAACCGCAAGGACTGCTGCAACTCCTCTTATCTCGTCTCAAACTGTTCACTATCATCCCATTCAAGGCCATCTTTTGATAGATGGTAAAACGCTCGGACGGCTACCGCTTGCTATGCAAGAAGATGCGGGCATTACGGAGCTTTTCCAGGGGCAGCACCTCCTCACCAGAGCTTCAGGAGTGGCCGGAACGGAGTATCAAATCATTAACAGCGTGAATAATCACGAAGTACACGTCGGTATGAGCGAAAATGAAGTCATTATTCGCGCCAGATTCAACGGTCATCTACTCCAGTATGTTCCCCGCAGCATCTTCCGAAGCTATGCCACGTCGGACTTGCCGACGGGACTAGTTGAGGACTGCGTGCATTGGCTCAATTTGCAGACGGGCGAGCTTGAGATGCGTCGAAAACCAGGCATCTGGATCCGGAAGCCTACCAACTGGGTATTGGACGTTCGCAGTCAAACTGCTGTGCGCGGACGCACCCTGACTAAACCAGGCACGAGACTCGTTGAACCCCAATCGAACATAGGCAGGACCATTGCCGACATCTTTAGACACTTTGAGGACCCAGGGAATTTAACCATTTTCCAGCCTATGAGCGACAAAGGACGTCTCTCGGTCGAAATCAAGCGTCTGGAGATGCGGTTCTTTGTCAATCGAAAGGGACTACTGCAATCAAATCAGCTCAAGTCAGAAATTGATCCCATACAGAATATTGGCACACTCCACGGTCTGCAAAGCAAGATTGTCCTCCGAAACACTGCCAATCCTCGTCGCCAAAGCGTTATAGTACCCTTTGGGCCCTGTTTTTGGGAAAGGAACGGGCCACACGTGTCTGTTAGAATCCTTAACGACGGACACTATGCTCTCTTCACTGTCGATCCGCTCCTGGGCAGACTAAATTGCGCTCCTGAGCCTGCGCTGTTCTACATGAAAGCTTTGATACATGCACTTACGTCGTTTCCCCTTCCGGACAAACTCACCGGGCGCACCGGAACGGAAGAGGCCTGCATGTGCCTCACTGCTGCCCAGAGTCAGCCATGGAAGCCTCTGAACCCCAAGCCAAGAAATGTTCTATCCATAATCCTGGACCTCAGTCCCAAACGAGAGTACTATCCGCCCAGCCGCAGGCTGTACCAGCGTGTGACTTGGGATGACAATCTGACGGCGACAGTTCAGCACGAGCAATTGGCCATCCACGCCAAAGACATAATGTTGCAGTCTCAGGCTCTAGACAGCTTCTATGAGTCTAAAGTTAATGAGGATATGACCGGGTCGCCGCCTGTTTGGAGCCATCTTGCTCTTCGAGGTATTCTTCGTCGGCAAGTGTACGAACGCGTCAGGCACCCTTCCGACCTTGAACTTCTGGCGCAAGCAAATCAAAACACTGTCTACCACTCGCGTGGAGTTGATTTCCAAGCAGATGAAAGCAAAAGAGTGTATGGCGCCGTGAAGCAGCTGCGAGACAGGTCCAGCAAAATTCCGCCGTCACAGCCATTGTATCGGATTCTGAAGAAGTGGCGAGTTTTCGATGGTTTCAGCGACGCATTCGACACGCTTGATATCTCTCGAAATATCTGTATTGAAACATCTCAGGCTTTCGGTCCATTGATTCAATTACTGACGTCGTCTCCCGATGTCGCATCGGATCACATGGCTCAATTGAGCCTGGCGCTGTTTCTGTTTGGCACAAATCGTTGTGCAAAAGTCATTCAATGGCTGGTGGCAATCGGAAGCAATGTTTCCTTGCAGGCCATAGAGCCACCGAGAATAGAAAGACTAACCCAGTTCTATCCTGACCAAGTGCTCGATGAGTCGGTGATCAAGCAGCTCATCATATCTTGTCAAGAGAGCTACGTCAAATACATGTCGCAGATCGGCGCAGGCCGCAAAGCTCAACGTGCTGCACCACCCAACTTGGAGGCTTACAATCACGAAACTGAGCAAGAAGCCCAGAGAATAGCTTCTTGGTTGAAAAGTGCGTGGCCTGACTTGCCTCTCACGGATCGACTGTTTATCAAGGGTTGTGACCAACTAAGGCTGAAGATTGTGAGCGCGAAAAGGATATATGTCTCCTTGGAACCAGAACTGCACAGAATCGCACAGAATCGCGCCCTGTCCGAGTATATCAGATCGCTTGAAGCGGCTGCACAGCTGATACGCAACGACAGCAACTATGACAGAGACACTGAAAGCGTTCCGAGTACGGGTCCGTACCTGGTTGGGCCCGCTGCTTTGATTGGCAACGCTCAGTCGTCCCTTTTCAACCCAGAAGACTCTAGCTTCAGTGTACCATCTCTCACAGAAGTTGTTCTTTGTTGCCGAGAATACGCTGATCTGAATACTGAAAATTCCCATCCGAGCAAACAATCAACTCCAGAGGTCTCCCATCAAGCCGATACTGCAGGTATCCTCAAGCGGCTACCAACTATTTCGAGGGAGCTTTCCATACTGAATGATGTAGTTCAGCCTTTCAAGACCTCGAGGAACATGATTCAACAGCAGTATGGCCAAGACCTCGAGGAATCCATTGTGGCAATGGCAGTGTCTCTCGAGAAACCAAGAGCACCATCTCTGGCTTTGAGCCAAGATAGCCTCGATATTCAGATTCAGAGCAATTCTCTTAGCTTGGACACCCAGTATCATGCCCTCACTCAAGCCCTGGTCCCTCAGATTGCTTGCCATTACTGGCTCAAAGCAGGCCAACTGTGGCCATGCGATTCGCTGGTGGCAGTGCTCGAACAGCTTCGTCTCGATAATTACAAGTGTTTCTCTCCATCGATGCAAAAGGCGCTCATTTCTCTCGGTAGCTTGATCACCAGTCTACAGCGCCTCCAAAGAATCGAGGATGCAAAGCTGCTTCGCGACGACAAGAAGCTCTTGGAAGAATCACAGAGCGTAGGCCATTCCAACTGGAGTCCAGCCGACTATCCAGAATGGCTACTCTTGGAAATTGACAATAATATTCTCATTCGGCCATTACAGATTGACGTGGCCAAGGCCATCATATCTCCACATTCGGGCCACAACTCTGTTTTACAGATGAATATGGGAACAGGCAAAACCTCTGTAGTGATGCCAATGGCCGCACTTATACTGGCAGACACTACCAGACTTTGCAGAGTCATTGTGCCAAAAGCCCTGTTGCTTCAGACAGCACAGGTAATGCAAAGTCGCATCGGCGGACTCATTGGACGTCAAGTTCGCCACGTCCCTTTTTCCAGACGCTCATCTTCCGACGCGGCCACCTTGGCAAACTACATGAACATTCACAGCCAGATGCTTCAGACAGGCGGGCTCATGCTGTGTATTCCAGCACATGTCCTCTCTTTCAAGTTGAGTGGGCTGCAGCGACTTGCAGATCATCAACAGAAGGAGGGTAGACAGATGGTTGAGATTCAAGCCTGGCTGGACTCTACTTGCCGCGATATTCTGGACGAATCCGACATGACATTGTCAGTGTATACGCAACTCATCTATCCAAGCGGAGATCTCACAACGCTCGATGGCAATGCCTATCGATGGCTTATCGTGGAGCAGTTACTTGGTTTCGTGGAGAAGCATTCTTCAAACCTACAAAAGGATTTCGAAGGGAAAGTGGTTGTTGTGCAGAGACGTCAAGGCTTTCCCATTATACACTTTATCACCAAGGAACCTGAGGATGCGCTAAATGAGCTTCTGGCTGAGGACATCTGCAACGGCTGCTTGCCACAGCTCCAGATTCGAGAATCAGAGTCCGAAGACGCAAAGCATCTCATCAGGCGCATCATCAGCGGTGCTCATGTTTCGTCGAGCGAGTGGCAAAGCGCATGCAAGTCTCTGGAAGATGACCCTTTCGGACCCAAAGCTCTCTATTTGCTCCGGGGGCTCATTTCACAGCGGATTCTGGTGGTGTGTCTCAAGAAGAAGTGGAATGTCCAGTATGGACTGCACCCGGAAAGACAGCCTATTGCGGTTCCATTCGAAGCAAAAGGAACTCCTTCGCAAGCGGCCGAGTATGGACACCCAGACACTACCCTCATTCTTACCTGCCTTGCCTTTTACCAGCAGGGCCTCTCCAAGAAGCAGTTGAAGCAGGGACTGCAAGGTGTGATGCAGTCCGACGATGCAGCAGCTCATTACGATCGCTGGATCTGCTCCTGTACCGCTCTGCCTGCGTCTCTCCGGTACTGGAACTTGCTTGACCCCAAGAATGACTTGCAAGTTGAAACGCTGTGGGGGTATCTGAGGTTTGACCGCACCGTCATAAATCATCACTTGAATACATATGTATTTCCTCGGTACGCCAAGCAGTTTCCCGTGAAACTGTTAGCGTCGGGCTGGGATATTCCCTTATTGCAGTCAATCGACAGTGGCCAACAGCGCAGCTTGACAACAGGTTTCAGTGGCACCAACGACAATAAGCGAATTCTCCCACAGACAATCAAGCAGAATGATCTGCGCAAATTGCTCTACACGAATGCAGAGGTCTTGTGCTATTTGCTGGAAAGCAGAAACGCTGGCTGCCACTTGACGGCGGTGGAGGGAGTCCGTTTTGGCGAAGAGGACACTCTGCGATTTCTACGCGACAAAAGGATTCGAGTACTCATCGACGCAGGTGCTCATATTTTGGAAATGGAAAATCACGAGGTCGCCAGAAAGTGGCTCGACATCGACCCAGAAGCAGAAGGCGCACTCTATTTTGGAACAAACAGCCAAATCATGGTGCGGTCTAGGTTCCAAAAAGACCCAATGCCTCTTATCGCCAGTCCCTTTGCCAATGATATTCAAACTTGTGTCGTGTACATTGATGAAGGCCATACCCGCGGAACTGATTTGAAGCTTCCTGCGGACGCCAAGGGGGCGGTTACGCTGAGTCTGGGTCAAACCAAGGATCAAACTGTTCAAGGCAAGTTACCCCGCCCAAATGCCACAAGATATCAATCATCTTTCCAATCCCTTGACTAACCGGTTGATAGCTGCCATGAGACTGAGGCAACTCGGGACAACACAGTCGGTCGCGTTCCTGGCGCCACCAGAGGTGCACCGCAGTATTCTCGATTTGCGAGTGGCTCACGTGGGGGATGCTGCTCGAGCAGCTGGTCTCACCTCGCGAGACGTCGTTCGTTGGTTGCTGGAGCAGAGCTGCAATGCCAACGAGCAAATGATGAGCCTCTATCTCTCGCAGTGCTGGGACTTTTGCCGTCGCACCGATGTTTTGTGGAAGCATCCAGACTATGCCACGAGCAAGCGCGACCGCGAAAAGGTCCTCGACGTGATTAAGCAAGAGGAGCAGCAAACACTGCAGCAAATGTACGGACCGAGAGTGCCGTCCGAGATGGCTTGTCGCGTTCAGCTGGCATCTCGACAGCTTCAGACGTTTGCTGAGAATGCGGGCCAAATGGCTCAGTACGGGCAAACGAGCTATTCATCTGCGCTCATGGAAGTTGAGCAAGAACGGGAGGTTGTCTTGGAGGTTGAGCACATGCGCGAGAAGGAAACCCGCGCTCGCCATGTCGCACTGGCATTTCCGGGACTCGATACTGCAATTCTGGACTTTATTGCGACTGGTCGACTGAATACGGGCACTGGTACAAGTAGGCCTCTTCTGCAAGCTTTCGACTATGTGGGAAAGACAAGAATTGGTAAATCGTTTGGTGTTGGAGCGACCGAGTCTCGTCTCTATGTCTCCCATGAGTTCACTCATGCAATTGACACGAAAAAGGTGATGGAGAAGATGGACATTGTTGTGAGTTTGGACTATTGCCAAGAGACGTTTAATTCACCCTTGTACTGACAAGTATTGAACAGCGCCCCGTAAATTGGATTCTGTGGAGTCCGTCGTCGGAAACAGCTCTCATCATTATACCAGAGGAGGCTGATGTCGTCATACCTCTGCTCCGCAAGATGGTGAAGCCTCTTGTCTGGCTGCTGGGCTATACTGCTCCTGTGACAAAGTCAATGCAGAGCTTTAATTGCCTCAACTATCTGACGATCCCGAGGTGGCCGAGGGAGATGAAGGTGCCCGTCTGGCTTGGCATCGAAGTCGGCGTTTTCAGCGGCAGGTTATACTTTGAGTTTGCAGAGTACGAGCCTCTACTTGCATGGTTGGGCCTGCTTCCCGACAGTGATGAAAGGGCCGGGGCTGGCGGTTTCATCAGCAAGATTCACGAGCCGTTGCAGTTTTTGCAGGAATGGCTGACTTTTAGACGACAGACGGAAGACATTCTCTACACTCCTGCTGGGTTTGTGTGCCAACGGCAGCATCTTCATCAAGGTCATTTCTTCTTCTCTAGTGCGAGCACGGGCCCAACGGGAGCGGCGTCTGTGCCTACATCGGGGCTTTCTCAGGAGGTGATTGACGAGGAAGACTAAAAGATGACGAGTCATTGTTGTATGGTTTAAAAGTGTCGATGATTTAATTAAAAATTCGTTGCTTTGTCGGAGAGTTTTGTGTATTATTCATGTCTTGGCAGATGAGAAAGGCTCAATAAAGCTCAATAAAACTAAGAAAATCTTTTGGCATAAGGCTAAATTAAATATGATTAATTCATTGAGTCTGTTTATCGACTAGTGTCGTGTCCAGTTTGGTAATGGTAATGTAGGTTTAGGATTCTCCTGGAACCGGATCGCACGCGGCTGACTACTGACTATCGAGTCGGGATACGATCTCTGTATCATGGACAATCTTATTGGGATCCGCCTTTCCGCGCCCACGGGAATATCGGAGACGTAATCCCCTCGCAGCCCCTCGGACAGCACGGCGCACTAAGTTTGCCCAGTGGTGGCTGCCACACGATTTTTGAGATTTTGTGGGCAATGAAGGCCGATTGGCAGATTAGTAGCTTGGCAACCCTTGGCAAGCCTAATGCATACGCACCGATGGCTTCAACCGTATGTACCCGTTCTTCTAGAAAAGTCATTATTACGTCAAATACCCACAAGAACATGCACAGCCTTGGTCGCTTAGGACTGCCGGCTGCGGTCATTTAGCGTCTTGGAACCTTTGAACGCCTTGAAGCATTTACAAATCAATCAGTCCGGGACCCGGGGCTCGGGCGGTCCGGGGGGCTCGGGCGGTTCGGCAAAATGTGGCCGCCCTGATTGTTGATGATTTCGCTTGATGATTTCGAACCAAGGTGCCAGTGCCAAGATGACGACCCTGTCACTGTCACCCTGTTACCCTGTCAAGATATAGTTCCCAACTAGTGAACCAATGATTACTCGGCAATCGGTTGATTAGTTTGTTAAAGTGCTGTGGCTTTGGCCCGATGTCAAAGTTTCAGGTGCCATGTGCCGAGTCAAGCAGCGTCAAGGCGCGATTGTAAATGCCGATGAGATTTGTTTATACACCGCATACATATACTAGTGCCCGCACGGGACTCGACCCATCATTGGCTTTGCATTTGCCTTTTCTAGAAGCAGCAAACATCAAAGGTATATTACCTGGTACGCGAATATGCCTGATTGAAAGCAAGTTGACCATTTCGACAGGGTAATTACAATGTTTCTTCGCAGAGCCTTTGCTTGCCTTGCAGCATGTGCGGCTTTGACGCCGGCTGTATACGCCGCTTCAAACTCTTCATCAGACTCATGCCATTCTTCGGCTATTGAGCTACTCAGTCCGCAAACAACCATCCTCAATATCTCTGCAAAGAGAGTGGACAATTATCCCATCTTTCAAGGAGACTACTTTGACGTCTTTGCGCCCATACCTTCTACTATTTCCAATGTCAGCTTTTGCAACATTACCGTCACATACACACATCCCCAATGGGACGACACTGTTCAAATCTTCATCAGCCTGCCATTGCAAGGTTGGAACCGCAAATTCCTGGCCCTCGGTGGCGGCGGCTTCTCGACGAATCCGGCTCTTGAGCTTTTGCCCGTGGTTGCGTCTCTCGGCTACGCGTCTGCCGCGACGGATGGAGGACACGACGGCCAGGATCTGAGCTGGGCGCTCAAAAACAACAGCAGCCTGATCAATTACCCTCTCTTGACGGACATGGCGTCGGAGGCGCTCAAGGACATGACGGTGCTCGGGAAGCAGTTTACAGAGGCATACTATGATCAGGCTGCCGAGCAGACGTACTGGGTTGGGTGCTCGCAAGGCGGGCGCCAGGGCATGATGATGGCGCAGCGGTACTCGCACCTGTTTGACGGCATTCTTGCCAATGCGCCTGCCATTAACTGGAACGATTTGATTGTCGGCATGCAGTGGCCCTCGGTGTCCATGTACGAGACAAAGACGGTTCTTCCTCCCTGCGTCTTGACCGCATTCACAAAAGCTTCCATTGCGGCGTGCGACAGCCTCGATGGTCTCAAGGACGACATCATCAGCCTTCCGGGATCGTGCAAGTTTGACCCGTACTCGCTTGTTGGAAAGTCTGTCAGCTGCGACGGCGGCAAGATTACGCTGACCGACAAGCACGCATTCATCATCAAGCAGATCCTCGACGGCCCAACCACGCCCAGCGGGAAAAGACTCACTTTCGGCTCAGAGGTCGGCACCGATCTCTCTGCCGCAGTCAACACGACGTGCGCTCGGAACGGCACAGACTGCACGTCAAACGGCAACGTCTTTTCCAACGAGTGGATTCCCAAGTTTGTCGCCAAAGACTATGGCTTCAACCCACTCACCATTACCTATGACCAATTCTATGAATTCTTTGCACAGTCCAAAGAACGCTACGACTGGATCATTGGGACAAACAATGCCGATCTCCGTCATTTACGCAGCACCAACACCAAGCTTCTCACGTTTCACGGCCTGTCGGACGACATTATCCCCCCGCAAAGCACTGCAGAGTACTATGGCCAAGCGCGAGCGCTTGATGCAAACGTCACCGACTACTATCGGCTGTTTCTCGCCCCCGGTGTCAAGCACTGCGCGGGAGGTCTGGGCCCAAACCCGAAAGCCATGATTGACGTGCTGGAGAAGTGGGTGGTGGATGGCAAGGCGCCTACGCGGCTGGATGCGGTGGCGACTGCTGCGAACGGCACCAAGAGTCAGCGCTTTGTCTGCATGTACCCAGCCTCGTCGAGATATACGGATGGCGACCCAACGTTGGCATCGTCCTTTACCTGTAGCGAGGATGAGAGCTAGTGTGGCAGCGTTTTTTTTTTTTTTTTTTGAGGACGGCTTGCCATGTATACCTTGTTGTCCCTGGGTCTCGCTGGTCAAGGTCAGGGTTCGGCGTGCAGCTATTTGCCGACTCTACGCGTAGCCATTCACTATATCATGGACATGATGGATGAAGAAATAGCAAAAAAGGGGTTTGTAAAAAGCAAATCGCAGTTGATACCTAAGGCAGTCATATAATAATAGCGCACGTAATCAAAAGGTCTTTTTCACTGTTCGTGTAACACATCGCAACCCTACTAGCCAGCCAACCGCCCAACTTTGCAACACACACACAAACATTGGAACATGCAGCAAAAGTATTTTTGCGCTTCGCTCGTACGACGACGTTACTTACTTTTGATCCCCGCAAATGTTGAGACACATACTCATGCGATGGCATAGCTTTCTCGGTCTTGCGAGGCAAAGGCCCTTCTGGTATCGCGACCGTTTACGCGAGGAGCTGCAAGAACGCCGCGAGGCGGTGACGCTGTTGCAGAAACTAAGCGAAACTGCCGACGTCTTTTACATTCTCAGCCGGGCAACGCACGACGGCTATCCGCTACAACAACAGAGTGTGCCGCCGTTTAGACCGATGCGCCACATGCTCATCTACACCTACATGATTCTCAAATACACGTCGAGGTGGCTGTTTTACCGCGTGGCGGCGGCCATGGCGTGCCGCTCTGCAAGCGCCGGCAGCGAGGTGCGGGAAGTGATTAACCCAGCCAAGAACAAGAAGATTGGGGAGGTGGCGGCTCGTCATGGTCTCGATGCCGTCGAGTTTGAGCGAGTGTGTTGTCGATTAAGACGCTTCTGGCCCCTTTTTCCATAGATTCTGTCTGCGCAGATGCGGGTAAGGAAGGGCCTACCACTACTGCACGACACTGGTGAACTGCAGGGCTGGTTTGATCACAACAAGACAATATTTTCTCCCCTCAATCAAGTTACCATGTTGTCTGGTAGACAAGAATACGCTCCCATACGAGTGTACTATCCTCCATGCAGAGGCGTCGTGCGCGAGGCTGAGGCGTCTGCGCAAGGCTCGACGTCGCAGGTTGTTGGAGCGCATGTCAATGACTGGAGCAAGAGCGCAGGGGCAGAGACCATCTCTCAGAACCGGCTTTTATATGTCGACAAATTAAATACACCTATTTGATATGTGTGACAGCTACGGAGACCGCACCTGTAAGTTGGTCGATTTTGGCGCTCTCTAGCCAGCGCTTCGGCTTGTGCATGGGTCGATAAATTTACACAAGGACAACACTACTCTCATATCATAGCTTCCACAATAAATAAATTACTTGATCTCAGTGCCCAGAAACTGCCCCCAGGCTTACATTGACACATACATGTTAAACTATTGCGTCGATCTCGAGTTTGCGTTTCGTTGCCCATGGAGGCGGACTACCCTGAAGCAATACGGAATAATGCTGCAAGCGCTGGAAGGCAAGTAATAACCCATAGTGCCTAGGCAGCCTCTGTCCTGTGCTGGCGCTTGAGATGCGTGACCAAATTATTTGGCCAACTTACCTCTTGAGCGAGAGCTGCGTAGACAGGCCTACAGCCCTTGTGCAAGTCTCCAACGTTGCATGCTGGGGGAAGCCAAGGCACAGAGACCAAAAATAGCATCTCCAACTCGCACAACACACATGTGATAGTTTCATCTGATTCGATCTCTAGCCGCCCAGAAATTACAATGCACCATGTATTTTACTTCCCCTGCAGCACGATCGACACCTCGTCGAGGGGCGGCGGCAAGCTCGCTGGCGGGGCCATTTAGCTGAAGAGCCAGACCCATTAAAAAGTCGTCACTTTCCCGAACCATGGCCTGACATTTTTCCTCGAGCTCGCTTTTTTTTTCTTCTCAACACCCATTCAGCCATTCCAGGTCGTCAAGAAGGTCTCAATTACACTATGAAGAGAAAGGCGAGCGACTCTACGGGCGGACAAGCCTCTCGCTCCAAGAGAGCCAAGGCTTGTGAGTACCAATACCGTATAGCTCTCGGTCGCAAAAGCTTGCAAGCGCCGAAACACAGACCAATTGCTAACCAACAATCTTGCAGCCCCGAAGCCCGAAGAAGCCCAGAAGCGGTTCCGAGACGGCCTGTTTGACAAGAAGAACCTTGACGCCTACCGGACCGAGTACGCAAAGTCGACACCCTACAAGCATGCAGTCATACACGAGCTCGTCAACGACAAGCTGCTACGCTCCGTCCGCGAAGAGGTCCGCGCGAATGTGCATTTTACGCCCAAGGAGACGGACATCTATAAAATTCACCAGTCCGGCGATCTCGCCAATCTCGACGGCCTCGAAGACGAGTCGCTCGCCAAGCTCCCCTCGTTGCTGGCGCTGCGCGACGCCATCTACTCCGAGTCGTTTCGCGATTACGTCGCGGGCATCACCGGATGCGGCCCCCTGAGCGGTCGCAAGACCGACATGGCCATCAACGTCTACACGCCGGGCTGCTACCTGCTCTGCCACGACGACGTCATCGGCAGCCGCCGCGTCAGCTACATCCTGTATCTGACGGACCCGGACACGCCCTGGCAGCCCGAATGGGGCGGCGCGCTGCGCCTGTTCCCCGTGCAGGAAAAGCAGGGCGACGACGGCAAAGTGGCCAAGACGCCGCTGCCGGACGTGGTCAAGAGCATCCCGCCCGCCTGGAACCAGCTCAGCTTCTTCGCCGTCCAGCCCGGCGAGAGCTTCCACGACGTCGAGGAGGTGTACCACGCCGAGCCTGAGGAGCAGCTGAAAAAGGACGGCGGCCGCGTGCGCATGGCCATCAGCGGCTGGTTTCACATCCCACAGCCCGGCGAGGAAGGCTTCGTACAGGGTGAGGAGGAAAAGAATGCCAAAAACAGCAGTCTGATGCAGCTGCAGGGCAACCCGGCTCAGTACGACACGCCTCAGGCCCGCGTGGTACCCGTAGCGAAGACGGAGAAGGAGGGCGAGACCGAGGAAGAGGATGAGGACGCGTTTGATGAAGCTGATCTCACGTTCCTGCTCCAATACATCTCTCCCACGTACCTCACCCCCGACGTCCTTGAGCAAGCTTCCGATATCTTCCTCCAGCGCTCCATCATTACCCTAGACAACTTTCTCTGCAAAAAGTTTGCGGAGCGCGTGCGCAAGTATGTCGAGGAGCAGGAGAAGAAGGCTCTGCCCGCGGAGAGCAGCGCCATTGAAAAGACGACGCCCTGGAAGGTGGCCCGCCCGCCGCACAAGCACCGCTACCTCTACCAGCAGCCCAGCCTGGCCGACGAGGAGCCGCGCACCTCCCAGGACGAGTCACCCATCACGGAGCTCCTCGACCACGTGCTACCGAGCCGCGCGTTTCGTAACTGGCTCGCGGTGGCGGCCCACTGCGACGTCCTCAGCCACGACATCATCGCGCGCCGCTTCCGCCGCGGACAAGACTATACGCTGGCGACGAACCATGAAGGCGCCGCGCGGCTTGAGCTGAACCTGTCCATCACGCCCACCGCTGGCTGGGGCGAGGACGACGACGGCGAGGACGGGGAGGAGGCGGAGGAAGAAGCGGCCAAGTCTAAAGGCAAGGGCAAGGGCAAGGACAAGGCGGCGGCCGAGACCAAGGGCAAAGAAAAAGTCAAGGCAAAGGCTGCGGAAGAAGACGATGCCAAAGAGGTCGAGGATGTTGGTGGTCAGGAAGTGTACATGGCTGACGACGACGACGACGAGCAAGAAGACGCCGCCGTATACAAGGCCAGCAGCGACGAGGACAACAACATCTTGTTCCACCAAACCCCCTCGTGGAATAAGCTGAGCCTGGTCCTGCGCGACCGCGGCACGCTCAAGTTTACAAAGTACGTCAGCCGCAAGGCGCAGGGCGACCGCTGGGACATTTGGGGCATCTTTGACGTTGATGACGCGGTCGTTGTTGAGACCTCGAGCGCGGATGAGGCGGGGCCGTCGAATGGCGGCGAGGTGGCGCTGGGCGAGTCGGACATGGAGGAGACGTTTAACGGCTTCTCTGATTCGGGGGATGACGAGTCGGACTGAGAGGCCGGGATTCGTCTTGGCCAATTGTTTTCTGTTTTGGGCATGTTGAGTTTGCATAGTAGAGGAAGTTTTTCTCGTTGGTCAAGCGTTTGGAATCAGGTGATATATAGCTGCAGCATGGAATGCTTGACAAATAAATTGATGATGGCTTGAAAGAAAAAAAGTTAGGGTTTGATTCATGGCAAAACATGCTTTTATTCCGGCTTCTATACAAATGGGACATCCTGATGCTAAATGTGGTCATAAATAGTTCTATGGTACAGTCGAGGTGACAAGGCACAGTTTGCGGCCTTGAAAATGTATGTGTGAGGGGGTATCATGAGAAGAAAAACGTGAAACGAGTAGCAGATTAGCTAAGTTCTGCTTTCGGTGTGAATAGACCTGCCAGCTCTTCCTGCAATATTTGCGTAAGAGTCTGCGCTTCCTCGCCGAGTCCCGACAAAGTCAGATGATTGACAGTATCGTAGCCTAGATAGGCGACCCACGGCACGGCGCCGAGGCTCTTTTGCTTGGCCTGGGTAAACTGTTCCTGGGTAATGCCGTGCACAAGCCGGCGGAGCTCCTTTTTGTCGCGGAAGAACTGCATGGCAAGCGCGGGGTCCGGGTGCGTCGGATGATAGAGGTGAAGATGAGCCGTCTCGACGGAGAGCGGCTGCTGTAAGCGGCTGGCGGTGTCGAGGTGCGCGTCAAAGAGCCGTTCCGAGGGTGCGAGGCGGCTGTATGATTCTACAGTGGTCAGCCACGAGACGGAACGCCACGGCAAGACCAGGAGCTTGGAGAGCAGCGGGTTCTTGGCGAGGAGCTGCTCGGCGCGCAGGATAGTGGAGATAGCTCCGTCAAGGTTGCCGTGCTGCGGCTGGCTCTTGACGTGCACAATCTGCGCCAGCAAAAATGACGCTCTGCGCAGACGCGCGTCTTCATCGAGGCTGTCACTGCGCTGCATCGTCTGCTGGATCCACTGCCAGGCAATCTCCTCCATCTTCTCGGCAATGAGGAACGGCGCCAGCGCCTTGACAAACGCCTGGTGCTCCAGAAAAGCCAAGTCGTTCTCCGCGCCCGTTGAGCGTAGCCAGCGCACGACGCGCAGCGCCGTGCCCGACGACGAGGCGGGGCCCGTGTCCAGCTCGCGGGCGTCAATCTGCTTCTGCTTGGTCATGACGCACCCCGCCGCGGCGTTGAGCGTCATCAAGCCCTTGGCGACGGCATGGTCAAAATCGTCCATCGGGTCACGCTTGGGGAGAGAGAGGGGCGAGGGGATAGTGGCGGCGGCGGTGACGCTGTTCTTGTTGTATGAGAAGAGCGGGTTGGCGAGGATGGACCGGAGATGGCGGCTGGCGGCCGAGTGCCGAACGACGCCATTGGAGGCGGAGGAGGAGTTGCTGAGAGACTTGGATTTATGATTGGTGTGCTTGGTCAGAGCGGTCTGACCGTATTCTTGTTCAAGTTGTAGACGAAAGGATGATTTCAGAGCGTCGAGTAGCTTTTGCGATTGCTGCGCCGAAAGACCCGGGGGTTCATGGTAGCCAGCAAAGAGCTTACGCAGCGAATTGACTGGTTTCGTGGAAAACATTATAAAAATCGATAATATTGTTACGGTGCGGCCGAATGGCAGCCCGAAAAAAAAAATCGCCTTGACGTAAAAGAGAGGCAATGAATGATGCTTGATGTATGGATGGCATGTATGATATCAGCTAATTCAAGCCAAGACTCACGCCGTCGATCTGGCGGGCTCAGCTATCGATAGCAATCAGTCACGTGATCAAAGCGTAGAGAGCTCAGTTTGGCGGAGACTGTTGGCAAAAAAAGCAAAAAGGGAGCTTGCAAAAGTGGAGCGTTCAGCGCGCTAACCGAGAAGAGCTGAGCTAGCTGCTTGCTGCTGCTGTTGCTGCTGTGTCGCCAAAGCTGCTCGCGACCAAGGGCCATGTACGTCTTGAGACGCTGACCGGCGATAGTTTGAATCTGCTGAGACTAGGTAAGGATGCCGAGCTTATGCATGTGCTCTGCCATTCTCGCCCTTGGAAGGGGGGGCCCTTTCTCTAACTACCTACGCTGTTAGGCGAAATCTAGCGGGCGGTGGGGTGTTTGACGATGCGTCCTCGCTACTGCAAACCCCTATAAAGCACATGCGATTGCTCATGTACCAGGGTAAAACGCGAGCCAACCTGGGCAAGTATCCCGATTTTCTTGATTGACTTTTCTCTGTTGATTGGATTCCTTTGTGCTAGCTATTCATTATTCCTTGCGAAATCAGGGCAGGGCCAATTGGCACAAGGGGAAAAAAGGCGAGTGGGCTGGAGGGAGGCAGGTAAGGCAGGTATCGGTACCTGATTGTGCCTGTTGCCCTAGGCAGCAAAGAGGTCAAGGCTACCTACATGGGGCCAGCGGGTAGGTGCATAGGTAAAAAGGTACCCAGGCAGCGAAGCGGCAAGCCGGCGAGGGAGTCAGTACGACTGGTGTACAAGCACAGCATGATTAGATAGGTGCAATCACAAGCGCAGGATATTAATTGCGTACAAGCACAACCCGAGTGAACAAAATCGATAAAGAGGGGGTAAGTGAATGGGCAGGCGTCCGCCTGTAGGTACCTTGGGTAGCACGTAGGTACCTAGGTAGGGAGCTTTGGTGTGCCTGCCTGGCGGGTTTGGCAGGCAAGGGGGGGCATCACCGGCCGCTAAAAACTAAAATCGGCGTGCAAACTTCACATCCTTCCACTGTACCAATACCTTGGCGAAAACCCTCCTCGCTTCCTCCACTTGGATTCATCCTCTTCTCATCAACCACAACACCACCCATCGTCGTCGCTCCCGTCGATATCTCCTCCATCTAATCCACCGTCGATTCGGACTTGGTAGCTGGTCGTCTTTTGTTTACGTACCTCTGCCTGTCCTCGTTTGCTTGCAGAGGCCACCTGACCGGCCGCTGCCCTTTCCACACAACCAGCCGCTCCCAAACTCTATTCTCGAGCTCTAGCTCCTTCTCCTCTCCGTCACATCAATACTCTTCCTCTACGCCCCTCATGTCCGAGGTCACATCACGGTCCTCCGCTTCGCGCGGCAGAGGCTCTGGCCGCGGCGGCCGCGGCGGTTTTGCTGGTCGTGGGGGTCGCAGACCCAACGGCGCCGACAAGCCCGATCACAGCGATTCCCCCGCCGCCTTTGACGACGACGCCGACCTGGGTGAGCTCCGAAAGCTGTATGGAGATAAGACTTCTGTCATCCGCGAGATGTTCCCAGACTGGTCCGAGGCCGACGTGCTTTTTGCCCTCCAAGAGACAAACGGTGATCAATCCGAAGCTGTCACGCGCATTGCTGAAGGTAGGCTTGCTATTTCTCTTTTAGCCGACAATAAGCTCGCACCCAGGCGCACTCCGAACCGTCAACGCCAACGGCGTCGCATTGCCCTCGTTGCTGCATCCTGCTTTCTTCATGTGACACGACTGACCGCATTCTCTTCTCTCTTTAGGTACCATTTCTCAATGGGGCGAGGTTTCCAAGGCGAAGAAGCCCACTCGCACAAAGGCTAAGGATACTGCTCCTGCCACCGCGACTACGACTTCCGAACAGACCACCGCTGCGCCCCGCGCTGCTCGCGGTGGCCGCACCGTTTCCGAAGGAGGCAGAGCACGCGGCCGAGCTACAGAGAGAGGCGGCCGCGGTGGTGCCCCTCGCGGTCGCACTGCCCAGCCCTCTACCAACGGTGCCTCGCGCAATAAGGAGACCCATCAGCTGTCCGTCCCTACTGAGGAATCACCTGCTTTCGGCGAATCCAAGGCCAAGGCTGAACCCGTCGATGCCAAATCTACCCCCGAACTGCCCAGCAACACCACTGCCAAGACGTGGGCCAGCATGCTTCGCCAGTCCACTGCCGTTGATAAGCCTGCTCCTCTACCTGGTCACATCAAGGGCAAGCCTGCCGATTCCGCAGAACCAGCTGAAACCGCCCCCGAACCTATTGCCGCCCCTGTTACCGAAGAAAAGACCAAGGCTGATGAGGAGACGACTCCCGTTGCCACGCATGCCGATTTGGTTATTGAAGAGCCCGCGCTACCCCCGCCTAAGGACGATCTCACAGAGACAAATCTTGAACAGGTTATTGACGACTCCCAGCCAGCTGCCACTGGCACCGCCGCAAGCACTGCTGCTGACTCTTGGGACCCACGACAGAGCCCTATTAGTTCCACCGCCACTCCTCTTTCCGCCGCTCACCAGCAGCACCAGCGGGTGCCCATCAGTGGCTACGCCGCCTCTGCGCTCAAGGCTACCACTGACAGAACTGCTCGGCCACCGGGCTTCCAGCGCCGCGTTCTCGACCAGGAAGAGGCTGTCCGCATGCCCGGAAACCGTGATCTTGATCGCGCTGCTGTTCAGTTTGGCGCTTTTAATCTCGGTGATGGTGATGAGGACGTTGATGGTGAACGCGAGGACGCCGAGACCCGCGGTCAACCTCCTGCCGATTCTCCTGTGGCCCAGCCTCGTACTTCGCTCCCTCCTCCCGTTGCTCAACCCTCTGCGGTACCGGATTCCTTCCCCAAGGCCACTGCTCCCGGTATGTTTTATATTTCTGCCATCCAGTCGCTTTTTGATTGTAAGGCTAACAATCTGACAGGTGCCGGAACTACGTCACAAATTCCAACTCAGCGTGCGTCTCATCTACAAATAATCTGTGTATTATCTAAAACTAATAATGTGCACAGCCGCCCACCCTGCCATCCCCGGCCAGCAGTATGGTCGCTACAGCCAGGAACCCTCTGCTCAAAAGCCCATCGATCCCTTCGGCCAGCAGGCTACGTCCGTTTCTCAACCTCCCTTCGATAGCTTCTCCGCCGCCACGACTCAAACTCCCTCCCAAGCCGCCTTCAGCTCAGCCCCCTCCGATTACTCCAATTACTACACGGCTAACCAGCAGGAGCGCAACGCTTATAATAATTACTATGCCCAGCATTACGGACAGCAGCAGGTCCCCCATGGCCAGCATGATGCTCAGCAGCGACCTCTTGGAGGCTACAATGCCGCGCAGGCCGATAGCTTGAGCCAGTATCCCCAGAGCGGAAGCTCACACGGCCAGCCTCGTTTTGGCGTCGCCGCCGACAACCAGAACAGTGGCCACTCGACGCCTAACCCAGCTGCTCAGACTCAGCAGCAAATTCCTCAGGGCCAGCAGGCTCAGCCAGGTCAGCAGGGACAAACTGGCGCGCCTGGGTCTCAACCTCAGGGCCACGGTCAACAGTATCCCGGCTACAACCACCCGTACTACCCTTACTACCACCAATACTACTCTGGATACGGCCAGGGCAACTTTGGACCGTATGGTGGTGGCAAGGGTGGCATGTACGGCCAACCCTACGGTGTGTCTCCGAACGCGCCTTATGACCATGCCAGTTCCCCCGCCAACTTTGCACCCTCCAACGCCCATCGTGATAACAACGCCAGCTCCGGTCTGGGTGACTATGGTCGTGGAGCTGCTAGCCAGGCTGGCTCTCAACCCGGTCTTGGTGCCACTGGCTTCGGTGGCTCCCACGACAGCTTTGCCCGCGGCGGTTCCGCCTTCCAGTCTCAGGCTCAGGGATTTAACAGCCAGACCCAGCCTGGCAGTGGTGCCTCGGCCGCTGACGACTTGAAGCCTTTCGGCGATGGCAAAGGTGCACCTGGGCCCTCTCCCTCTCTTGGCGGCGCTCGCCCTGGATCGGCCACCAATACCGGTCCTGGCGGTCAGGCTAGCGGCCTGCCCCCCCAGGTCTCCCAGATGGGCGGTGCCTACGGCGGCTACCCTAACCACCTGCAGGGTCATGGTGCCCACGGCAGCGGTGCCTACGGAATGGGTGCTGGCGGCGCCGGTGCTAATCAGCACGGCAACACACCTTACGGCTCCTATGGCAACCAGGGTTTCGGCAGCGGAGGCTACTACGGTGCCGGCCAGCAGCAGCAGCGCGGCGGCTGGGGTGGCAACTACCATTAGTGGGGTAGAAACCGTGATGATAAGCGACGCGGCCGCCATCGTCGTGAGGGCCCGGGCTTTCGCGACAACGAGAGCGTAGAACGAGAAGTACGAGAATGTCGAGCGCTTGCGCTAGGCTCGCTACGGCGCAGCTGAACGCAATCAAAGATGAAGCCTGCGGGACGGCTTGTTTCGCAGCTAATGTATTCTGTTTGTCACCGGGGTTCATGGTGACCAGGGGAATTGGGACGGAAATGCGAGACGGATGGATTGTCTCGACTGTTCAACTATGCATAACGTGTACGATTGTTTCTATGGACTAGTTTTTTCTATTTCTCTTTTGATTTTGCTCGTTTTCTTATTCCCAAAAATCACCAAAGGAGGACATGGCACATACCCAACGACGAGCACTGGCGACGTGCACCTAACAAGGAGCTAGGATTCGGCCAGCTTTGGTCGGGCTTGCTGTGGACGGCCTCGGCTGTTTGCTTCGAGGAGGTGATGCGGTCGGTATTTTTGTTTTCACTTGCGATGCAATAGCAATACGAAAGGAAGGGGAGAATAAAAATGTCATTGTTTACGGGAACGGAAAGGGAGACGAATTAGCAACGGCAAAGGAAAGATTGGTCATATGTATAGGGGCATGATGGCTGTTTAGCATGACGAATGATGCTATGGGGGCGTGTATAGTCTAGACAGCCAGAATGAACGCATTGACGAGGGATTATTTGTTCGAGATGCGTATTCGTAAAGAAAGGCGCGGGAATGGGCTATTGTCGTAGATGTTTGCTCAACCAAGCCCATTACAGGTCTATTAATAACGGGCAGCATTCCACCGCGACCGCGTGTGAGTGAATGTCAGCTACTTTCTCCTGTAACAGTTACTCTCAAGCTGAGCAGACTCCCGGAGAGGTAGAAATGCGGAGAGGTAGAAATGCCGTCCAACAAGGATGCGCAGGGCCATTATGGCCGCCATTGCCAGGGACTCAAGCAAGATTCTCGGCCGCGTCATTGGCGATTGCGCGATTGAGCCTCCGGGGCTGTACATGCCCCCGCGTCGGTCCGTATAACCCCATCTTTCCCTCCATAAAATTTCTTTGGTTAACAAAAGCACCATCCTGCAGAAGCCAAGCCGCTTCCGCAGATTCCGCCTCCCCGTCGGCACGAGCCCGCCACCGGCGCCGTTCGCGCGGTACGACGTCATCTGCCTGGACTTTGACGCGCCATATCCCAGTCTGCCGTTTTTTCGGGCCCGTGCTGCCACTGGATCCAGGCGGACCTCGTCGTCGCCCCGGTCATCGTCTTCCGACACGGCTCGGGTTACGATGCTCGAGGTCGCAGACGGCAGTTTTGGGGGGGGGGGTGCATTGCGGAGTACTTGTCCCCGAACCCGTCGCCGGGGAGCGCGCCGCACCGGTACGGGTTTTACCTGTATGAGCAGCCGCCCGGGTTCGACGCGACGCGGTGGATGGCGCCGGCGCCGGGAAGGCAGGGCGAGATGGGAAACTGGAAGAGGATACGGTACGGACTGGATGGGTGGGCGAGCAAGGCTGGTCTGGGGGTGATTGTGGCGGCAAATTACTTTACGAGCAACTGAGCGTGAGTTCGTTGAGGGTTGTCGCTGCATGCGAGGGGATGTTGAGGGGTAAATATTTCGCTGTAGGGTGAAGCGTTGCGAACCATACAACAGATGAACGTTGTTGTAATCAATAATTTTGATTTCTTTACCACCGTATTTCACCATCAGACACACTCCTCCCTCCCAGGTATCAAAAAAAAAATGAAGCTTTCCCATGCTCCCAACCAGCTATAGAAAAGCACCGAGGCAAGAATGTAATAAAACATCCATCCCGACAATAAAACTTCTAAAAAAATCTCGTAGCAATCACGAGTCAGAAACAGTAACCAATCAAGGATGAAAGAAGACAACAAGTAGGCAACACAGGAAAGCAGACAAGCAAGCCTTGGAAAGAAGAAAAGAATTGTCTAGTTGAAAAACGCCTTCCAGTGAATGAAACCGGCAACGCAAATGATTGATTGGCTTATCTACTCATTGAGCAGATGAAACAGGGAAAAGTCAAACAAAAGACGAGACTGAAATGTCTTAATACTGATGATTAAGAATCAGATATCAAAAAGAGGCTGCCGTAGAATCAGAGGTTTGGGGTCCAAAGGTCGCACTGGCAAAAGGGAAGTCGTCCTGACGACTGTTTTGGAATGAACAAAAGTTCACAAATGAAAATGAAAAATGAGTCGCTTGATCGGCCAAGAATGCTGCCAACATGATCCGTGGCTATAAAAGGGTTTCAATGGGAAACAAAAAAGAGGCTCCGAAGACAGATATAATGAAAGATTCATAAGTCGTAAAATGGGCTGGAATAGCACCGCCGTTACATGACCACACAGCAGCCGCAACCGTCTTTCTTAATTTCCTCTGGTACAGACTGCGGCGCTTGTTGTACTGGGGGTGAAGTGGTTTGTAACGGACCCATGATGGCGTTATTGGCCGGACGAGGACTGGGGACTGGCGTGCCTGGCGGTTTGTCGATGATCTTAGGCATGGTAGAGTACATGGAACCGGTGCGCATCAGCGGTCGGTTCGTGATGGCCGGCTTGAGCGGCCACTCATCCTCTGTCGGCTCACCCTCTTTTTCGGGCTCGACATTTTCAGCAGTATGTTTTGGAAAACCCAGAGAGTTTGTGTTGAGAGGACGAAAGTCCTTATCGTATGCGTCACCAAACGTGCCCTCCTTCTCCATCTGCTCCTGTGCCATCTTCTTGGCAACAAAGGGAGGAATCTGCTGGTCGGGCGGCAGTCGCGGATCGGGCTTGAACGTGTTGGCCATCCACGGCGGCTCTCCTTCGGGATGCTTCGCTCTAGAAGCGGTTCGACTATTTCGTGTCGGTGGGCGTGATCTAGCGCTGCTAGAGGAGTCCTTGCCTCTCGTGCCTGGTCTCATAGGGTTGCTGGCGCTATTCTTGCGCGCGTGCTTCTTGGGCGAAGAATCTGTAATGGATGGCTTACCGTTTGTCGCACTACTGCTGCTATCTCTAAAAGCGGCACTGGCGCTGCGAGAACGAGTTTTGTCATATGAGAGGGGGGCGTCGTCATCAGAGTTTTGGCGAGCTGCAAGGGAGCCATGCTCGAGAAATTCAAGAGCAATTGGGACCGGGCTGATTTTAGCAACAGGAATTCGGGTGCTGCCGGTGAGAGCATTGTTGGTAAAATATGAATTGGCTTGGGCATCGGCAATCTCCTGGGGCGTTCGCAGATCCCAAGTTGGTGGCGAGGAGAGCGGCTCGAGAGATGCGGAATCCTTCTTGGTGCGGTTCGTATTGGGTTCGGGTTCCGCAGTATGGCTGAGGCGGCTCTCATTTCTGCGTGCGGCGCGGCTGGAGCTTCTTCCCTTGGGTAGGAAGAAGCCAGCAGCTTCGAGCTCCTCGGTCTCTATTCTGGCCAGTTTATCTCTATGGATCCATTTGGATTGGTCCTGGCTGTATACAAATTGGTCACTTTTCGCCTTCTCCTCTTCAGAGAGGCCCGGGAGCAACTCTCGCTGGTAGTCGGAGGATTTGGACCACTTGGAGCTGTGTAGATTATCTGCGGATCGCATTTTGCGGGTGGTCATGTCCTGCGTATATATTCTTGGTGCAGTACGGGTATCGTGCGCGGGAGGGGCAGAGGATTTCTGAGCCTGTTCGTAGGACATGGGTGCATGATCGCGGAGGGGGGCCTATAACGGTAGGTGACGGCTGGTTAGTTTTACGGCATTGACGCCCCTGAGGCAGGCGGGGAAGGCGGCGACGTACCTCCGCGTTGGTAGCAGAATAGTCCCAATCATTTCCATCGCCATGGCTGCTGCTCGGAGGAGTCAAAGCCGACACCGGGCCCGGTACAGTGGCCACGGCAGCCATTGGTGACTACAACAGCGGGACAGCAGTGGCTGATGCAGAGTGTGACAAAGTGAGGAGGCAACGGGCAATGGCGGCAGCCAACGAGGGCCAGAAGATTGGGGAGGTGCACACGCTCAAGACAAGAGAGAAGAAACAAAAGAGCCCGCGTTGGGAGAGGTAAGCACGGACACAATCGAGTGAGTTTTTTGGGCGAGCGGCCACAAAGTTTCACAGAGATTGCCAACCGTGGATACAGTTCGGTCGTGGTGTGGTACGACAAGGCGAGGCAGTGTGTGATTAGTTGATGTTGTGGGAGCTGGATCGAGGCAGCTCATAGACGATCATGCGTCGTAGACTGTATGCAAAGGACAATGCAGGCTGGGAAACGGTAGAAGGTAGACAATAGACAGTGAACGGTTCAGACGGTCGAGCAACGGGAAAGAATACCGGACATGGGACTAACGAGGCCAGTAGAGGAAGAGATGAGAGAGAAGAGTATGTGGCAGACCAAGGACAGCCAAAGCGGAGCAGGGCCATGCATTCACAACGATGCAGATTGTGAATGGTGGTGGGCGAGTGGATGAAGGGGTGGACGGGAGCAGACGGGAGCAGACGGGGTTGCTTTGTGCTTGGTGGAGAGATGAGGAAAGGAGGCATCATGGATGGATGGTGGCGGCGACCACGGCCTATTTCGGTACCTGAGGTACCCTGGAATCTTGGGCAGATGGGCAGGTACCTGACAAGATGATTTGCATCCAGGCTTGGCGCCCGTTACAGTGATGGCTGCAGTACTTTTCAAAGTCTTACAGCACATTCTTTCCCAATCTACAGCGCTACTGCCCTGGAAGCCCACTAAACAGCCGTGGTGTTTAATTTCTTTTTCTGCCTCAAGGCAGGGTCCAACAAACCCCACCTCCTCACTTCAAGCACGACAATAACAGCGATGAATCGAATCAAAGTCGACCGGCTCAACACAGCTGCTTAGATGCCGAGTGGTGCGAGATTCCGATATTCTATTTCTTCTGCAAACCATTCGGCCAGCAAAGCTTTGCGAAAAGTGCCATGTCTTGTGTTTAGCTGGAGCCCACTGCCCTGGTGCATGTAACTTACAGATTAATTGCATGCATGGGGGGGTCATGATCCGTGCGCACCAGCCTCTAACCAGGCGAGCCATTGCCAAACGAGCTGGTGGGAACATGCAGAGACATCACATCGAGACACAATCAAAAAGTGATGTGGAAAATCATTGCTGGTATTCCCGACGCGTCACGGCAGTCTTGACTCTATTTATGTTTGTACCTGCTTTTAATGCATGCCTGCTTATCCATGCTGTTATTCGTACAGGCTGGCGGCCAACGGTGCCGCATGTACATACATACCTATACAGTATATCTCACAGAATTCCGTATCGGCATCTTTTGGCTTTCAGCTGCCAGCTGCTGCTGTTGGCTCAACACCTTCACCCCAAGTACCCTGGAGTCGCATTCAAATTCCACTCGCATCACCATTTAACATTCCGTCCCTCCAATCCCTTCTTCATCGACGCGTCTTTGTTTTCCCCACGCAAAATCATTGTCGACGCTACTGCCCATAGCGTCCCCTGCTGCCAGGCTTACAATTGTTTAGGTACCTCAACTTCAAGTGGGCTCGCTTGAAAATCTGTCGACGGCTTTGACTGTGCCTTGCTAACGATGCCTATCTAGTATCGTGGGCATTGTCGCCTACCATGAGAGCCAATCGAGTCTATAATGCATCGCCAACTACCGCCCTTCCATATGGCTGCCAGCTCAACGTCCAACATCCAATCCGCCAGTCCAAACGCATATTCGACCCACGGCTGATTTGCTTGGCTCGTGCAGCTGCACTGGGGCGTCTGAGATTACGGCTCCAGAACCCTAGTCAAATAATGCTCATCAGGCTCCTCTCCAGTCTCCAGAACTTGATCAATGGCTTCTCGGAGATGACTGCTTCTCCCATTCGCTTGGCAGGCCGAGAATGCGCTCTAATTCGATGCATCGCCGTTGTGGCTTGCTGCACTTCAGGCGACGGCCGGATCAGCGCCTGATCGAGACCCCGTCTATACCATGCAGCCTGCTATTGCCCAGCGATACAATTGAATCGGGCAATCGTTGGTCTTTTCCACCGCTTTGCGCAAATCAACCTCACTCCGCCCTTCTTTGACGCCCCGTCAACCCTGTCACATTGGCGAAGCACCTGCGGGCCGCCTAGGTAAATACTATTGGACTATCGAGAGTGCCTCACTCGCTGCAAAGTCAAGCAGAACCCTCGGTATTTCTCCACTCACGTAGACAGCGCCAGTCTCGTACGCTGGCAACCAGAGACAAGTCCAAGTGAGTGTCTGTGTAGGAGGATCAGAGCGAGACGGCGTGCTGCTACGAGCATGTAACGTGGCCAAGCGTTAGCACTGCGCTAGATGTAGAGACACTATTTCATTGCACCCGGTGGCAGCCATTGAAAATTGCAGCATGTGTATCGCAAGAGTGGTTGGTCTGAGCAGGGCAATATTTCGTATCCAAAGCATCTGCCTGGACTTCACTGCTGGCGCTACTCTCCATCGTTTCGCTGCCCAGAACTGCGCTCGCTTCGACCAAAGTCAAGCACATTTCGAGTCCAGAAGAATTCCTGTAATACTCGATAAACAATATGACGTTGCTCAGATTTGTTGCAGCCTCACCTGATGCGGCATCGTGACATCACGGTTGCCTGGTGGTTGGTGGGGGCACGGGCTTCGTCCGTCAGCCTCTCACCTCAACCTGTCTCATACACCATGGTGATGGCAGATGAGACGAAAAATCGGTGCACTCGTCGCACCCGGATTGTATGCATTTCAGATACGCACAACTGTACCATCAAGCTCCCGCCGGGCGATGTTTTGATTCACGCGGGCGACCTCACCAACCAGGGCAGTTATTCCGAGGTTGGTGGCTGCATCAACGCGCGACCACATCAAACCATGCTCACAGACCATTAGCTCTCAAAAGCGATTCAATGGCTCGAGAGACTACCGCATGAGGTCAAGATAATTATAGCTGGTTTGTCTAATGCCATACGTAATTCGATGCTTGTGTTGCGGCCAGTCTGACGCCATCAGGTAACCATGACATTACTCTCGATGCCGCCTTTTACGCCAGACACGGTCATCAGTTTCATAACAAGAAAGCCGAATCCCCGGAGAAATGTCAAGCTTTGGTCAAGAATTGTCCATCACTGACCTACCTGCAACACGAGACGGCCACAATCCGGTTATCATCACCGACTGGGCCACGCACCAAGTTCACCGTCTTTGGGTCACCCCTTGCGCCGGCATTCCGCAACTGGGCGTTTTACTACCCTCCGTATAATTCTCAATCTCCGTGCGATGACGCTGGAACCGTCGACGGGGGCGTTGAGCATCGCGCTTCGCCATGGGACGACATCCCAGCGAGTGCAGACATCGTGGTGACTCACACCCCCCCGCGCGGCCACTGCGACGACCGCGGTGGCGTCGACCGTCCGGCTGGTTGTGAGGCCCTTCGTCGCGCTCTCTGGCGCGTGCGCCCGCGTTTGGCTGTCTGTGGCCATATGCATGATGGCCGGGGCGTGTCGCGCGTGTCGTGGGATCTAAGTCGCGAGTATGGGGAACGGTACAACGGTGGTGCGGCAGACTGGCAGGATCCGGGAGCGGGGGCCGACAGCAAGATCAGTCTCCTCAATTTAACGGCCAGGAAATCAGGTCGTCCTCTGAACAACGACGGGCTGTGGCAGGAGGACAGCCGTCGAGGCTCCTCGCCGGCCGGACACCGCGAAGAGAAAGATGCCTCAGGGGAAACTGGTGCAGAGATGATAGCCCCTGGCTGGTGCGGTCGGAAAGAGACATGTGTTGTCAACGCAGCTATCCTGAAAAGTCGGTTTCCCCACGCTGGTGGAAAGCAGTTTTACAAACCGATTGTCGTGGACATTGATCTGCCTGTTGCCGAGGAAAGTTGACCAATGCTTACAGCAGCAGCCTGAGATTTCCAATCGAGGTTCCCAACTTTTCAGCACATGCAGTAATGGTTGATCATGCTCTTCTCCGTGAGTCTTTTTGGTTGTTAGTTTCGGCCAATATGTGCCGCGATGATGGAAATCAGGCTCGAGATGGTGCCTTCTCATTGTGGCCATGATATGGCCCAGCGTCACTCATTTTTACAGAATCAAGGTTTCTTCATTGTTCGCCTCACCTAGCTGGAGTCACACTCTGACGGGAGTCCGATCACAACACACGACTGTATGCACAGCTTGCGCGTCTCGCCTGGCCCTTGAAAGATCCCCCCCCCGCAAACCTATCAACCTGCCCACTCACCACTCACCAGCGCATACACCCATCCCATGTTGGAAACCGATTATCATTCATAAGATCTACACTGTATCACCCCCGCCTCTTTTCTCTCCTATCACCATGGTTTATGGTTATGCTCTCGTTCCACGGCACCGCCATGTGACGGACTCTTGCTCTCCACGTATGACGTAGAGCCCGCATAGTGGGTCGCGGGACGAGGGCCACGGCTACAGGAGCATCATCTCTGGGGCTCTCCAGAATGAAATTGTCCGAGCCGTTGGGTGGCACGTCATTATGCGGACTCTAGCTTGCTTGGCTGGAATGTATCTTTTTGTACCTTTTCAAGAGTCCTTGGGCATGAAACCCCCACGATGATGGGTTGGTGTTACGTGTAAGTTGAGAGACAGATGTGGGTGTCACGACATGAAAGAGACTAACAACAACAAGATGAGGCACGCTTTTCATGACTTTCTGATGCTTATATGTACAGCGTCATTCCTTGATGGCCAGCAGAGTATAGCTCAGTGGTAGCCGCCAGCGCTCGCTCTTGAGGGCGTACTCGCCTGCCGATGTTAGCTTCCTCTTTGTGCGGAACGGCGGCCCGCGGCAGCGAGTTCAAACAGACTGCGGCGATATGTGGCGACTCACCTTGACCAATATACTCCATCTCGCCCGGGATAGCCTCCCAGGGCACGCTCTGGTGCTCCTTGAGCCCCGTCACCCGGAGGCCCGCGTCTAGCAGCGCCTGTAGAATCTCCCCCAGGCCGTGGTTAAACTCTGCCGACGCCGTATGCTCGAACACATGCTCCTTGTGCTGAACGTACGTGCTACCTTCGTCCTGTAGCAGCAGCGCCTCTCCGCCGCGCTCAAAGTACGGATACTTGACCACCAGCCTTCCATTCTCGACCTTGTCATCCACCGCCCAGAGCACGGGGTGTCCCTCGCGGAGAAACAGCCTCCCGCCTTTCCTCAACAGCCCAGCCACAACCGCGGCCCATTCTTTAATGTCCGGGATCCAGCAGAGCGCGCCAATGCCGGTAAAGACCAGGTCAAACTCTGCGTTTGGCAGCACGCGGAGGGCGTCGTACACGGACGCTTCGACAAAGCCGAGCTTGTCACCGCCAGAGGAGCTTGTGGCGGCGGCGAGGCGCCGCGCCTCGTTGAGAGATGCGGAGGAAAAGTCGAGGCCGACCACGGAGGCGGCGCCGCGGCGCGCAAGGCTCAGCGTGTCGGTACCAATGTGGCACTGGAGGTGAGCGCAGCGCAGGCCGGCGAGTGGGCCGAGCAGAGGGGCGTCAAAGGCCACGACGGAGGAGATGTAAGATGGGTTGGTGAGGAAGTCGTGGATCTTGTAGTCGGGTGAGGCGGCGTGCTGTTTTGGGGGAGCGCTTGGTGTGAGAGGAGAAGGGTTGTGGTGTGACGTGGGGGCTTACCAGCGGTGCACGCTCGTCCCAGAGGTTCTTGTTGAGGGTTTCCCAGTCTACACTTGCCATTGTTCCTGTCATTTGGTTCAAGATAATACGATCGAAACGACGTCGGGGTCTGTATATATCGTTAATGTTGCCGCTGCTGCGCTAAGCCCAACACAGCTCGCCGACGCCGTTTGCACACCGTGTGGAAAAGGATAGCTCGGCGTGAATCATACAATTCGTAACATTCTACATCAAGTAAGTAGAGGAAGAATGATAAGAAGAAGAATAAGAAAGGTAACGGTGGAAAAAAAGGAGCCCCCCTGCCCTCCTACGCGTGCACAAGGCAACGCGTGGGGGGGGGGGGGGGGGGGGAGTGGTCATTGACGGCATGCACATGAAGTTGACGTGCAGAGGATTACAGGGACATAGGCGCCGTTGCCGACGTGCAAGTTGCCAATCTCAATAGAATGCCAGCATCTGCCAGTATCATCGTCCTCTTTTCTTTTACTCTTCTCCTATTTTTTTTTCCATGTCTTTTTGCGTCCCTTTTTTGTTCTGCTTCTGCTTCTTCTTCTTCTTGTTGACGTGGGCAGCGAACTAGCAAAGAATACTGCAGCCGTCTGTCTCAGTAACGTTCCTATAACTCGCAGGGCGCATCATCGGCCGTGGCTGATGTGAACAGAACGGAATGTAATGGCAATCTTTGATTACATTTCTTTTTTTTTTCTTCTCCTCCTCCAATTGTCTTGCTGTCATGATTAGTGTAGAGCCTACCAAGTCAAATCAACAGTTAGTCATCGGGTTTATACGACTTGAAACAGGTGCTCGGATCGGCTCACAGTCTGTATTATCAGGACAGCCCAGTCAGCCAGCCCTATGTATGCTGTGCCTTGTTCTCCACAATCTACCATCGGGTTGCTTTTCGCTCAGAGAGGACCTGATTGTTCAGCATTAACAGATTAGAGGAATAGACCAATTTTCACCCTAACCGAAGCTGGTCAGGTTTCGGGAGATTAGGAAGGGAGATTCGTTATTTGCCACATATGATGAGTGCCGCCGGGAAAATAGAAATAATTTCGTCTTTGCCGCCCGCCAAGAACGAGCTGCTTTCCTCCTCCCTCCTCCTCCTCCAAGACATGCCTTGCCTTGCTTACCCTCCCCCTCCCCCTAATAAGACCCTTTAGCCGTCCTTTGTCATACTTATCACAGCATAGCATGTCTACTGTCGTCTCTTTCACGTTTCGCCCGGGCGGTGCTTTAAAGGCTCCGGCTTCGGCTGCGGCAGCGGGGAGGGGCAGAGATGATGAAGCCCGATTCATGCATGCTATACGAGAGCGCTTGACAACAAGAAATTACATTGTCTGCAACGCCTCATCGAAATACTTGATCACTAAAAGACCGCTCTGCCGAGTATCGGGCCGTACTCACATTGCTAGCGCCAGCGTCCATATCATCATGGACGCTCGGCAAGAGTCGGCTGGCCTGTTATAGCTTATATCGCCAGCGCCGCTAAGCTCATCAGGCAATCTTTCTTCAACATGGTCTTCTTGCACCCGTCGCGAAAGCAATTCGTCTCTCGTCTTCTACAATGCGGCGGAAATCGCCGACACCTTTCCAAATCTGCACCGCCATCATGCTTAGGACGGCTTGTGCGGCCCATGTACTTACCGGTACCTGGAGGAATTGGGTCTACGGGATTTAGACTCCCGGTCCGCATCCATTGAATCCTGTCAGCACTCACGATAGCTCGCTGGTTGCATTGGTAATACGGGTCATCATCAGCCGTCGTCATCTTGGCGTGGCTTAGGCCCCAGATTCCCCTTGTTCTATGATTTTTGTCCAATTCGTCTGATTATCGGGCTATCTTTGCTGCACCTTTCGAGACCATGTTCATGCGCTCCGACGCTGCCCATCGTGTTGGGATTAACCTACCGGCCAAGTCCCAGCCCAACGCCCTCGGAAGCTAGTGGCAAGCGACAGCTCACTTTTACCTACCCGGTAGCACATGACAGGAGTTTCTCTTTTTGGCAACAGGTTGCTGCGCCTAGACGCTGCAATTGACAGGCAAGGACAATTGTCCGAAGCCATATCAGGCAGAGTTTTTTGTCGCTGGTTCGCTTGTGGCATGGAATTCTTTCCCAAGCCTGTGTATTTGCCCTATAACCTGACCAAACAAAGTGGTGGCGTTTGCCCAACATAACCTGCTTACACGGCTTCTTATGCAGGCCAGCCAATCCGATCCGTATGCTCGGTACCGGTACGCCGTCGTACGAAAATTGTGGCGTGCTTTGTTATGCCATGAGCCATTCTGTCAAGTGCAATGAAGACGCTTTGGATATCAGGCAGCACGCATACAAGTTGAGCGATTCGTCGGTTTCTGCTGGCAGCATCCTAACCTGCGGATGGCGGCGGTGGTGGTGGTAGTGTGCTGTACGAGGCCACCGAAAAACGTGCCTCTCAACGTGTCATCCCGCGCATCGGCACTTGCAGCAGGAGATCGACCGAAGGATGGCACGGATACAACTACCAGTAGAGCCTTCGAAGGAGTGATGGGCCTTCAATGTGCCTTGGAAGCCTTTTTGCCCTGGTGTAGGCCAATAGGCGAGCCCGCCTAACCACTGGCAACTAGTAGACTGTCAACCCGGAAACCTTGGGCTGGTGGCTTTGAGCCCGGCGCTTGTTGGTGCTTTATGGTGCCATCATGGGAAGTGGCTTCCTGAGGCTCTTACGAATAACTACACCTTCTGTCTGTTGTAGCGAGCAGTCTAGGGAAGAGCTGAAAGGTCATAAATGTGACAGTCGACCGGGTTTTGGTATTTCGGACACGGGGTGTCTTGTGCGGGCTTGCTCATGAGGGCTGCACATGGGAGTAGTGGGTGCTGCTTTCCAAGTGCCACGGCGCGTCAGTCACGAACGCCTCTGCACGAGGAAAAGAAGAGAGGTCAGAAGCCGTGAACCCAAGTGTGTGTCTGTCGCGTACCATCACGATGGTGAGGCGGCGACGAGCTCAAAGCATCTTGGTAGAGCTTAGATAGAGAGAGATGGTGTGATGCGTATAGTCTGTCCATTGACGAGCTGGAGGTGCCCAACCAGAGGCCACGATGGTAGAGGAGCATAGCCGGACTTTGGACAAACTTTTTGGGGCTTCAATGGAGGCGTTCGATACCACTCTGTCAGGAACGGTGCATGTTTGGCGGTGTTTGGCACGTCTGGGTGCCAGGTTGGCCAAAGCATGTCTTTGTTACAGGCTGATTCCACTTACTAAATAGAGGCCGTCCACACCACCTCGGGAACGGGTACATGGTCAGGGCAGCTGGCAGCTGTGTGCTAGTGCGTAATGCGAGGTGATACGGGTACTACTGGTCGCGGAATAACGCAGACGGTACGGAGGTAGACTAGGTGGCTCTCGTCATGGTCATGCTGGCACAATATTGACCAGACAAGCAGAAATGGGGAGGGTCTCTCCACAGAAAAGGCAGCCCTCGAGAGAGGGGTGAAGGGGCATGAGAGGGGATTGGGTGGCAGACGAACCAATCAAGGTCAGATTGATGAGATGGGATTGGTAGAACGGGAGCAACGGTAGGCCGGGCCGCTGCTAGGGTTGGCTGCAGTGTTGCACTTGCAGCGTTGCAGTATCGTAGTGGTGCAGTGAAGATGATTGCCAGTAAAATCGTGGTAGCATGTATTTACTCCGTACCAAAATGTAAGACCAGAATGCGAGGGCGTGGTGGTGCCATGTGGTTGGTGGTTGGTGGTCAAAAGACAGGCGGGGAGAATAGTGTGACGGGAGCGGCCGCAACGTGGACTTGCGCTTTCCTGTCAACTGTCACCTGTCTGTCCAACTTGGCAGCGGCGGCCCAACCTGGTAGTGAACTTGACAGATGAACAGCCGTCATGGTGCTTCTCGGTTAAGAAACAACAGTTGGATGGCCGAGTTGGGAGGCCGAGATGCGAGACTTCAGCTGGTGCATATGCCGGCGACCGCGTACCAGTGGCCTGGGATTTTGTGTGCTTGCCTGGTCACCTATGGCCGAACGAGGCTGCTTGTTGCAAAGAGACTAGCAATTAACCATCCAACACGGCTGGCCTGACCAAGGCAGACCGAATGGAGCTGCGAGAAAGGTTTCAATGGAGCTGCTGGAAAGCCAGGAGCGCGTCCCATCGTGCATGTCTATCTGTGGTGAGGCTGCGGGGGACGTGGCCACGGCCTGGAGCCCGTCCTGTTTGCGTGAGAACAAAGTGCGTGGACGAGACGCGACGAGACTAGGCCGGAAGCGATTGATAATAAATGACAGCAAGACTCAAGGCCAATGGAGATGGGTAATGGAAGCAAAGATGCGGAGCAGGATGATGGTGGGCGTGTTGGACAAGAGTCTGGAGCTTTTTGGAGCTGGCTACCATGCTTGGGGGAGTCTGGGAGAGGGAAAGCCGGAATGGTGAGGAGGGAGAAGATTGAGTGGACAGAGGGGATTTGGGCTGCGGCGCTTGGTGGAGGGGCTACTGTAGAAATGTTAGCAACCAGGCAAGAGGGTGGGCGCGCAACTATGGTAGGGACAAGATGCACCAAAACCAGCCGGCATGCAGCAACAAAGTATGCCAGCCACGGCCCACGAGCAGCCACTGCAGCCATTGACAGTATTGAGTCTTGACACACTGACAAATGACAACCATAGACAGAGTGCCAAATATAGCACAGTTGGGGCATGTCTCGGTGCCTAGAAGCCTCTCGATAGGGAGGGAGCTGGGGCTTCTGGAGCTTGCCACAGATATTTGCTCGCGGCGCAACTGCTAGCTTGATACCCAAGCCAGACAGCTTGCGTCCAGCTGCTCTCGTCTTCATCGCATTCATCACAAATCCAGTCGTCACTACTTTTCCCTACCGGTTGCTCGGCTGCCCCATTGGAGGCCGTACAACTAGAAACCAACGCCGGCGCCAGCATCAGTTCCCGCGCAACTTCATCAGAAACCCGCTCACGACGTCGTCCGTTTCGTCGTCAGCTGCTGCGCCAGGAGAGGGGAAAAGAGGAAGCACCGCCTTGTTCTTGTACTCATTGCAGACGAGCTATTACAAGGAATACATTTTTGGAATCGTGGCTCCGGATAGATGTAAAACCCGCCAAAACAGGCCACAGCTTCACCGCTTGTCTCAAGGGCGGCCTGAATTCCTTTTCCCCTCCCCCGCTTGGTGCTGGGGCGGCCCTATGCGGGCTGATGGATGTCGATGAGGGCGGGAGATGGTCGTCGGGGGGATGAAAAGGGTATTCGTCGAGTCAATAAAAACATCGAATTCAATGAGATGGAGTTGACTGTCTTTTCTTCTTGTTTGTCTTCTATATTATACACTCAAAATTATATCGAGAATTACATCGCAGATTGGGCTGACAGTGGTCAGTGTACAAATACACCACCAAAAAGCCGGCACCCGCTACAAACCTCGCGTGACGGGTGCATCAACGATCGCTTTCCACTCCAGCAAGCCACCCACCTTGGGACCACCAGCGCACAAGGAGGGAGCATCAGACACGCGGACACCGCAAGCGCTGGCTGGTCGACTGCCACACGCATGCCTCAGCTGGACCAGAACGTGCAAAGGTGCCTTGCCCCTCTGAATCATCGCATCTTGTTGGGGTTTCCCATTGGCAAGTGCATCCAAGTTGCGGAGCTGGCAGCGAGTCAATCAACTTGGCAAACGCGACTGCGATACGACGCCAACGCTTACACTTTACTTGGGTTGCTAGGCAAACTAGGCTGCCAAAATCTTGACAAGGCCAAAAAAAGAAAAAGTTGAAGATCGAAAACAGGCCAAGGATAAATTTAATAATTATTTAACCCTTGCGGAAATATTTTTGGATCATCAGAGAAATCTTGCATACTTCTTCACCATCCTGGAACAAGTTCTGGGGAGTTGCCTTGAACGTCGAAGTCAAGTCGCCACTACCAACGGATATTTAGGTGGCACTGGGTAGAACAATAGGTACTTGTTGTGGTACCTTCGCTCTCCGCTAAGTTCACCGCTACTATTTGGGTACTTTTCTTTGTCTTTGGCGTACCTAGCATTCGCAACCAACTACACCACGAAGGTAGGAAGTAAATATCCGCACAACGGCACTAATTACCTTGGTACCGCCCCGAAGGTGCTCCCAAGTCCCAACCGACCACCATTTTCGAGGCACATTACTGGCTCGGCATCAGACGCTAAATAGTAAGTTACATGTATTTTTTTTTCGCCCATTTTTTCTTTCATTTTCTCCGGTGAGTTTTCGAATGGCGAGGAAAGGGACAGAAGACAACTAATTAGCGGGATTCCACGGCGGGCGCAGCGGCAGAAATGGCAAGCAATATGTTGCCAGTCATTCGACTGCCACCACCAGAGCAAGTAAAAAGGATGTCCAAAAAAATCGCACGTCTTCGCCATGCCCGTGGTCTCCCGGACGGACCGGTCATTCATTCCGTTGCTGCAGCGGGCTTTCTAGAAACAAATGCCACATTGCATCATCATCATCATCATCATCATCATCTCCATCATGATCAAGAAGCACGGCTGACTTTGCCTTTTTCGGGGACTCGACAGGCTGACCGGGTCCCGTTTCAGTTTGACAGTTTTAGTGCCAGTGATTGTCATTGGAATTCACTCAACAAAGACGGGATTTTTAAATACAGATTTCGCCTCTCTGAAGTGTACGTCTCGTGCGTATGTAGCATGTCGGCCTGGATTGGCTGAAAAAGGGACTTGGTACTTACTTGGTCAGACCCCTGCTTGACGTGACCTCGCAGCGCGAGCCGTACCGTGGCGTGGCTGGCTCGTGGAGTTGTGGGGCTCTTTATTCTGCACGCTACTGCAAAGGGCGAAAGTGAGTACCTTATTGGTACTTGAACAGCGGCGGCCTTCTGTTGGATTGCCCTCGGGGGACAATTTACAAGAGACAGTGTTGATCAGGTCTGGCCGCTCAGACTTCTCTTCGATTGACGCATCGCCCAGACTCTTGTTGGCCTGTTTGCCCGGTGCCTGCTCTTAAACCAGGTCGCCAAAATCTAGCACACCATCTTCTCACAGGGCCTGACCTGTCCGGCCACAGCGGACCCCTCACGCTACCAGTAGAGCGGCGTACATAGAGCGCATCACCACACCTCAAGCTTTGAGTGAGAGATAAAGATACAGAAAGAAAGAAAACGAGGGCAAGTCGGCCAGTTGCAAAGTTGGACAGTCACTCGACACTGGACAGACCCTCTCTCCACTCTCGTGCCCTCTGATCACAGCCAGGTGCAACCTGGACCGTTCCCGCGCACCCAAACCATTGCCGACCCAAACAACACCTACTGGTACAAGACATAAGTACCTCACTGTACACTGTCTCCACCTTGACCAATCAGGCCACAGCCCGCAAAACCCGCCTGCAGCCCGCTTGCCCGCCCGTGACGTCCACCACCACCAAGACGAGATTCCCGGGCCTCTGCAAGTCTGAGGTACCTGCAAGTACACTTGTCCGTACCTCATTCTCCCACCCCTTGCCCCCCATCCCCTTGCGCCCCCCCGTCCCTGTGGCTTCATCATCAAGTGCCTGCCATTACTGATACACTGTTACCTTAGTACCTACTTGGTAGTATTGTACTGCCTCACCCCTTCAGCGCCGGCATCCACTCTTTACTCTACTCAGTAATTAGTTAGCGCTCAGCGCTCACCACACCACTCTTCACGGTCCGCCACACCACACCACTCCAGCTCAAGACTACATCTTCACCGCACCGCCCACCTCTTCTTCCTTTGCCAACCACCGCTTGCTCGGCACCTCGCTTGAGCGACATTTCCAACTCTACACCCCCAATTCTCAACAACAAACACCGAAGCCAGAGCCACGGGATCTTCACTGCTCTCCGTCTCGCAGCTGGCTTCGTTTTCTTTTCTTTTTTATTCTTCTCAATTCTATTCGACCGCATTTGACTCGTTCGTCACCCTTCGAATCGCGCTGTATTACTGCTATTTTACGCCTTGTTTTTCCCCGGCCTCTTGCCCGCTGTACTAGTCACCACTCACGCTTTGGTCATTCCTGTCCCGACAACAGACCGTCAGTCAACATTACTCAGCAGCACCGCCTCCTTCGACTCTGTTCAACGGCCCTGTCCAAACGACCTGTCCAACGACCTGACCAAAGATCTGTCCAAACACCTGTTCAACGACTCACTGCCTTCCCGTGCACAAGTACCACCCACGAGGCAAACTCATCACGCACCATCCCCCAGCGTTCCTGATTCAGTAATTCATCTTTCGATGCCCCCAGCGCTAATATTCGCCACACACCCACCTCAGCCATCCCTATTCTTCAATACATTTCGACTTCTCTAACATTGCAAAATCTCATCCGCAAACATGGCTCCTCTCCCGCCGGACCCTTACAAGATACTTGGCGTCTCCAAGGATGCCCAGGTACCAGAGATTCGCTCCTCGTACCGAAAACTCGTCCTCCAGTGCCATCCTGACAAGGTTCAAGATCCCAAACTCAAGGAGCAAAAGCAGAATGAGTTTCAGCGCGTCCAGCAGGCCTACGAACTCCTCACCAACGAAGCCGAGCGCCAAAAGTACGACGACAAGGCCAGGCTTGAAGATCTCCGTCGTCAGCTCAAGGAAAAGGCCAATATTTCCACCCCCAGAGCAAAGTACTCGACCGAGTTTGAGATTCGCACCCCCGACATGCGCTCATCCACCTTTAAGTCTTCGCCCTCTTCCGCCAAGGTTTACTCGTTCAGCCGCTACGACGACGAATATGCCCCCCGCGGCACTCGCATCTTTGAGACCAAGAGCAGCCGCCCCTCCAAGCGCGACCCCAGCGTTTCTGAACGGCAGTCAAAGCGCGATGCCGAAAAGGACCGCGAGCGTCAGAAGGACAAGGAGCGTGATCGTGAACGCGAACGCCGCCGCAAGGAAGAGGACGATGCCGCCCGCCGGAAGACCGAAAAAGAAGCCCAAAAGGCTGAAAAGAGACGCATGGAGAAACAGCGTGATCGCGACATGAAGCGCGAGGCCGAGGAAAAGTACCGATCTCGCAATCATAAGGCCTCGGTCGAGGTTTTCGAGGATGAAGTCCCCAAGTCGGAACGCAAGCGTTCGAGTAAAAAGCACGATGACAAGTCGGCCCGTGCCTCACCCCGCGACGAAAAACCCGATCCCTCGTCCCGCCCGCCTCTTACCAAGAGCCCATATCTGTACTCTCCTGACGACTGTCTGGCTTACAACGCCGCGACGTCGTATATGCAGGCTTCCCGTGGCGCCCCTGGCTTAAATCGTTCCTATTCGTATTCCACCCGTCCCGTCTACCCTCCTGCCGCTCCCTCGCCACCTCCCACCACTTCCAAGAAGGTGTATGCGACGGAAGATTCGGATTCCGACGAATTCATCCGACGATCGTCTGCTCCCTCACGCCGCGGCTCCGGCGACGGTCCACGATTATCTCGCGAGCGTTCGGCTTATCGCAAATCTTCCAATGAGGTTCTCGACGATAATGTTCACGCTGTTCCTTCTCCCGCCACGCGCCACACATCGTCATTTAGCCGCTCAATGCCCATGGGCAGCTCGCCACCCCATCACGACATGCATCTGCCGCGTACCAACTCGATGCCTCAGCCTAGTTTTACCCGGCCCGGCCCTGGCATAAAGCGTGCGCACACTTTTGCCGCCCCGGATATGCCGCGAGGTCGAGACCGCTCTCGCAATCAACCGCAGGTACATGTAGAACCTGAAGAGTCTGACGAAGACTACGGCCGCGAGCGCGAGCGGGATCGCAGGTACCGCAGCCGCAGGACGGCGTCGCCCGAGCCGGTGGGCTCTTCGTCTGTCTTTCGCTACGAGGTGGACAGCAGCAGCCGACGCACACGACCAATGGCGCCGCCTCCAATGGACGCTGATGCCAGCCATGGTCACTACATGTACGGACCAGGCGTGCGGCCCGATACGCGCGCTCCCTCTAACTACCGCGAGGGAAGTTACGGCATGGCACCCGGCCGCTACCCTAGCGTCAAGACTTCCAAGTACGAAGACATCCAGTACAGCCAATATCATCCATCGTACAACAACCCCGTGCGCGCATGAGGCCCGGCTTTTGTAGCTACATTGAATGGCTCAATCAGGTGTCTGGACTGGCTCAGGGAGGTTGGAACTACGTCCAGAGCCAGAACGGAACGCTTACCAAGTTGAGTTATTTGGAGGAATTATCGCCTTTATTTTCCTTCGCAAACACAACTGGTTTTGTCTTGTTTTTTTCGTCGCACTTTTTTGCTTTTCAAGTTTTCTCTCTTTCTCTTTCTCTCTCTCTCTCTCTCTCTCACACACTCTCTTCTCACGTTGACGAAATGAGGCATGTCTTGATGAACTTTGTCGCATGTTTATCCGGGCAATCACGAACTTTGAATTTATTCGGGCATGGAGAAACTCGCTGTGGAATCCTCTGCCTGTGAGCATTTTGGACGGAGTTGCATTTTTTCCGGGGACCTTTATTACCTGTGATTTTTTTTTCTTGGTTGCGGCGCATTTTGCACATGGATTGGTTTTTGCTTTATTGCGACAATACCGGCACTTGACTCTACTTTATTCTAGCATGTCTAGACTGAGTGAGTTGAAGTCTGGGAATTGTAAAGGGCGCGAATCATGATATACCAGACACACACGAACACTCTCGTTTATATAGTGGGTTTTTGATGCTGGACACGTTTTGGGCCAGCGCCCTCGGGGGCCTTGCACGGTGGCGTTTTTAGATTCTTTTAATCAATTGGCCTTCTTCCCCGAAATGACTTGAATCCTGCGTGAATAACAAGACGTAGCTTCAAATGCGGTAGAATCTATGGCTGTTGAATGAAGACGGATGTGTTGTTGGTACTGGCTGACGAGAGAAGGAGCCTGCCGGTAAATGGCTGGGCATACATGAGTCACCAAGCTGATCTGTCACTTTCGATGGATTTTAAAAAGTATGATTGACTTTGCAACCACCTCGTTTACTACTCGGCCGAGTATCGTCTTGGGTACGAAAGCAGTGAATGGGGACGCGGCCACCTTAGCCGCGCAACTTGGAACTCTAAGGGACGTTGTAAAGATATGAGTGTGAATAACTATACACGTGGGAAGGGAAGGGACAGGCGGAAATTAGACGACAAGATATGAGGGCTACCATTGCAGTTCATCGACGTAACTAATGCGATTGGTTGGTCGACCTGGAAGGGGAAGAATGTACCCTTTTGCTTCGAACACTGGAGCGTTTCCTGGTTGATTGAACTCACATCAACTTTTGCTGTCCTGCCATTGGACTAACTTGTAAAATAACGCGCGCGCAACATACAACCAAGTCCCAATAACCTCTAGCCAGCACATGGGCGGGCATTTAGAGTTTCGGAGCGGATCGTCTGATGGCTCGCCGGGTGGATCGGGGGCACGAGGCCAAAACCGAGCAAAGCGATGGGGTTCTTATTGCCGGGGGGGTTCGTAGCTTGCCACAACGTTTATGCTTTCACTTGCAACCAATCACGCTCATATTGAAAAGAGAGAAACCGAAAAACTCCCGTTTCCCTAGTAGTTCTCATAATGTGGCATTCCCCGACGGAGGATGAGGATACACCGCCTGTGCGTGTGCACCGGTGATGGCGGATCGAAGTTGTTGCACATGGATGACGTTAGTTAGGGCTAGGCAACAGGTTAGGGATCGTGGCGCTCAGTGATTGGAATACGCTAACTGCCAGCTAGTCGCGTTACGTCACTTGACTAGCCAGCATTCAACTTTTTTTGTTTCTTTCTCTTTTCGCGAAAATCAAGCAAATAAACTAAAATTCCTTATCGTCCTTGATTTAGGTAGTCGCTGCTGACGCCTCGTAAAAGGGCTGGCCTAGCACGCCTTGGCTTCCGTGTCCATTACGCAAAATCTCCACGCTCAACGGCTATATGAAATCACCAACGGCCAACCACCTGCCAAGGCGGGGGGGACCAACAAAAAGCATGGCCGCCCTTTGATAGAGTGTGCTGTCCTTGTTCACATTTTTTTCGAGAATACCAAGGAATATTACTGCAAAACCCGTCGGAGAGTTTTGTACATACACAAAGAAAAAAAAACCCCAAGTCACCTGCTTTGTTCCACACTAGAAGGAATACTTTCGGATCGACCGGACGTCGCTGACTTGGGCAACTGAACAGACGGAGCTTCGGGGAGAAGCTTGCCATTTAACCTTGTTCTCTTTTGGCCCGCCACACACCACACACACACGCCGCGTCTCCTCTTCTTTCCGCTTCATCCTGAAGAGAGAGAGCTCTCTTGCTCTTTCTTTTTTCCATGTACCGCGTGATTCGCAATCATAGATGACAAGCTCCTGTTTCAATTCCACCGGGCTGTGACGGCCGCCCGCACGACTCGTTCGCCACCTTTGGGGGGTTCCCCCGTCCACTTTAAAAGGAGACGAACGTCTTTCTCTTAACATTCCTCGTCAAAGCCGTTATTGGAAAGTCACAGCAAACCACACAGCAGCCAGCCAGCATGGCGACCACGGCAATCGACATTGTCAGCAACGCCGACCCAGACCTCCTCCGGCCACGCTCGCGCAAGCCAGTCGCCGCCGCTGACAGCAACCTCAGCATCCCCGACAGCATTGCGAGCACCGCCACCAGGTGCGCGTCTCCCCTCTACCTTCTTCTTACCACTTCCGTACTGACAGACACAAATCCAGCGGCCGCTCGACACCCGTCCCCGACAATGCGCCTCCCTCCAACAAGGCCCTCTCCTCGGCCCGCAAGACACTCCGCGCCGAGCAGCGCGCGCAGCAGCAGCGCCGCCGCATCTTCCCCACGACCGACTTCACCTCGCGCCTCTCCCACCTCGACCCCGACTCCGACTATCGCGACTTTCACGGCTTCTTCAACCTCTTTTGGATCGGCCTCGCCATCATGGGCATCACCACCATGCTCCGCCACATGAAGGACACGGGCTACCCGTTTTCCTTTGCCATCTGGTCCCTCTTCACCGTCAAGCTCTGGCACCTTGCCGTTGCCGACTTTCTCATGGTCGCCACTACGGCCGTGTCTTTGCCACTTCACCGGCTGTTTCGCGCCGCGCCGCAGAACGGCTTCTGGACGTGGCGCCGGGGCGGCGTCGCCCTGCAGAGCGTCTACCAGGCCGTCTGGCTGGCCGTCTGGGTCGCGGTTCCGTTCTGGCTCGAGTGGACGTGGACGGCGCAGGTCTTTTTGCTGCTGCACACCATGGTGCTGCTCATGAAGATGCACTCGTACGCATTTTACAATGGGCACCTTTCCGAGACGGAGAAGCGCCTGCGTAGGCTGGACGCTCCGACGGCGCGTGGCACAAAGGAGCGGTCGCCGCCGTACATTTACCCTGTCGCCGCGGCGAGCCGTCGCTCTAGCAAGGCCGGCCTCGCCGTGGACCTCGGCGGTGGCACAGAGGACATTCATCTGCATCATGGCAACATTGACGACAAGCAGCAGCAACAACAGCAGCCGACGACGCCGCCAACCTCGCCCACCACCAGCCGTGCCAAGTCCAGCTCGGCGCCGCCAAAGCCAGAGCCGTCCGCCGACATCAAAAGGCCCAGTCCCACCCGTGAATGCGACTCGGACGACGAGATTGAGCTCCTCCGCGACGCCCTCGCCCGCGAGCTCACCTCTCCCATGGGCCACGTTACTTACCCTCACAACCTTACATGGGCCAACTACACTGATTACCTCTTCTGCCCGACCCTTTGCTACGAGATTGAGTACCCGCGCGTCGCGACCATCAACTGGACCTCGCTCATTTCCAAAATCGTCGCCGTCTTTGGCTGCATCTTCCTCCTCACCATCACCTCGGAAGACTTTATACTCCCCGTCCTCGTTGACGCCGAGGCCCGTCTCGCCGCCCTCCCCGCTGCCGCCACCCTCTCCTCCTCCTTTGCCGAGACGGGCCTCGTCCTCGCCGAGACCATCTCCTGGCTCCTCTTTCCCTTTATGCTCACGTTCCTCCTCGTCTTCCTCGTCATTTTCGAGTACGTCCTCGGCGCCATGGCCGAGATTACTCGCTTCGCCGATCGTCGCTTCTACGCAGACTGGTGGAACTCGACCGACTGGATGGAGTTTTCTCGCGAGTGGAACATTCCCGTCCACGCCTTTCTCCGCCGCCACGTGTACTCGGCCTCGCGCCCGCTGGCCGGCCGCGGCGGCGCCACCGCCATTACCTTTTTCATCTCGGCCATGGGCCACGAGATTGTCATGGCGTGCATCACGAAAAAACTTCGCGGCTACGGCTTCGTCTGCCAGATGCTGCAGCTGCCCATTGTCATGCTGCAGCGCACAAAATGGGTTCGCGGAAAGAGGACCCTCAACAATGTCTGCTTCTGGTCGTCCATGATCATGGGCCTCTCCATGATATGTGCCCTCTACGTACTGCTGTGAGCGGCATCAGAGGAGATTCATTTGTACATTAGAAAACTTGGCTTTCATACTGTTCATTTACCTAGCTCTACATACCCACACATAGAATTTCATCGCCCTGTTTATTTTCATACTCCGTCGCTCTTCAATTGCATCCACGAGCAAAGAAATTGCCAACTTCGCAATAGCATGAGCAACACACATCACCGCATCGACACATTCACTTGCATGGAACAATCTTGTAGAAAATCATTTCTCTACTTCATCTAACTCATAATCATAGACAGCTAGAATACACCCTCGCACCGTCTTCGACGAACGCCCAGGGGAAATTATGGCATCATTGCAAACAAATAAAACTCGTAAAACAGGCCAAAAGCGGCCACACAGCCAACCGTGTGTTCAAAAGCATATCAAACTCCATAGAGGTTTTCTTGTCCTGAATCCCGATTTTTCTTGCTTTTAATTTAGTCAACCTCCTCCATGGCGCTGTCACCAGCGGCGGCAGCAGGAGCACCAGCATCGGCAACAGCCTCAGTGGCGGGGGCAGAGTCATCCTCCTCAATGTTGAGGCCAAGCTGGACTAGCTTGTGGATGCGCTCAGCGAAACCGGCAGGCTCCTCGATGGTGAAGCCAGACACAAGCAGCGAGGTTTCAAAAAGAAGCTGGACAATCGACTTGACGGTGCGGTCGTTCTCACCATCAGTCTCAACCTTGGACTTGAGCTCCTTGATGATGGGAGACTTGGGAGAGATCTCGAAAGTCTTCTTGGAGGACATGTAGCTGGACATGGAGGTGTCACGGAGAGCCTGAGCCTTCATAATACGTTCCATGTTGGCAGACCAACCGAACTGGCCAGTGCGGATGGCGCAGGGAGAGAGACCGAGCTTCTGTGAGACGACAACCTTCTCGACCTTATCGCCAAGAACGTTCTTGAGAGCCTTGGCAAGGTCCTCGTACTCCTTCTCCTCAGTCTCGCGGGCCTTCTTCTCATCCTCAGTTTCCTCGAGCTCGAAGTCCTTGGTGATGTCAACGAGCTTCTTGCCCTCAAACTCCTTGAGCTGAGTCATGGCATACTCATCAATGGGGTCAACAAGGAAAAGAACCTCGAAGCCCTTCTCCTTGAGGGTGTCAAGGAAGGGCGACTTGGAGACGGCCTTGATGGACTCGCCAGTGATGTAGTACATGTTCTTCTGGTGCTCAGGCATGCGAGTGACGTAATCGGTGAGAGAGGTCTGCTCATCGCCAGACTTAGTCGAGTTGAAGCGGAGGAGCTTGGCGAGGGTGTTGCGGTTCTGAGAGTCCTCGTGGATGCCGAGCTTCAGGTTCTTGGAGAAGGCGCTGTAGAACTTGTCGAACTGCTCCTTGTCCTCGGCGATCTCCTGGAAGAGCTCGAGAGACTTCTTGACAATGTTCTTCTTGATGACCTTCATGATCTTGTTCTGCTGAAGGGTCTCACGGGACAGGTTGAGGGGGAGATCCTCAGAGTCAACGACACCCTTGACAAAGGAGAGCCACTCGGGAATGAGCTCAGTAGCATCATCAGTGATGAAAACACGGCGGACGTAGAGCTTGATGTTGTTCTTCGTCTTCTTGGTCTCAAAGAGGTCAAAGGGAGCACGCTTGGGGACGAAGAGGATGGCGCGGAACTCGAGCTGACCCTCGACAGAGAAGTGCTTGACACCGAGATGGTCCTCCCAGTCGTTGGAGAGAGACTTGTAGAAGGAAGCGTACTCCTCCTGGGAGATGTCCTGGGGGTTGCGAGTCCAGATGGGCTTCTGCTTGTTGAGCTCCTCTTCCTCAACCTTTGTCTCCTTGATGGTCTTGGTCTTCTTCTTCTTCTCTTCCTCCTCATCGTCGACCTCCTCGACCTTGGGCTTCTTGTCATCGTCAACCTCTTCAACCTCAGCATCCTCATCAGGGACCTCCTTCTCGGTCTCCTTGGTGACGTGGAGGTAGATGGGGTACGAGATGAACTCGGAGTGCTTCTTGATAACCTCCTTAATCTTGGACTCGTTGAGGTAGTCGGCCTGCTCGTCCTTGAGGTGGAGGATAATGGCGGTACCGCGACCGAGCTGCTCGCCCTCAGTGTCGGCGGCGATGTTGAAAGTACCACCAGCAGAAGACGTCCAGATGTACTGCTCGTCATCGTTGTGCTTGGAGACGACGCTGACCTGGTCGGCGACGAGGTAGGCAGAGTAGAAACCAACACCGAACTGACCAATCATGGAGACATCGGCACCAGCGGTGAGGGCCTCCATGAACTGCTTGGTGCCGGAGCGGGCAATCGTACCAAGGTTGTTGACAAGGTCCTGAAAAAAAGTTAGCAAAGTTGACGTTGCAGTTGAACATTTTCAGTTACATACAGCCTTAGTCATACCAATACCGGTATCACGAATGGTGAGGGTCTTGGCCTCCTTGTTTGGGATAATGTCGATGCGCAGATCCTTGCCAGAATCGAGCTGGCTAGGATCGGAGAGCGCCTTGTAGCGGACCTTGTCGAGGGCATCGGAGGCATTGGAGACGAGCTCTCTCAGGAAAATCTCCTTGTTTGAGTAGACGGTGTTGATGATGAGGGAGAGAAGCTGAGAGATCTCAGCCTGGAACTCGAAAGTCTCAGCCATTGTGAAGGGTATCAAAGGTTTGTGATTCTGGAGAATATGTTAGTGAGGTGGACAATACGGCTGGAAATTTTGCGAGAGAACGCAGCCGGTGGATGGCGGGGCAGGAGCGGTTTCGTAAACGGCGTGTAATTGACCAATCGGTCAACGCAGCGTTCAGAATGCACCCTCAAGCAGGCAGAGGCGTGCAGCTGCCAGTCGAGCTCCCGCAAACTCTTGAAAACGAGATGCCTATCCAACCAGCGGCCAACAATGCGATTGGGCAAAAGCTTACCTAGACGCTCTTAATGGAAAGGAAAAAGGTGAATGCGAAGCTTTAGACGTGAGAATTGTCCAAAGATTTTTTAGCATAGAGGCAAAGGGGAGAGTATTGGGTATGAAAAAAGTGGTTGATGAAGAGAGGAAAGAAGAACCAAGAGAAGAAATAGGCGGAGAGGAAGAAGAGGTCGAGCTAAAAAGGGTTGTGCCAGCTCTGCGTTTGGCCTGCCCGCCACTATCCAGAGTTTCCATGAGATTCTACGGAGTAAACGGGCGGTACCTTTTCCACGGCAACGGTCTGGCGGGGCTGTGATTGGCCGAGAGGGAGCTGGATGGCCTGGGAGGTTTCTAGCACATCCCACGGGGCCACGGTGGGAAACCCTTGTAGCGGCAGGTTCTACCGGCGGGTTCTAGCGGCAGGCTCTAGCGCCTAAAAGAATACCTGAAGAGCGAATTGAAACTGCCTATTCTCTTTTCTTTATGGAAGTGGCATGTATTTCCGGATGGAAAATTACAGAGGAAGTCATTATTACGGCAAAAGGCAACGGTTGAAGGCTACGGCAGCCAGCCTCTGCGGATGGCGGGGTTCCTGCAACACTCACTGCACGTCTACGAGACGGTCAAGGCAACCCCCAGCCCAAAGAAAAACCGGGGAGGCTGACGATGAGGCTGGAGCATCTGGGTTGCACAACTCCTACCCATGCCATCGCACCGCTGTGCCCAATTCACTCGCAAACGCTCCTGTTTGCCTCGTCACATGGCCCGTCCCGTACCTTGTCCACAGTCCACGCAAGAAATCGGCCGCATACAATTATCTGGAAGCTTCTCGCCAGTTGGCTTGCCTTGACAGCCGCCACCAGGGTTCCCAATGGCCCCATAATAAATCTCTTATCTAATCGATGCCCAAAACCAACACACCTGTACCCGTTGAGATGACTAGAATCTTCACGATAACTTGCACGTAGTTCTGAAGCATGAAAATGACTGACCCGCGCCTCGTCGTCAGTTGGCAGCTGCAGTCCTCGAATGGAACAGTTCACCGTAAGGTAGACTTCTCGGCGGTGCCCTGCTCGAACGACCTCAGAGCTGAACAGTGTCACAATTGTGGGAGACTTGTTGCCAATGGCCAGGCCACCGCATCCATTAACGCCAATGTATTCCGGCAACCTAAAATAATTACAATTGTAGCCACGCAGCCACGCGGCCATGCACGTTTCACTCATTGGAAATGACGCTCCCCACCTGCCTATACTTGCGGTCCGCGTATGCCAGCCCAAACTCGTTGCTTTCCACACCGGGTATCATCTCCACCACCTCGGCCACCACAATCATATGATCCCGCACCCTGATGAGGCCCCTCACCGGCTCATCCTCGAGCAGCCTGCACCGCAGCACATGCACCACGCCCTTGCCGCGCAGCAGCGGCGGCGGCGGCGCGAGCGCCGTGCTATCCTCTGCGCTCTGCTCCAGCACCACGTCCTCCAGCCCTGCAAACACATCGGCTCCCTCGTTGCCGCGCGTGAAATGGTCCGCCACGGCCGCGCCGCTCGAGTCGCCTGAAAGCACGTGGATGTTGAAGCTGCGGCTGGCCTGTATCGAGTCGAGCGTGCGGCTCGGCGTCGCGACATTGAACGTGATGACGGGCGTGGGCTTGAGCGTGAGCGACGTAAATGACGACATGGTCATGGCGCGCGGGATCTTGTCGTGGCCGGCCGACGTGCACACGACGACGGATTGAGATAGAAGACGCATCACGGCGCGCAGCTGCTCGGGCGGAGGCTTCGGGGCCTTGAGGTCGGTCGTCGGGGGCGAGGGCGGCGCGACGTGCCACGATGAGGCACGGGACGCTGATGGTCGAAAGCCACGGCTCGACACATCTATCTGTATCATCAGAAGCTGGAGTAGCCTATAAGAAGCGGAAATCCGTACATGTAGAGGGGCCTTGGCCAGTCACTGTCTGTAGTACCGGCGCGAACTCCTTTGGTAGTATCGTGGAGAGCGGACGCCCCGTCACTGCGTCGCAGAAGCCAATTGCCACGCCAACTCCGTCCTGCACCCGTCTCACCACCTGCATCACGCCAAAGTGCCTGGAGCACTGCCATCTTCGAAACCTCGATGCATCTGCGCGCGGCTGTGATGTGGCTATGCGGGAGGAAGAGTGCGCCAAAAGCCGCATTGTTGAGAGACCCTTCATTGGCAAGACTTGCCCATTGTGGGATCCAACTGCGGTACTGAGGACGAGATGCGACGAAAAGAAGAAGAACAGAGATATGACAGTGCAGAACAGAGCAAGCGATGACCAAATCAGCCCGAGTGTTACAATGCGCCGAGGTATGTATGCAGACTTCATGTGCAGAGCTAGCTCCAAAGTCGCGACGTCTGTGCTTATCGATACCTGTGGCTGCGGACAGGAAATTTTGCGGAGCCATCTCAGGCTTCACTTTGAACCCAGCACATCCAACCTCTACGAATCGAGCTACACTCATAATACCCGCAATTGGTCGACGAATATCTGCACAACTTTGCCATCGGCAGCTAGACACTATACAGAGGCCCTCCATCACCTCCGCCATGGCGAAACTCCCTGTCGCCCTGGCGCCCACCCGCGCCGGCACCTCTTCGTGCCTCCTTTCCACAACCACGCGCACCACCACGCCGTCTTCATCCCTCCGCGCACACGCCCGCCACGCCACCTTTATCGCGCGGCCACGCCGCCCCTACAAATTCACCCAAATGGTGCGCCTCTCCGACGGCTCGACATACACGATGCGAACGACATCACCGGAGCCGCTCTACCGCCCGGTCAAGGACACGCGCAACGCGCTGCTGTGGCAGCCCAGCGACAAGTCGCTCCGCAACGTCGAGCTCGACGAGGCCGGCCGCCTCGCCGCCTTTCGCGAGCGCTTCGGACGCGGCTTCGATGCGACGGCGGCGACTACGGGCGAGCAGCAGGAGGAGGCGGACGTGACGCCCGAGTCGGCGACGGCGGGCGCGTCGGGCACAGGGGATGCGTTTGCGGATCTGCTGGCTGGATACGCGCCCAAGGACACGGGTGCGATGAAGGAGGCGCGAGGAAAACAGGTGCACCAAGGAAAACGCAAGTAATGGGAAATAGGAGAGAATGGGAGTGGGGAAACGAGTTGACTTTGCAGAGGAGGGATATGCTGCTGGACGCGGCATGCTTGTAAAATCATGTACATTTGCATCAAAATATTTCTCTTTTATTATAAAGGAAGATGAACTCTGGATCCGCCATTCCTGGGCCTGTGTCTCAATCAAGATGAGGAAATCTGCATGTGTTGCGAGAATAGGGTCGGATTATATGTACAGTAGGGTTCTATATACAGAGTATATGAGCATATTAGTGAACAAGGGGTATCGCAGTCTCTCTGAGTGAATGTTGCCATTGCAATCATTGAGACAGGGTGACATAAATGGCCAAACGCCAGGATGTGCCGAGGCCCCTACCCGATCGTCAGTGGCCACGGAAACAGAAATGGCAAGAGATCAGACACTCTTGAGTGCAGAAAAAGAGTATCGGCAAAAGAATCGAAAAGGTAAAAGCAAGAGCCCTGATGAACGTCACCGGTGTTTCCTGCGTCAATCTTTGACCAGTTTCCTCTCTCCCAGACTCCTGCGCCGCTCCACGAGCGTCGCGTCCGACCATCTCCTCCCCCCATTCTGCTCTTTCTGCTGGTGCTGGTACTGGTGCTGCTTCTCCCGCATCTCCCCAACCATCGGGTCGTTATCGATCAGCCTCTTCTGCATGCATTTCCCTTCGCCGCGCCGGCATACCCGCCGCACCATACCTAGCAGCCCACCACCACTATAAGCGCCGTCGCCGCCTTCCTTTTCGAGCTTCTGTCGCGATAGAGACACTGATAATATCGTGCACTCATCATCTTCTCTGGGCCATCGTCCCGACGCGCAATTTTCTTTTGCACGCTTCGTCTCGACCCCGCGCGACGACAAGTCCCAGATAAAGTAGTAGGTAGCCGCTTCAGCAGGATCAATCGGCCACAGGGACCTATCAATGTGTTGATCGAGAAGGCGCATACCATCCATTTTCGTCTTTTTTTTTGGTCTTTTTCTCCAGACTTTGCTTCAAAATCGTATCTTGGTGTGACTTTTGCGGAGAGAGATCTGATTTGTGGTTCACACCACCAGCGTTTTGGGGCGGAAATCGTGGGCGAAAGGGGGGTGTAATCAGTTCAAGAATGAAATTAGGTAAAATAACTGCCAATAGACTCGGATACCCCGGATTTTTGGGACAATGCAATGAAGTAAATTTTCTCAGGAAAAGTAAAGACGGCGTTATCTGCAAGTAGGTGCCACAATGCCATGTGGGAGAGACAGAAACTTCGCGGGGGGGGGGGGATAGACAGAGGGACGCAGAGTCAGCTGAAGGCTGGGGCGAGGCGAGACAAGCTTCCCCTACGAACACAATGTCCCCACTGCGGCGCAATTTTCCAGCCAGGGCTTCCCAGGCCGCGCGTCCGAGCACTTCGGCACTTTGACTAGGTAGCAGGCTAGCTGGTTTGAGGTGCGCCTCCCCCAACCAGGGTACCTGTTTCTGGTTCAGTCCGGCAAGCTATTCATCAACGAGATATATGACGAGTTCGTCTTGATCGAAACCTGGTCCATGCTTGCTGCCGGTTTACACAACAAGGCTATGTTAAAACGGCGGCGGGCAGTTTCACATCGGTCGGCCTTTTCATCACGACACGCAACAAGATCAAAGCAGCCGGTACTGGCCAATACCATTTTCATACCTTCGCACGGTATTGGAAAACAAAATATCAAAGGACAGGTGGATGGTTGCAAGACACTGCTTACTCTCGTCATTTTATGCATCGTAGCCCATGTCTCGAAACAACTCAGCAAAAAACCATCTCTCCACTGCAGGGCCTATCCTACATTCAGCTCAAGTGTACAGCACAGACATCCTTGCAAAACGCCTTGCCAAAATGAAACCGCCCTAAAAATGAGGAATAACTATTTAATCCGAATCTTCGTCGATTCTCGCCCTTGCACGATCAATGGCCGTGTCGCCCGTTCCCTTGCTCGCGGCCTGGTATACTGGGGGCTTGTAAAATGCCGAAGCATCATCTTCGGCGTCGAGCTGCATCAAAAACGTCTCCCACTTCTCAATGAGCTAGCAATTCAACGTTAGTAAACCATAATTCCAAAAGCGTCAGACAGCCATCGTCTTACCTCCTTCTGTGCTTCGACGGCACTCTCCAAAAATGTCTCGACACCGCTCTTAAAGTCTTCCACCTTTTCGCGCTCAAAGCGATCCAGCTCAGTACGCATACAACGACCCATGTCTTCAAACAAGAGCCGGGCTTGGTGCACCTTCTTCTCGGCCTCGGCGACTTCGGCATTCATCTGGTTCAGGCGGTCCTGCTGACTCTTGCCCTGGCGCAGCAGTTTATCTTGAGTAGCCTTCTTCTTCTGCAGCTCCGACTCCGCCGAGTGCCACGCATAAAAGCCCTTCTGACGCTGGCTAAAAGCCTGCTTGACGGAGCCGATCAGGCGAATGTACTCTTCAATCGTGATGCCAAACGTCAGCACGTCTTGCTGCGCCTGGCGATCATAGACGTCGCGAATAGTGAGCTGCAGGTCGGAGAGAGCGTCGAGAGGCTGCGACAGTGACTGCGACAACTCCACGGTTGATAGAGCGTGGAGAGAAGCAGAGAACTCGCCAGCGGCCTCGGCCATCATCTTGCGCTGCCCAACCATCGTCTCCATGGCCTTGAGCAATCCTCGCAGCTGGCTCTCCAGCGCATCAAGGTACACCTTGCGGTCGTGGAACCAGTCATCCTGCTCGACAAACTTGCTGCCACCGCCGACATTGATGCCGAGCGAGCCCAACACGCCCTTGCTCTCCGAGGGCAGAGGATCACGACGCTCCTTTTGCTTCACATCCACATTAAAGGCTTCGCTTTCCAAGAATATCTTGACATCGCCATCGTGTTGCAGGGTCGGGTGTGCGGTGATCTTGTTCAGCATCTTTTCCAGGGCTGCACGTCTGGCTTCGACAAAGTTACTGTCGAAGCGGCCGACGGCCTGCTTATCGGGAGGTGGGGGCACCACATAGCCGGGGTTGTTTGCGTGTAGAGAGTTGTATAGCCAGAGAAAATCTCGGTAGCGACGCTTCACCTCGAACTCAGGCTGCTTGTAAGCGCGGGAAGTAGTCTAGTACCAAACACGTTAGCCACAAACGGTTCCTCTCCCTCTCGAGGACTTGACTACTCACCTTTGTCCGCACAGAGTAGACAATGTGAGAGCTTGTCAGATCACCAATTTTGACTGGATCTCCAACACTGATATAGAAACTCGGCTTGGCGGCCTGCTCCACGCTGACGCTGGGCTGCTGGCTGCTCTGATTCGTGCTCGGCAGAGCCGCGTCCACTGGGGGCGGCACGCGAGGGCCCCTTGATCCGGCTTCCAGGTGGTCGTCGTCGATACGGTGCGGATCGGCTGGGCGTCTCGGCTGGGCGTGCTGCGGTGGCATGGTCGTGCGCATCACCAGCTGCTCCTTTTGCGGCGGCACCGGGGGGGTCGCCTCGGCGGGCCCGGCATCGTCGTCGTTTGCGGCGCTCAGCGGCCCAAGGGGGTCCTCGACAGCTTCGAGACGCGTGGGCTGGGCGACGAGACGGCGAGGGCCGCGTGAGGGCCGCACGGCCGACGACGGGGATGAGGCGCTGCCGGCGGCCGGCGCCGTCGTTGATGAGGTGGCGGATGCGGAGCCACCCTGCGCGGCGGTGGCGGTCTGGCTCGAGTCGGCCCACGGAGACTCCTCGACGTCCATTATATGTGTGTTGTGACAGTGGCGGAATTGATCGGCAGCGGGATTGCGTGTTGTTGATTGAGGGAAAAGAGCGTTGGAGAGGCAGGTTGGTGGCGGAGCGACGGGTAGGCACCAAGCTCCAAGAGCATCAACGTCAGTGGAGGTCGGTCACCTGGAGGACTTGCGTAAGGTCGACGTCGCCCCACTCGCTCCTCCACCTCTTGTCATGACTACTAGGTATGGCCTGGTAACGAAACGAACTAGGTACCTATCGATCAACAGACTACAATGAAAAGAGTCAATATCGAGTATCAGTGCTCCAAGTCAAACTTGCCAATTTCTGCGTACGCAGGTACAGCTAGGGTATAGTCACATTCTAGTACCTGCCTAATAACTAGATAGTTTACAAATGAATCCAAACGCCTGGATGACCGTTAAGCAGCTGATCCATGTCCAAGCTCCCAGAATCTGTAAACCTTTTTCCTCTCGCAAAATTCAATCCTTTGTGTTTTTTTTTTCGAGTCTCGAGACATTGCACAAGTCTATCTTTCAGGCTCATAGCAGCCTCCAACCACCACCAGATTCATTCTCGTAAACTTGACCTTGGTGACGGGAGTCTTTTTGGTAGGGAACGCGCTAATTTGGTCTGGAGTAATCATCACCTCCTTGCCCTTCTTTTTGGAACCGCCTGCCACGTTCGTCGAGGCGGAACCTTGCTGAGACGCCCCCGCCGCTCGTGAAGCGTCCTGCGCACCGGCATTGAGAGTATCTGCGCCCGCCAGCGTACCGGCGTCCAGGCCGGCCTGCTGCGCCGCCTTATGAGGATCGGCAGGCGATTCCACATCCCACAGGCGAACTGTCCCGTCTTGTCCACCAGAGGCGAGCACAGTGGACTCGACGCTAAAGCTCAGAGACCAGATGCCGCCCTTTCCGTGCCCGCGGGAGCGCTTAATGCGTGTGCCCTTGGTGATGTCCCAGAAAAAGATGTTGCCGGCAATGTCAGCGCTGGCCAGTATCTTGCCATTGGGTGCGCATTCCAAAGCACTGATATAATCGGTGTGGCCGGAGAAAACACGTACGCAGCCACCAGTAACGATGGACCACATGCGGATGGACTTGTCGGTTTCGTCGGACGCGGAGAATGCGTACATGCCATTGGGGTGCCAGGCCAAGGCAGAAAGAGATGTATCGTGACCAACAAACAAGCGCTGGGGCGACGCATGATCTTGCATCCAGAGTCGGAGAGTCTTGTCATAGCCACCGCTCAGGAAGTAGTGCCCGTGAGGACCCCACTGCGATCGAAACACTGGACCGTCGTGAGACTTGTATACAGCGAGGCAGGACCATGATTCAAGAGACCAGAGTCTAATTTGACTATCCGCAGAGCATGACAGCAATAGCTTGGGCTTAGTGTCAATCCTGGCACCTGGATGAGCCTCATCTCCAAAAAGTCGCTGGGGTGCGCCGGCGGCCGAGTCCGAGAATGATACATCATAGACAGGTCCAGAGTGACCAATCAGTTTTCTGCTGTTGAACTTGGAGTCCTTTTCGTGTGCGTTCATCGATGACAGGGCCTTGCCGTCCAGTGACCAGACTCTAATGTATGATTCAGACGTGCCGGCAGCAACGAGCTGTCCGTCATCGGAAAAGTCCATACAGGCGACACTGCCCAGGGTATTGTGAAATGTAAACATGCAGGCACTGACAGCGACTCCAACGCCTCCGGTACGTCCTTCAATCTTGAAGCGATCTCTGTTTTCGCGGAGCTTCTGCATCTCAAGCATAATATCTCGTGGTCTTGACGGGGGTAGAGGAAGATCGGCTCGGTTTGGGGCGTCAGCACTGTCCTCCCGTTTGATCTTTTGGTCGAATTCTTCCAGAAGCGTTGTAGTACCCGCCGGTGGAGGATTGCGCTTCTCCTCATCCTCGAGTTCGGCACGCAAATCGTCGCGCAAGTCGGCGTCCATGGGGAGCGGGCCTAGTTGTAGAGGAGCGGCAGGATCAAGAACATCCTTATTTGAGAGCCCCAATTTGATGCCAGGTACACCTTCCCTTGTGTCGATGTCTTCCATATCCATATTTTTGGCGCGTCGGAAAACGGACTCAAAGCTGAATGGGGTGATGGGACCGCGCTGTGTCGAGTCAATCTGACAGTGGTTGACCAGTATATGACGAATAACTGTGCCCCCATGTTCAGACTCGCGCTCGAGGAAGTTGAACAAGTCCCCAGTTGCATGTTGATTCAGCGGGATACGATATTTGTTGTTCTTGTAAAGCTGAATAATGGGGTTATCCGCAGTATGTGCTGGTAGAGTGACGGTCGCAAATGTCTTGAGGTCGTCAGCATGGGCTGTTTGGAACTGAGGGCCCATGTCCTTGAGGTAAATCTTGGCGTCCTCGGTATACCCGTTCTCAACTAGGGCGATGTACGAATATACAAATACTGGCCATAGCAGCTTGGATAGTTCAAACTAAATAGAGTTAGACATGAACCAGTAGTGTCAGGGATAAAAAGTACCTTGTATATATCGAGGTTGTTGAAAACCCAAGCCTTGAGAAGTCTGTACGCCTTTCCGTATTTCTTGGGCCCAACAAACGCAGGCTGGTGAATAGGCTTTCCATCCGATCCGAGATGCTTAGACTCTTGGCGAAAGACCTCTTCGGTACGGTTGAAGCCGCGCTTCAGCAAATAATCTGTCACCTTTCTCAAAGTCAGCAAAGAGTCCCCAAACTGATGGCTCTTGATGCAGCTTCGGGGACACAGCACGCGCCGCGCCGCAGATAGCGCAGCCTCTCGATAGTCTCTGCTCTCTAAAACTTACTATTTGATTCAGATTCTGGTTAGACATAGCTCCTCCCGCAGCTGATGTTGTCGCAGCGGCTGATGGGGTTGCAGTTGGTGGTGGTGCAGGAGCAGGGGCTGGTTGGCCGTACACCGGCGGGGGAACTGGTGTTTGCTGAGTCATTTTGTTGCAATATTTTGTGCGTTACGACACGTTGGTCACAGTCCTCGCACTCGATCGATCGGGGAAGGTGAGCCCAGTCGCGCGATAGTTACTGCCGTCGTTGAACGAGGGGTGCGACTCCGATATTCGTGCGCCGTGCGTGCACGTCGACCGCGGGCGCACAGAATATTGCGCAAGGATTTGAACAGTCTCGATTATCGACGGCGAGATAAGCGACGATGATAACCTCCAGGGCTGTGCGTACGCGCGTGTCGGCATTCGTCGCATCGATGGAGATGCGAAAGTGAAGACGGAGTCGTGAAGCGTCCTCCAGTTCGAGACCCGCCCCACATTACTTCGCGACGGGGGAGTTAGATCTTGTAGAGTCGCTCACAGCGCGCCGAATCAGCTTGGCATAATCAAAACAACTCTATCAGAGAAATTCATCGAATTTCTGAGCATTCAATGATGATCTAAACTTGTGTAGTTTGGCTTCATGTTTCAGGCGCATCAGGCGCAAATCATGGCGGTGTATTGAATGCATCACTTGTTAGGTTCTGCGTCGCGTTTTCACTGCAGGAGACTGAGGCAGCGATGCCAGTTTTAACATGCAATCAAGGTGTCTTTTGTTGAATAAATAAAAATGGCTTTCTTTTCTCACCTGATCAAGTTGTCAAGTCATGCCCAGTGCGACTAAATGCTCCCCTGATGCACTATGCTCACAGCGCTCTCCACTCCATCAGACTCCTTAAGCGCCAGCATCGCCTGAACAGACTCTCATCCTCCAACCCGACGACCAACGGCACGATAATCCGCAATGACATCGCCAAACGATGTGGCCATGGAAGACGGCCGGTCCTCTGGCACCCACGAGCCCTTTACTATTGAAGAAAACATCAGCCAGCTCAACGCCATTGACAAAACCGCCGTGCAGCTCATGGGCCATGCCGCCACGGCACTCAACTCGCTCACCACGCCGTCGTCGGCCTCGGACTCCCCTGCCGATTACATGGCCGCCGAAATTGACGCGCCCGCGGCCAAGAACGCTTTTACTGCATCCACCGATGCCTTTCTCACGGCGCTGCACGACATCGACGTGCGCATGAAGCGGCAGATCATGGCGCTTGAGGAGGCGGGCATTGTCGACCTCAACAGCGCGTCGCGCGGCGACCCCAACGCACCGGCCAGGGCGTCGCTCAGGCCCAACGGCGTCGGTGCGGTCGGTAACCTGGATGTTGGCTGGCTCAACAGCCGCAGCACAAAGGTCGAGCGGGACATGGAGGCCGAGCTTTGGGACAAGGCCAAGAAGCTTCTCGAGGCGCAGTCGCAGGCGGGTAGCAGATGACGGTAATGGCACTGTAATTGTGCTGCAGGCGCAGAAACACCCTGCCTGATTTTCTTTGATTCTGCTTCTGGCTCATTGAAGCAAACTGGCGTTTTGGTTCTTGAAAATCTTCTTTGGCGGTGATGGCGTTTTACAGGCTTTGTTCGGGCGGCTTTCACAGCAGATCTTGAAATGATACCAGTCACAACGCTGTGCTGCCATTCGACAAAGAAGTATACAATGAGACTACGAGCAAAAAGAAGCGCGATTCAATTACGAAGCTCACTGGCTTCTAAATGTAATAAATATGCTAACATATCTCCCGCCTTCACCGATGATTCTCTCACCATCAACACCAACAATATGACACCCAACACTCCCAATATGAAATTCGAATGCGTGCGCCATTCAGAAGCCAGATTTACCGGCCTCAGTGTATGCCTCTTTTTCTCGTTGGCATCCTTCAGTACTTCAATCACAGACGATGGCAGGACATCCGTTTTCTTTGCACGCTCGGAATCACAATTCGCCTTCTCTAGTCTAATGAGCGAAACACAGACAATCGAGCAAAGGCATGGCGCTGACCAGAGACAGAGGCCGAAATATTTGCTCGAGGGAGGCTGGGGGATTGGATTGGGATGGAAGATCTGCGAAAAGGGTTAGGTTCAATTTGTTCTCAATCTTAAAAGTTAATTGTTCGTACATATCGCGTGACCTAACTAGTCCATCTGTCTAGCTACATATTGCTGCGATATTGGCAACTTTATTTGCCTTGTACATTGGCCGTGATGTTACATACTAGTCCGTCAATGCAGACTGAAAATTGAAGGCTATTGTTTTAGAGGCTTGAATGACATAAGCCGTCTTGCACCGCCTGAATTCTTATAAAGAGAGCACGAATTGCACTGGCGAGCGTCTCCAGGGTATGATGCACACACACAGTCTGCCAGACACAAACGCCACCCACTACAGCGAGAGACTCTTAAGAAATTTCTATCCGTCTCTTTTCTGTTACAGCGAAGGGAATCAATGCCAACTCATTTGCAAGCGCTCAAAGAGAATTTCTATGACTACCGTGCCACTTTCACCGCGTATCTGCGCTCGACTTTTCGAGTTTGAGGGCTTTGTATTGATGCAGGCCCTTACGTACATAAACTTTGAATGGGATCTGTGTACTGCTCTGTTTATGGATCCAAGTGAACTGTGTTAGTCACCAGAACGCAATAATGAGATACAGAGGCATGAAGAGTGGTGTGGGAGCGTAAAGATTATCGTGTCAGTTGATTGATCGCTGGCAGGGATGCTGAAACATTTCGTGAGCAGTTTGGACGAAATGAAGGCATACTACAGAGAGTATGGAATGTTAGTAGGAAATCTTCAAAGAGCGAAATACGTATTTAGCACGGGCAATCGTGACACTGAAGGAATGCCAATAGGCGCGGTCTGTTTTGCAGTAAATACTTAGATGGGCATATGAGCCGACAGCTGCATGGCTCGGGCAAGGGCTACCACGGTGACGGAATCACAGACAGTGGAAAAATTTCAAATAAGGAGACACATGACTCATGCCAAGATTTATTCATTGCTGCCAGGACTTTCAGCAATAAAGTGGCGATATACAGTTACGATGCTGTCCTTGTTATCCTATAACTAACTTATAGGTAGTGACCCCTGTAGTGCCAAGCTAGCTCTGAACTGCGGTTCTACGGGTGATCCACTGACTTCCCCGGAAGGAGCCAATCAGCAGGTTCACAATTCGCTACTCGCTGTGATTATTGGCAGCACCAGGCCACCAGCCAACTTGGCCGACGCTTTAGATCCGGGCTTCCGTAGCCTTGGGACACGCCCCTTTTTGTCCTTTTTGCCCTTCGTCCCTTTCCTCACCACTACATCTCGCGGGCTTTCGCTTTTGCCCTTGTTCACGCGACAGTCTTCAGCCCGAACCTGCGCCTCCTTGGCCGCGATACCGACGTAAACGCCACTACTCGACTCAAGTCAAGACACGCTGTGGTCCGCGTCCGCGGCGAGCAGTCATGGCCATCGGACGAATGAACAATCCCGCGGGCCTGGCATCGACGGCATCTCTAGTTATTGTCGCTGCCTTGTGTAGTGCTGCTCAGGCTCACGACCATCATGGCGTCCAAAAAAATATTCCAGAGGGCGAGACCGCCACCAAGGAGCCTCTGGTGCGTACCGATCCAAACGCGAGACAACGGAGCGATCAGCTGACAGTGCAGCAGGATTCAATTACATGGATTCATATCTTTATTCAAATGCTTGCCTATGGTGTCATTTTCCCCATTGGCATGGTCTTTGGTGTAAGTTGATCCTTTCCCATGTCATGGGCCCCCTGTAGCCTAACGCCTCTTTCCAGATGACGAAATCACGGTGGCACGTCCCGACCCAGGCCGTTGGTTCCTCCCTGGCCTTGCTCGGTTTCTTCCTCGGTCACGCCCACGGCGGCCGCCAATATGTCGCCAACAACGTTCACTCGGTATTCGCCAACATTCTTCAGCTGCTCCTCGTCGCCCAGGTCGTGCTCGGCCTTTACCTTAAGGGCCACTGGGAGCGCGGCATTAACGGCCGCATCCGCCTCCTCATTCGACCCTTTCACTCCGTCATCGGCAAGGCCATGCCCCTGCTCGCCTGGGTCCAGATGATCTTTGGCGGCATCACGACCCTCGGCTTCTGCCAGGGCGATCACCTGGGTCAGTGCGCTGCCCACTTCATCATGGGAGGCGCTTTCATCGCCTACGGTATCCTCCTGACCATTATTCTTCTTGCCGGGCAGGTATGGATGCGTCGCACCGGCCGCTCGCAAGAATTTTTCGACAGCTCCGTAATTGCCGTTTGGGGCTGCATCAACACCTTTACCGAGCACCGCTGGGGCACCGCTTGGGTCAAAAATGATTGGCAGCACACCACCATGGGCATTGTCTGGTGGTGCGCCGGCCTGGCTGGCATCTGGCTGAGCCGCGACCGTGACGGGAATCCCAAACGTAACTTTATTCCCGCCTTTGTCATTTTCATCACTGGTTGGGCCATGTCTGCGCATCCCCAGGAGCTCATGGTCAGCGCCATGACGCACGCCATGTTTGGCAAGACGCTGATGGCTGTCGGTGTCACCCGTGTTATTGAAATCGCATTTGTCCTCAAGGACAAGCAGTCCCTCCACGAGAGCGGCCGCACTTGGAACAGCTTCCAGTACATTCCCGTCTTCCTCATGTACGCTGCTGGCTTCCTTTTTATGGGCGCTACCGAGGAGCAAATGAACCTGGTCGACTCTAGTGCCATGGATGGCGTTTCTTACACACTCATTCTCTACTCCCTAGCCTTCATGGTGTTTCTTTTCGCAAACATGCTCATTCATCTCTACGACCGCCTCTCGCCCAAGGAAGAGGGCGACAAGTACAGCAACGGTCACATTCGCCTCAATGGTGACGCCCACGAGGAGAGCCGTTTGCGCGACGTCGAGGAGTTTGAACTTGAGGGCCTCAGTGATGAAGACCACGATGAGAGCCGGCGTATGCTGAACCAAGCCGATAGATCGAGTAGCGACACGCCGAGCACGCTTGGTCGCAATAACCACACTTCGGCTCACTGAATTCAAGAGCCGCGGAGTTTTCATTGACGAAACTGAATCACTATATACATATTACGGCGTTTTGGGTGGAAGTTGTTCACAGATGAAGACACATTCATTGTCACTGCCAGGGGAAGGACAGGACTTGGCGGCCTTGGAGACTCTGTACAAGGTTACTTACCATAGAACCGAAAACTCTACGGACCATTTTTCAGAATTTTCCGTCGTGCTTTTTTGTGTTGGGGTGTGTGGCTTAGTCTGGCCCCGGGACTCTAGACTTTAAACCGCCACGCCATGGCGTGACGCACGAAAGGCAAATACATGCTGTGAATTAGGGACACGTAACCAAGTGTCACGGCGCTATTGGTTGGACGAAAGTACAAGCACGTTGTTGAACCTTGTCGCTCGCGACAGACAACACCTTGAACCGCGCCTGCCAGCAATGCGCGGCCAATGCCTACCAGTATGCGTGCATTTACCAGGACGGGAGGACCAACCTCGTTCCTGAAACCGGCACCGAAACAAAATTACGAACCCAAATACCTTGTTCAAAGGAGAGAAAGCATAGGAAGCATGGCCGGCTTCAAGAGCAATGTCTGCGAGGCCGTGGCCCGCCACCGTCCTGGCTACCGGCCCTCGCAGCTTGAGGCGGACCTGTACGCGGCCATCTACGGCTCCAACATGATTGCGTCGGCGGGCACGAGCTACGACCACACGGCACTCATCTGCCTCGAGGTGCTGCGCGGCGCGCCCGTTCTCGCGCCAATCACGGACCCGGATCACGACCCGGACTACGCGCCGCACGTGCATTTTCTCATTGACTGCGGCAAGAGGGCGACGTTTGGCGCCGTGGCTGCGTCGAGGCTCGAAGTGATTCGGCACGCGCACGCGTATTGCTACCTGATGGACCGGGTGCTGCTCAAGGGACGGGCCGTGTCCGAGGCGATGCTTTGCGAGACGCATCGGCGGCTGGTCGGTTGCGAGAGCGGCTCTGGCGGCGGCGAGTACCGCGGGTATGAGGGAGGGGGCCGGGCGCTGCTTGACATGCGGTGGAGGGCGGTCAAGCACCGGATGGCGCAGTTTTGCGAGGAGCTGGCAAAGGAGATGGAAGAGGGAGGAGGGGTGGATGTGTATGCGCTGGCGGCGAGGTATCATCACAACTTGATGTGCATCCGGCCGTTTGCAAAGGGAAACGGGAGGGTGGCGCGGGTCCTGGTCAATGTGCTGCTGCTGAGTCTGGTGGGAAGGATCAGCGTCATTGGGATGAATGGGGACGAGGTGGACGAGTATCGCAAGCTGGCTGTGCAAGGGTACAAGGCGTTTCGGAAGGAGGGTTTCGAAATGTTGCGAGGTGAGAGGACGTCGCACTTGGAACTCGCCAGCTTCTTGTATAAGAATGCAATGAATTGATACGGGCAGATATAGCTGCATTGCTACATGGTACATGGTACATGTATCTGTACAGACATACATCCAGATATACTATATCAATGTTGTTGATGGTTGTTGTATCTGTGTCCGTCGAGGTCCCTGTCGATCCAAGTGGGGCCGATCTATCATGGGGCAAAAAAAGTTGTCAAAAGTGCCGTTCTACCGCCTCTTTTCCATTACCGGATTCTCTCGCCGCCATTTTCTCCCAACGAAATTTTCTACCAAATTACATAAACACACACACACACACACAAGATGCCTTCCGTCAAAAACCCCAACGGCCCCTCCAAGAACCGCCTCGCCGCCCGCGCGGCCAAGGCCCGCAAGGTGTCGCAGAAGCGCTCCGCCGAGGGCAAGCACAAGATTGCCAAGATTGACGTGCAGCGCGGCGCGCGTCCGGGCCTCCTGCCAAACAGCGGACCCAACGCGAGAGTCAGCTCGAAAAAGGCGCGCAAGCTGCAGAAGCAGATGGGCCACGCGCTGCGGCGCAAGATGGCGGCCGAAGGCGAGGCCGTCATGACTGGTACGTGGGCGGAGGAGCGGGGGGAACTGGCCTTTTATTTTCTTTCTTGTGGAAGTGCTGACTTGAGTTGGGTAGACGCCCCAGAGGACGAGGCCGCAAAGGATGTGCGTCAAGGGCCGGACGAGACGGAAATGGATGGCATTCAGTAAAGAAACAATCGACGAGACGACGATGCGAGATGAACATTTTCCCCGGCATTGGAAGTACACAAGGACGGCGTTTGGAGGTCAAAAAATACAGTTGATTTCTTCTTCACTTTTGCTTCGATGAATGATTTCAAGCATGCTATAATACAATTACTATGCGAAACAGACGATCCCAGTCAATTTGTTGAATGACGCTTCATCGACCGAGAAGTAATACAAAGCTTCCTCAAAAGCTGTTTGTCTACTCTTCAGTCCTATCCGCGGTGTCGTGATCACAGCGCCAGCTTGCATGTCTGCCGAGCCGTCGTCAACGAGGAACACCGGCGGTAGTATCTGCACCTGCAGTCCACTGCCGCGACTGCGCCCAGGAGCCACTCTCACGCCGGGCTACAAGTGGCGCGGATAACAGTCACGGGGGGAGCAGCTGCGTGTAGGCGAGCGGGTCGGGCGGCGCAAGGTACGGCGGCGGCGGGTTGAGATTCGGCGTGGCAGCTCGTTGCTGACGCGGCCGACGCCCGTCTTGAAGAGAGAGCGGCGGTATCGCCGTGGGCCAAGATGCTGCTGGCGCTGACGCTGCCGTCGCGACGGCGATGTCCTGCAGCCGGCCGAGCGACATGTCCATGGTGAAATGGCGCACGCGGAATTCAGGGCCGTGCCATGCTACCGGTGTGAGGCTTGGGGTTCGGTCGTGCCGAAAACAAAGGGTGGCACAACGCTCGCCAAGGCCTTTGAAAGGCACATGTGCGACATGAGTGCTGTTCAAATCGCATCTCGCCACCGGGGTAAGTCTGACCCGTGTTCCGATTGGAAAGAGTGTCGATGATGATTGATGAGGCGAGAGCTGCTGGGTCTCTGATGCGCCTGCTTGGGCACTTTTTTGAAAGCCTCAGTGTTGCGGTGATGGCCGGCTCGGGTCGTCTGTTCGTCACGGCACGGCACGAGGCTTCATGCAAACGAGTCGCTGGCAGCGGCGCATTGCAACATGCAGCGCTGCATATTCAGATGCCGCGGCGTTGCCGCTTCGAAAAATTTCACCGCCGTGGTTCGCACGCCTTTTCTTCTTCTTGCTCTTCACTCGTGTCTTGGATCGTTTACCTATTGGCAGATGTCAGCCTCGTGCAACTCGACTGATGCCTGGTCAGCCAATGTGCAGCTGTCGTAGCACAAAGCTAGGTGATGATGAGCATCTTTTTTTTTTTTTTTGGGAGGGCCTACGCAGGCGTATAAAAACGCCTTTCCTCTTCCGCCGTTTGCTTTTCTCTGGCAGTGACTGCTTCTTCGCATTCACATCTCCTCTACACACAGCTGACAGTTTGCCCCTTGGCTCTCTTCCGTGCTCCATCATCACTTTCCTCACCCGTAGACATGGCTTGCGACCAAAGCAAATTCGCCGCCTTTCACTGTCTACCGGAGGAAGATCCCGCGAATATCATCGAAATCTCGAGCGATGAGGAGGAAATAGCCCAAACAGCCCCCCCACACCTGGAGCAAGTAGAGACGACTCCCGAGGGTAATGCTCAGTTGTGCTGAACATGGCGTTTACTGACGACAAGTACAGAGACCGAACCTGATGCCGAGGCCAGGGCCAAGGCCGCTGCGTTTCGAAGGACAATCAGAACGAGCATACCTGTCCACTTTCTAAATGGCCCGGTACGGCTGCGCATCCGGGCAGCTGCTATCTGTATGCTAGAGACTGCGATGAGCTCCGGCACCACCCTCGATGCCGTTTATATTGACGACAACTGTCTGCCGGCGTGGCCCGGCCGCGTGTGGGACCCGAAAGCGCAGTCGCTTCACGAGGCCATGCAGTCGCGGCTCGCAGAGTGCCTCGACGCACAGGAGCTCGGCCGGAGCCTCTCCGCGGCCATTATCGAAATCGGAAACTGGCGCCTCCAGGAAGCTGTCGCGCTGGGGCTGCAGCTCCAGGATCTGACAATTGGTGAAAATCTGCTGCCGACATGGCCCGGCCGGGACGGCGGTGGCAGCAGCCCCGGCGACGCAGCAGCCAGCGACGACGAGACCATGATGGAGATTGGCAGCAGCGTGCACAGCAACGACCTGGCGCCGCCCCCACGGTCTACAAGCCGAGCCGCGGCGCATCAGCGCCATCCCGCGAGCGCGTGGAGCTCCGACACGGACTCCACCTACGACTCTGAGTCCGAGCGCCCCGCATCCGACTACGACGACGAAGCCAGCCTTTTCAACTTTGTCTCCCAGAGCCCGGCGGCAGACGACAATGACGAGAGCGCGCCGCTTAACAACGTCGTCCACGGCGTCGACGTTTATGGCGGGCCGTTTCGCGAGGGTGGCGGCGACCCGGTCGACTTTGAGGTGTACGCTGCCGAGAACGACCCCGACGTGGAACAGCTGCCAGAAGCGGAGCTGCTGATTGACGAGGAGGCGTTTGCGCACCACCACCACCTGGAGGACGCGGTGGAGATTGAGATAACCGACAGCGAAATCTACTGCGTTGTGCCGTGCCAAGTCCAATTCTCAAATGCTGCGGAGCTGTTGGAGCTGCCTGGTGAGGCGGAAGAGGCGCATCCGCTGGAGGAGGTGATGACGGTACCCCGCGAAGGCGAGGCGCAAGCTTCGGCCGATTGGGTCGTGATCTAGGGTGATTTGCGCTTGGAGGATCTGGGATCGGTATCTGCAATGTATAGTCATGTCTACGATTTACGAGTGCCTTTGGTTTTCTTTGGCTGTTTGGATTTTCGGGCGTCAGCGGGGACAATAACACAGGGACAGCAGGAAACATTTACAAGGACATGGATTGGTCTTGTTGAGGTTATGATTCATGAATGCAATAAATCACATTTAATCAAAAAGTACTCTACTGCGCAATGCAGAACCTGGTGCTAACAAAACGCAGTCAACTTCCGTGACCTCACCCACTCTCTTCTCGCCTCCTTATCCTTCCCACGGCACCCTCTGCGTGAACCACGCTCCATCCTCGCACCCGTTGAGCCACGCCGCCACCGCACCAGTACCCGGCTCCGCGACCACATAGTCCACCCGTCCGCTACCCTTCCGCTGCCGCCGCGTTCCCTCAAGTCCTCGCGAAGCCTGTGTGTTGGTGCCCGCTGTGCCCACTCCGTCCCTGACAACGCCGATGTGGCGCCACGCAGGCCGCTGTGGATACATGTTGAGCCAGACTTGCACCTGTCCCGTCGAGCGGCCGCGTCCAGAACGTAATCTACCTTGCCGTCGCTGTTGAATACAGAACGGGATTGTCAGTGGAGGGGGTGCATGGATGGCTTGGGTGTAATGGTGAGGAAACTTGCCCCGTTGATGTCGTGTGGAAAGTTATCTCTTCGGGCCGCTGGCCGATACCGCTGGCGTCTGCTTGCGGAAGCGCCGAGAAGCAGTCATCAGAGTCGGTGGCTTGGCCGTACACGTTGCGGTATATGGTTTGTCTTGCCGGTTTCTGAGAGGTAAACGTAGTCATCGCGCTGGATGGAAAAACATGTAAGTTTCGGGCTGTGTAAATGGCTTGTGTTGGAAAGGTGAGTTCGATTTACCCCCGTCGCCATCTATATCGGCAATGAGTACATTCTTGCCGGGACCAAAACACGCTGGCAATCTGCCCACCCGGCTTGAACAGGTAGTCGCCGTATTGGCTCTCGCCGCCTCCGTCCGGCACGAGAAGGTAAGCTCTCAGTGCTCCAGTCTCGGGATGAAGAACCAAGTAATCGTTGTATATCCGTCACCAAGGTCTCGTCAGTCTGAGGGGAAGAGGGAAAAAAACCGGAATAGCCGTTTTTGTACCCATCAATGTCGCCGAAAACGACTTGGCTGCCAGGTGCAACGGCGGAAGCAATTGGGCGGCCTCCGGGATGTTGTTCAACCAGCATCGAATTTCACCCGTCATTGGGTCAACCCAGATAAAATCTATTTTTTTTGGAAGTACATGAAAACTACACCTCATCGTCCAAGCCAGCCCTCTTCCACTGACCTGCTCTGCTGTCGCCATTCATGTCGTGCAGTTCTGCAATAAACCGCCGCTTGTAAGTTGCCCCCAGTCAAAGTGTCGTTTACATCAACACAGCACAAAGCTTACCGGCCTTGCGCGTGGTCCAAATCAAAGCCTGCTCCCTTACCCTTTTTTCTTTTTTTTTTTTTTCTTTCTTTTTCCCCCCCAAAAAACTTCCAATCCCCATTTCGCCCTAGCCCAGCCGCAATCTTTGCCCGTGCCTTTCCACGTCGGCTTCTGCATTGCACTTGGCCGGCCCGCTCCCCACAGCCCACTCGCGGACGTCGCGGTAGCCTTCCATCCGGCTTCAAGTCTATAGGGCTGGCTCTGGCCAAAGTCTGGTGGGAGGAACGACGTTGTCGATGCCCTCCGTTTTCAGTCCCGGGTCAACTGAGAGCTGGGTCGGCTTGGGTCCTTACCGACAGGAGCCCGGATCCAGCCGCGGGGGATCTGCGTCAGAAAGTCGTACCAGTAGTCACCCATAATCTTGTACCCGCCGTTCGTGGGATGAATGCAGTCGCGAAGAATCTTGTTTCCATGTTTGGGGACAAATGTGGCAAAGTCGACCGCAATGACATGGTGGCCGGCGTCTCTGCGCTTTTGGACGACGCCGGGGATCAGCTTCTGGAACTTCTGTGTCTGCGGCTCTTGTGATTGATCGCAAGTATCAATAATCAGTGCCACCAACACTGTCGCGTCCGGACATTTCCCAACGATCCTGTCAACCAATTTGCCGAGTCGATTGGCGGCTTGTACCGGGTCGTTGCCCTCGGTGGAGACGGCGTGATTGGGATTCATGTCATTGGTGCCGGCGGCTACAAGAACAACATTGGGCCGCTGTTCAAGCGAGGGATCAATGTGATCTGCTATAAACTGAATCGTTTTGCCGTTCCATGCTGCCTTTTGGGCGCTGCTGTTAGTTACAGTCTCCAGATGCCGGCGCCGCAGAAAAAGCAGAGTGATGACTTACAAAGTATCCGTCGTCCATGGTGCCAGCCGTTTCTGTTCCAGCAAACACAACTTTATTTGCTAAAAAAAGCTACATGTCAGTCATTTTCCCTCCGCTGAACCTTCGCAGCTGGTCCTTACCGGACAAGTCATCTCGCAACTGACGCCGGTACCCGTCGCCGTCTCCGCCAAACTCACTCCCAAAACCAACTGTAATCGAATCTCCTACAGGCAAGATGCGGAGCTCAACACCGCTCTCAATCTTTCTTCCCGGGGGTGTGTTTCTGAATTCCATCATGGTATCCATCTTTGCAGATGAAGTAGGGAGGCCCAACGAATCGGGTAGCACGGCGGCTGCCGCAGCCCAGTAAAGACGCATGCTGTTTGCCTTTATAAAGACAGGGGAGAAATCGGAAATGCGCTTTTTGGGAGTCGGGTGCCAAATCTGATAATTAAAATTTTGTTGCAAACGAAGCGAACTCCTGTTGTGAGTTTAGGCAGGTTGGCATGTCTTCTGAGATTGGGCAGATTTGGCCAAGATCCCTATTTAACTACATCGCAACTCATGCAACTAGATTTCAGCCTTGAATTCGACACATCGCAGGGTTACATTCGGAAGTCGCAGCAGTCTGTTTAGCAAGAGCTCTAGGAATGTTATTCGCAACCTAGGCCATAGATCGTTTAGCCCTCACTCTAGAGGTCGGCGAACGGTGCAGTAGTTCTTCCAGTGTCGGGAGGAGGGCAGGCAGAGGGAAACTATCTACATTTTGTCAACCAGCAGCCTTGAACATTTCCGTCTGCGCGTTCCGTCTGCGCGGAAGCGAGAAGCCTGTGGTGTTTAGGATGCTTAGCTCGACTAAAATCACACAGTCTTTTGTCCAGCCACTCCATTCCTCATGACTGACAGAAGGGCCGACGCAGGGCTCCAAATTATTCAGCCTGCTGCAGCCAAGGCCTGAGTTGCAGTACCACATGATGTCTTCATAGCGGGATACCAGAGAATCTGTATGGCGCCATGTTGCATTGCATCGGAAGACGCCACCTAGTCTCATATCGGTTTAATTCCATACATGAGACATTGATGAGCCACGGTTGAGATCTCCGAATACGCACATCTACTTTACCTAGTATAGACAGTAATTTATCGCCTAGTATTAAAAGCGTGATGTAGTATAGTTAGTTAAGTAGTCTCACAGCTATGGCAATTCGGTTAAAGAGAGTCAAAATTGCAAAACAGTCTCATTTTCTGCTACCATGTTACAGTTATCACGACAGAGTCATGTTTGCACAATGACTTTGCTTTTGTCGCTGGGAGAGTCAAGCTACACCGAGCGCTGAGACCCCAGCCACCCGACCGACCCGATGTTGCTCTCCGCTCATTCGCAATGCCAAACTTCCATAATGTTGATGATACAAAGATGTAGCGCCTGGAAACTCTTCATGGCTCATTTCTTGAAATATAATCCACTGTCGCCGCAAGCAGCGCCTTCCTCTCCGCCGATCGATCAGCTCGATCCCGAAAGCTGTGCTGTACCCCGCAAAGTACGCCGCTCAGCCCGGGGTATTGCTCGACTGTCGTGTCGAATAGTTCCCTCAGCTCAGCCTCATGCTTCTCGTCGAGCTCAATCTTCTCTTCATGTTGTTCAAACAGCTCCGCTTCATGCTTCCTGCCGAGCGCAATTGTCTCTTCTTTTTGTTTGCTCACCAACGCAAAAATGTCTTCGGCGACATTGTTCCCAGTGACGCTCACAGTCGGCGTCAATAGCGGGCCGTCATCCTCAATGGTTGGATACAAGTTCGCTGGTGAGCCTTCGCCGTAAAGCTCGGTTCGCATTTGGCGTAGTTCGTCAATCATTTCTTTGGGGAAACTGTCTAAGCGTGCTGCGTGAGAGCTATACATGAGCCTGAACCAGCAGTGCTTCCTCATCTCCTCCCTGCCATAAATAGCCTGGGCGAGGATAGCATCGAGCACCGTCTCGGAGAAAATCTTGGGTGATATGATTAGCATACGATTCTCTGGGTCTAATGTAATCCTGTCAAATTCGATTCGCGGCTTGTAATTTCGCAGGTAATTCAAGTGCTCCCCAGCATTAAGATGCGGCTCGACATTTCCGCGGAGATAGTCCTTGACCTGCGACGCCAAAAGAGCAAAGCGTGCTGGCGAGTCCATTGCGATAGGAATTGGACCCAATGTATCAGTCAAGTAGGGGATTCGAGTTACTGAGGCAGTCGGCGAAATGCGTGGCTTGATGGAGTCGGAGTCGTGTTGATGGGAGCTTTAGACAACGATGGTTACCAAAGAGGAGCCGTCAGCTGGTGTGAGAGTGCGCAATCAAGGCAAGAGCGAACGGAGGCCACTCCAAACGCAGTTCTCGCCGAAGAATATTTGATTCGCTCTACTGTCTGATGACTAGGCCCTCAAGAAACACAAGATTGCTGAAATTTCGCACTGCTGTCTTTCTAGTATATTGGTATAAATCTCTGGGTGGATTGACGGCGCACTCTCACAGCTGCATCTTGCCTTGGATGAAAGATGCAAATGGGAGATTTTAAATGGTACGACGACTATCTGAATGAGGGTGCCAATGTCGCTGGACCTTTTGTGTATTGCCCGTGGCCTTGAAGCGCTGCCGACCGCATACAACAATCCGTATTATGCGATATTTAGTGACAAGAACCGGACTTCCATCAACGGAGAACCTCGCCAAGATTCCAAGATACAGAAATCTCCTTGTAGTATGGTTTTCTAATCTGATCGATTGCACGGCTTCGACTCCAGGGATGCTCCCAGCCTGGGCGCGAGACCGATTTGCAGTTTTTACCAGATCGCTGACAGTTTCGCATCATATACATCTCATCATCACAGATCATTCGCGAGCACATCAAATTTTTACTGTACGTGCTCCTTCTCTTCCGCCTTGGGAATTCGGACCATTGTGGCCGCAATCAGAGCCGCTACAAGAGACAAGGCCAAGCCAAACCACCAAATAGCGCGCATGCCCTCCAAGCCAATCTCTCCGGACGGCAACTTGTCAACCTTGATTCCGATGGAGTCGGACACCGACGTCATTATAGCGAGTGTCAAGTTCTGAACCGTCACCAACAAGCTGCCCGCTGAGCCTTGGTATGATCTGGGCACACTAGAGGTGATGAAGATGGTCGCCGCCGCAAAGCTCATGTCTGGGCCAAGCGACGCCAAAGCCACAGCTGGCATGGACAGCGCCCAGTACGAGGTGCTTGGTTGTTGCGGAAGAAAAAAGACGTTTCCGATGCCAAAGAAGACCATGCTCGTCGCCAGGATCCAGTGGCCGGGGAGGACATGAAGCGTTCTAGACACGAGCCACACGGCAGCAACCCCGACCAGAGCATTGGGAACAAGGTATAGCGCTACCCTAAGAGGCGAAGCACCTTGATAGCGGATCCAGAATTGAATGGCATAGAATTGCCAAGCACCAGCTAAAACTGAAGTTAGCGCTGGCACAGCAGAACTCGGCGCAAACGAGATGCTTACAGTAGCCACCGTAACCAAAAATGTAGGCAACCAAGACGGGAACGAAGCCTGGTATTTTCCAGATTCCATGAGGCACGAGTGGTCGCTTTACATGAGGAGCAGAGAAATAAAACGCAAGCAGCATGAGACATCCTACAATGACAAGAGAATAGGTGTAGGGGTTCCACTGCACAGACGAGCCTTGTGTAAGCCCAAAAAGGATCAATCCGCTGCCGAGAGACGCCAGAGTTGCACCAATGTAGTCAAACTGCTTGATTGATGGTACATCGATCGAGTTGCTGTCCCTGGCAGGGACTAGAGGAGGGATGGTAAAATATGCGGCCGCGGCACAAGCGCAGAGGAACAGCGATGTGCTACCAAAGATCCAGGGTAAATGGGAGCTGAGGGCACCGCCCTGCATGGCTCCGACCCAGAATCCAAACGGCGCACCGGCTGCCATCATGGAGAAGACGCGGGTCTTGCGTATGCCAGGATTGTACACTCGTCCCAGGATGCTCATCGAGGTCGAGACGAGGACGCCGACGGCCAATCCCTGCATGGCCCGCGACACGAAGAAGAAAATCTTGAGCTTTGGCGAGATGACCAGCGCAGACGCGGCGTTCCAGACGGCTTCCCACAGAAAGGCTGCAACCATGAGAGGTTTCGGCGGAGCCAAATCGGCCAGCGGGCCAAAGATGATGACGGACAGACCGCTGGCCAGGCTGGACGAGCCAACCAGCCAAGGAATCTGCGAAGGCACAATGCCTAGAGCCTTTTGGAAGACAAACTGATTCACGGTGATGTGGCCCAGAGTCAGGGAGAAGATTAGCTGGCCCGCCGTGCAGACGAGGACAAAGACAATCTCGGCCATGAGGTTGGGCAGCTCGGGCGGTACGCCCTGTGGCAGTAGACGAGCCGGGCTGCCTTGCTCTTCCGGCAGACCACCTAAATCATGGCGGGTGGGAGACTCGGCAGGGTCGACCTGTCTGCTTCGGATCCGGCCGAGTTCAATCACCATACTGGGAGACGTGGTGTCGGCAGTGTTGTTGGCCGTCAATACCGACCGGGACTTGGCCTCGCCATGGGCGCCAGAGGGCTCGGCGAGGTATTCTATCTGCGTCTGCGTTGCCATGATGGATGGACACGGATGAAAGTCTCACCAGTCATGGAGTCGCGGTGAAGGAAGAGACCTTGCATAATAGATATCCGACATCGGGCTGAGCTTCATTGTGACGGTACCTGGTGCCACCTTTCTGACTAATGACCAACATCGCACTCTGCCTGTATGTAGTCTTTGGTGCAATTCGGGACTGTATCTACATGGTGCACATATTCCCAAGTCAATGTTCAAGTCAAGATTGATGGAGTTGGACTTTTTTTCTCGCCGTTTCTGCCCGACCGGGATGCCAAGCAGCTCGCACGAGGTAGTGATGAAATCTCGTGTTGCACTGTGCTTGCTACCTGCGGAGACTCCCGCTAATCAAGCAGCATCGGCAACTTGCCAGCTTCACCATCACTGGCAGATGGAGTTACGCAACAAGTCTTGTCCGTTTGTGATTCTCCACTTCCATTTACATAATGATTGACGGCACTTGGCGTCGTTCTCCGCGCTGACGGACAGTTATTCGAGCCGACAGTCGTACTAATACGGTGAGCTCGTTTGCAGAGCCGCGTATCCAGAATCGCGTAAATCTTCCATCGCATCGCATCGCGCGTCACGCCAGCCAATTCCTGGCGTGATCTACACTAATATTATGACCGACAATGGAAGCGAACCGACGCCAGCAAAGGATGTGATTGAGGTGCACCCTCCGAGTAGCGACGCTCATGTTGAAGCAGTGGCGGATCCCAACGTCGCGTTGGAGGCAGCAAACAAGACGCTGGCGTCGCGCCCACGGCGATCTTTGAGAAGCGCGGGTCGCGCCGCGGAAGAAAAGACTGTCACAAACACTGTCAAGAAGACGGTCAAGATCATTGCCAGGCGCGCCCAGGGCAAGTGGGACGCAGAACGACTCCTCACAGACCCCAAGTCGCCGCTGGCCAAGGCCAATCTACGAGTACGTCTGCGGCCTTCCAGGGATCCGAACTATAAAATAAAAACAAGTTCTAACCCCGAACAACAGACAATTCTTGCCAACCCCATGGCATGGAACTGCCTCGACGCAGCAGACCACGCCGAGATTCTCGCCCTCTTCCCGGACCAGCGCCACATTACCGTCGCAGAGGACGGCGCGCAGCGGCCCAACATGGAGTCGCTGATGAACGACGACAGCTTCCGGTACGACTGCGCCGCGTACACGGAGAGCCTGGCGCAGGGGCGGCACGATCCGGACTGGCTGGCGCAGGCGTGGGCGGCCCACGAGCGGCGCAAGGCGGGCGATTTTGACGACTTTTTGCGCGCCAAGTTTGAAAAGGAGTGGGAGGTCAAGCTGCCGGAGGAAGCGCCAGGCGCAGACGACGAGAAGGGGGGGGAAGAGGGCGGCGGGGACGGCGTGGCAAATGGCGCTGTGACGGGCTAGAATGGCCTGATCAAGTAGGCCAAGCTTAATGTTCTCGCATCTGAGATTGTACGCTGTTGAAATGTGCTCTGTCGGTTATTCTTGGCTCAACCTAAGAAATGTTTGTGGTGTAACCTTGCGATGCTCAGTCATGGCTTGTCTAGGAGTCGTGTACCGGAAGTCGTGTACCGGAAGTTTCAACGAAAAGAACATCCCCAAGAATTAGAATCAAAGGCAATGGCAGTAAGATAGAGTGGGTGGGCTAGCAGTGTGATTCAATTTCGAAAGACGGAATGCGTGAACCTTGAAATCAACTGAGAATCTCTCAATTTGCAAATCTCAAAACGATATCGTATTTCTTTTTTTACTGGCAAGTCTGACGACACAGTTGCCTGAAGGGAGGACTATCAATACACTTTCGTTTAGGAAATAACGAACTATGAATATTCATTTCATTCCAATAATCGCGTGTTTGAATCGGTTGCTGTCGCAAAGATGTTACGAGAAAAGTGCATTATATACATGGTCGAAACCATCCATTTCTCCACATCACCACCAACATTGGCGCTGCAAACTTCTTCCACGCCAACCCATTCAATTAATTTCACCACCAATCCAGCTCACCTCCAACAAATCTTTGCAGTACAACAGATATAAACAGCACTCATTTTTCTGGGATACCATACAGCAATATATAATGGCCCCGGCAAACGCCGCTCATACACGGTCGCACAGCCTGCTGCTGCTGCAGAAGCTGCTCAACCTGAGAGACGGCGCCAGCCCTCTCACACTGCTGGTCGACACACTCGAGCAACCAGCCGCACCAGTCATTTCTGAATTCATCACAAGAGCCAAGGTGCGTTTCCATTATACTGTACTGGAACAGCAGCTAATAATGTCGGCTTATAGTTGTCCAAGAACAAGGTCATTTTACTCTCATTCGCCACCATTAAGAAGCCGCGCGACGTAGATGTCGTGGTAAAGGCCACCGGAAAAGACTTCAAGACAATAAGAAAAGAGCTTCTGTCTCATTACCCGGCTGCGGATCCAGCCGCAGCTGCCACGCGCGATCGCAGCATCTCACGTACGAGCACCCCCCCCCCCCCCCCCCCCACTCCATTTTCATATTCGCACACTCCCCTCCTCACAGCACCCATTCTCACCTTTCGTGCAGGCGCCGTCGTAATCATAGACTCACTCAACACAATGGCTTCTGCCATCCCTCAAGCGCTCGCCAGCTTCCTCTCTGGCGTCATCACCCCCACCGCGTCCATCATCGGCGTCTACCACGCCGATGTCCCCGTACCGCTGCCGCCGACAGTCAGCGAGTATGAGCCCGCGCCGCTCATCGTCCTCTGCCACCTCGCCACGGCCATTCTGCGGCTGTCCAGCCTCGAGCAGGAGGTGGCGCGGCAGCGCGCGCGCGACAAGGCGCTCGTCGAGCCAGAATGGGGCATCAACGAGGGCCGCGAGGGCGTGCTCGTCGGCCTCAAGGGCAAGGACCGCGCCGCAAGGGAGGAGAAGGGGGGCGTCGTCGTGGAGATGGAGCTGCGGCGGAGGAGCGGGAGGACCGTGGCCGAGACGTTTGTGCTGGCAATGCCAGAGGGCGGCGGGCAGGGTACTACGGGGACGCTGCTGCTGAGGAGCGACTACTTGGCGTTTAAGACGGAGGGTTCTGCTGCTGGGGCCGGCGGCGGCGGCGGCGGCGGGGGGGAAGGGGAGGGGGAGCCGGAGAGTACGTTTAATCTGGGCTTGACGGAGAAGCAAAGAAGAGATAGAGAGGGTATTGTACTGCCGTATTTGATGCGCAGACGGAGGTGGGTGGGGGCGATGGAGGTAGAATTTTGTATGAGATGGGTAGAGAGGACGATTTCGACGAGGAAGAGGACGAGATATAGGATAATTGATGTTGACTGTGAATGGTAATAAAACTACGTAAAATATCACCGTGTAGTTGGCTGACTAGGAAGTACTCTCCATGAAATGATCGCGTACCTTGCACTCCATAGTTAACAGCGATTCAGACCATGTCAGATGCAGCAAAGCCTCATGTCAAAATTAATTTCATGGTGAAATCTGTAATTGACCCCTCGCTTCATTTCGCGTGAATTTGAATTTTCCCATCATTGAAACATGCCGTCATTGTCAAAGACACTTCGGGGCCGGCGCCGGCCCAAAACTTCTGGCGGGGCGGCGCCGCGGCCAGATTATAGCCCCCCCCCCCCTTTGCCAGCCAATTGTCCTTCCCCTGCAGCGGCATCAACCGCGAAGCTTCCCAACATTTGTAAACACGTCCTCCAGCGGCAGCAAATCAACACTCGACAGTCTCTCACCACTTCCGCTACTTTGCTTTTCCCTTCGCATATCATATAATATTGTTGCTCAACGGTCAGGAATTGCTGCCTGCGCTGGTGCCTGGGGTCAACACACATCATTGCTTGACGGGACACGTTGTAGAAACCTTGATCAGCCGAAGACTACGCCCACGTTTTTCAACCTCTTCTACACAACCACATATCGAAACCGCAATCATGATTAGATCGACACAAATATCAAGGCTCGATGGTACGTTCTGTTTTACGCCTCAACACCAATCAACCATAGTACACCACAACCAGTTCCGGCTAACCAACATCCCAGGCCTGATGCTCTGCGCCTCAGTCGACGACGAACAGGTTCGCTCCCGCCGTTTTTGACACCCTTCTCCTCCACTCCCAACCTTTTTTTTTTTTTTTACCTAACGGCCTTGCTCCCATTCAACAGTCCGAGACCGCCCTCGCCGAAGTCAAGAACCAGGTCCGCCAAATCATGCGCAAGCTCACCCGCACCTCTGAGCCGCAAGCCTCCATCGAGTCGGGCGCCTACACCCTGCACTACCTCGTCGACGCCGACGTCGTCTTCCTCTGCATCTGCGAGCGCTCCTACCCGCGCAAGCTCGCCTTTACCTACCTCGCCGACCTGGCGCGCGAGTTTCACACGACGCACCCGCCCGCGCAGCTGCACAACCCGGCGCTGCGGCCGTATGCGTTTATGGACTTTGACACGTTTATCGGCAAGACGCGCACCACGTACGCCGACGCGCGCGCGTCGCAGAACCTCGACAAGCTGAATGACGAGCTGCGCGACGTGACAAAGGTCATGACGAAGAATATCGAGGATCTGCTGTATCGCGGGGACAATTTGGAAAAGATGGGCGAGATGAGCAGCAGGTTGAGGGACGACAGCAAAAAGTATAGGCGCGCGGCGGTGCGCATCAACTGGGAGCTGCTGCTGAAGCAGTATGGGCCGTTTGCCGTGCTGGGCTTCATTATTCTCCTCTTCATCTACTGGCGAATTTTCTAAAGTGGACTTGCGAAGAACGGCGTACGGAAACGAATGCACAATGAGTGTGGTAGCGAATGGAACTATGCCTCTTGGCATGATACTCGGGTATATTACCAAAGTGAAGAAGGCGGGAGAATGACAGTACAGAAGGGGGGAAAGGGATTGAAGATGCATGACAATAGGTATCTTTTTGCTGTTTACTGTATAATATCGGGTATGCTGCGAAACTTTCTAAAGGCATAAACAGGTCTGCCAACGCAGAAAAATGCTCAACTTTGTGTCTCCCGTATGAACTCAAAACGCCAAAATTCCGTAAAAACTCCGTTCCGTTGGTTCCAGTGCGATGCAAGTCGTCTTTGCAGTTGTATATAAAATATGGTATCGTAAAGTTGTTCGTGTCGTCGGCCGTGAGAATCCTCCTCGTTCCTCGCTTAATGTTATTGGGGTGGGGGTATCTTTGAGATGTGAAATATGCGCTGGTTGGTTTTACATGACGTTGCATTTATCCGTCGAGGGCAGCGACACAGGCAACGTCAAAGGCAGCGCCGACGGGGCGTGCTCCCACTCCAAGTGCTCCTGCAGCGCCGCCAAGTCGTCAAAGCGGTTCTCGGGCTGCCACATCTCGTCCTCGTCGTCAATGTCCTGCGGCTCGACCGCGTCCTCGCACAGCGGGCACATGGTGCGCGCGAGCCAGTCGCCGGGGACGGGCGCCATGTGGCTGGCAATGGCAATCGGCGGGTACACGACCTGCTTTGGCTGCTGACTCGACATTGTCACGGCCGTGGCCTGCCACTCGCCCAGAGCCGCGCCGTACGTGTCCTGCAGGGGCGTCGAGGTCGGCAGCGCGGGCGCCGCTACCGCCGCCGTCGTGGGCAATGACGAGACAGAAACCGCCGTCTCAGGCAGCGCGTCGACGCCCGTCCGCGTAGTGGGCACGCGCTGCACGTCGTCCCAGAGCAAGTGGCCGTCGCAAAAGTCGCAGATAAAGGCAATGTCGAGGTCGCCAAAGCGCTCAAAGCCGCCGACGGCGAGGCACTCGCCAACCTCGTCCGTCTGGCGGCGCTGGCAGTCGTAGTCGCTGACGCCGCCGGCGCGTCGGGCCGCGACCCAGGCGCGCTGCTTGCGGTGCAGGATAAAGGCGCCAAGGCAGCGCTGGGGCGTCTCCTTGGCGGTGTTGAAGACGCGCTGGGCGGCGCGGCACTGCGCGCGGTGCAGCTGCCGCTGTAGCGACTTGGTGTCGCGAACCCAGACGGCGTCGACGGGGCCGCCGCATCGGCTCCAATCTCGCAGGTTTTGAATGTGCAAGTAAAATTTGGCGCTGAGCGCGCGGAGCTCTTCAAGCGATGCAACTAAATGTTCCGGATGCATTGGATTAGTCTCTCTGGAAGGGGGAATGGTTGTCAGATAAGCAAGCGAGGGGGAGGAGCTTACACGTTCGATCGTGCTCGTAGTGGGATTGGCTCTTGAGCATGGGCGAGAGCTCCTGAAAATCCGTCTTGGCATCGTTGAGGACGCGCTCCATGGCCCTCTGCAGCTCGTACTCGTCGGGCCCCCAATGGCGCTTGTCGGCGAGACCCAGGATGCGCAGGCCGTCGACGAGAAGGTTGGCAATGTCGGCCAGCAGTGAGCCCACCGAGTCGGAGCCCATGACAGGGAGGGCGCCGCGGCAAGGCGAGGATTGTTTTGTTGCAGCAGTCAAGCTATGAGAGAAAAGAGGAGGAAGCTTCGGTGTTGGGGAGGAAGTCGCGATGTTTTGGCGGGCAATGGTGTTGTCGTGGGGAGATTGCGTTTGATCGTCGTCGCCAGTTTTGTCTGCGAGAGAAACCGTGGCCAGTCACACAGACACGCTTGCATGGAGGAGAGGGGACGGGGCGGCAGGCTCTGGTTCAGCGTGGGCTGGCCAAAAGAGAGACGAGAGTGAGGCGATGCATCCGTGGAGGTGTGAGACGGGGACGATGGAATGAGTAGGAGAGGAGAAGAAACAAGAAAGTGGTCCAGGGCGCAAGATCGTCAGGGAACCATCTCGGGGTCGTTAGAGTTGGCGTTTAACGTGGTCAAAGTTTCGTCCCAGAGCCCTGTATTTTGGCCCTGCGACACTGTTACTTATGCGTGGGGCTCCGGGCCACGTATCCCGACGGGTAACTACCTGTGTTTCTTTCTCCCGGCGGGTGCCCATTCCTCTCGACTTGCTTACAAAATTCTATAAATGTGATACGAATGAGCGTCGAATTTCTCTCCAGCCTCGAAGAACCGGGAGACGAATTCACTGATGCAAGGCTTTATGCGGAATGCCATCCATGAGTTTCCCGTTCATTCAGGTCGCAACGAGTATATAAGTTGATTAATTCAGCTTAGAAAGGATTTATAATAAAGAAAAATGCTTAGACACTTATTTTTATAAACTTTTTTTTTTCTATATTTCTATATTTTAATTTATTTTAAAATAAGGCTACGATAAAAGGGCGCGGCAGAGATGAAATCGCAAACTTCATTCTACACCCCCGACAACAAGGAGGTGAAAGGTGACAATGCATCAGCTAGCTGTTTATATTTGCATTCAACAAGCTCCTGCACACGTCCATATCTTTGTGATGATCTGTAACGAATCGCTGTGAGTTGAGTCGTTTATGCGGTCCATGATAAGCACCATGGCAGAGCCGCATAGATTCGGGAGCATATATACAGCGCATTGTTCATCATGGATACAGCCGGCGCCTTGGTAGCTGGGCCATTATTGGCTCAGGCATTGAAATGGAGCATCAGCCTTGGGCATGGCTGAAGCGGACTGCCGCATATGATTGCTTCGGTCCTCAGCGATGTGGGGGCTGTGGTATTGATTGTATCCAGGACTTGGTAGTCGGCAATATCAAGTTGATACATTACAGAGACTTGCAACCAACCGGCACTTGACCCCGAGCCTAATATTGGTTTTGCGTGCATTACTCCACACTTTGAAAGGATTGTTTTTTTCATCTATTACTCCGTCTCTAAAAGACATCCGTCCGCATCCGCGGTCTCTACAAGACACATGCTACCCGCCCACCCTCACTTTCTCTTGGTCGCCCCGCGCGTATCAACGCCGCTGGCCTTGGACTTGGCCCTCTCTTCCAAAATCTCCTTGACAGCCTTCTTCTTGGCCTCTACATTGGCCTCTTCCTTCTTCTCCTTGTCCCCCACCAGCTTGGGCTCCTCGTCATCGTCGCCTCCCTGGCCAAACTCGTTGACGCGCGAGTAGTCCGTCTTGTAGGCCCATTTCTGATACAGGTAGACAAAGAAGATGATGTCGTCGCGAAACGTCGCCAGACGGTGCAGCAGCGGCATCTTAATGGTAAAGGCAAAGAGGTCGTCGATAAAGGTGTTGAGAAACTTGTACATCATGGCCTTGGCGGGCATGTGGGCGACGCTCTTGAGGCGGTAGTTGATGTACAGCGAGGGCACCATCATGAGGAAGCCGTAGGTGTAGACGGAGCCGACGAGCGTGGTGATGATGAAGGAGTACCACGACTTGTGCGTTTCGTACATGAGCGAGTAGATGCCGTAGGCAATGAGCAGCGGCACGGCCACAATGTACATGTACTTGAAGGCAATCTGGTCGTACTCCTTGGTCTTTGCTTCCGTCTCGGTGAGCTTGTGCTTGTCTTCCAGCACAAACCAGTAGGGAAGCCAGGAGCCGGGAGGGGTAGCACGCCAGCGGACGTCGACGACGGTGGTAATCTTCCAAAACTCAATGACGATGCCAACGACCTGGGAGCCGAGAATCATCCAGCTCGTGTTTTGCGAATTGTCGAGCAGATACAAGAAAATGACGGCCTGCATGAATACGTTGGCCAGAATGGAGCGTACGGAAATGCCGACATTGTCCTTCTTCTTGCGGTAGTGCGCAATGTCGGAGCCAAAGGCCAGCGTCTCGAGGATGAGATGGGCAACGGTGACGACGGCGGTAATGGCCAGCAGGATGGGGTTGTTATCGATGAGAATCTCCTTGACCATTTCAATCTCGGAGCCATCGCCGGTGCCGGGGACAGGATTGCCAAAGGCGGCCTGGCGCGCGTTTTCTTTCGAGTTCATCTCAATGTTGGCCATGATCTGAAACTGCCAGGCAGCCATGTTGCTGAGATCAATGCGGATAGGTAGCTCCTTGACAGTGTCGTTGAGGGGAATCATGTCCTTGTTGAGCTGCCAGAAGGTGTTGACGAACAGAAGCGGGTAGTACCAGCCATTTTGGCCGCTGCCGTCACGGGCGCCGCTTCTCTCGAGGCGAATGAAATGCTTCATGGGCGGCGGCATGGTCGCCAGCTCCTTGACGCCGACACCCGGGATAAACGATAGACTAGCATTGGGGTGGTAGTGGTTGGCAATAATTGGAGTCTTGGGCTCGGGAATGTCAAGCTCGGCCTCGTCATCCTCGCTGCGCGACCCGAGCAGGCTCCTCGTCTTGGCCACCTTTTTCTTGGGCAGGTACTGAGTCAGCGGGTAGGCCATGTGGTAGGCCGTGTCGCTGCTCCAGGCCGGGTCGTGAGGGTCGAGGGCGCTGCCAGCGAGGCCGACGAAGAAGTGACCCCAAAGGGTGCCGTTGTGCTGAACCTCGCGGGGCACGGCGAAGCGGCCGTCGACGTGGCGCTTGTCGGAGCTGTTGCCCATGTGGAAGCGCTTCTCGTTGAGCACGACGTACTCGGCGGCCGTCTGGGCGATCGGGGCCGGGTTCGACGAGGGCGACACGGTGACGACAATGTCGACGCGGCTGTCCTGGGGCCAGATGGGCGCAACTAGCTTAGGCAGCGCGGCGCGCTGGGCGCCCTCGTCGAGCGTCCTGGGCCGCAGCTGGAAGGCGGGGATGTCGCCCGTGTTGGAGGTGACGCGGATCGGCTTGCCCGTGGCGGGATCATCGACGGTGACGCCGCGCTGGTCCTTTTGGAAATACCAGCTGATGCCGGCATTCACGGCAAAGTAGAGACCGGCACCGAAGAGAAGGCGTTTGAAATTGAAGCCGCCCTAGATGGTGTCAGTGTGTGCTAGTGTGCAGCGCCGTCGAGAAGCTCTTACACCTTGCTGCTGCTGCTGCTGCTGCTGCTGGCGTTGGCCGGGTGCGCCCTGCTGAGGAGGGAGCACGGCGGCGACACCTTGGGCAGGCATTGTGTCGCTGTGACGAGACTATTCGACAAGGAAAAGTCGGGTTTGCAATGGGCAGTGGCCGAGCAATGCCAGTTACTCGCGCAAAAGGATGGGCAGAAAAAGGCTGTCTGGGGATGGGACAGGCCAGATATGCGTGTCCGCAAAAAGTTGAGCTCTCCAAAGGGGGGCGAAAAGGGTCCTCCTCGTTGGTGGCGCTGGCGCTGACTGTTGGTGTTTGCAAATGGCAGCTACCTAGGTTGAAATGTCCACCATAGCTGACGATAATCAGAAGCTATATTTGATAAGTGATACTTAATGTGTATGTATGAGTACAGATAAAATGAAATTTTGCCAAGAAAATAAAATTAACATTGTTACTGCGCAGTCCAGCCAGTAGACGAGGCGTCACGGCGTGTACTGATTAATCTGACCGTCAGCAAGCAAGCAAGCAAAGCAGAGAGCGGGGAAATTGATTCTTGCCCCAAAAAAGAATATTGTCCAGCCAGAAGCGATCCCGGTGTGGCGTGTCCCGGCCGCTCGCCGAAAACGACGCCCGTCGGCGCCCCCTCCCTCCTCCGAGTCACCACCACTTCACGTCATGGCCAATTCACTCGATGATGTGACAACACTCCTCACGGTTTAGGCTGCCACTTTTTTTTTTCTACTTTTTCACACATTTCTCTCTCATTTTTGCTACCACAAGAACCAGTCCCTTTAATCTCCATTCCCCTCATCCTAGAATAATTTTTTCTTTTTTTCCCTTGGTTGCTGCGCGTTGCCACGCACACACACACCCTTGGCTTTTTTTTTTGTTTGCTCCCGTGGTTATTAGAAGAAGAAGCTTGGGCCTCGACAAGAACAACAAAAGGCCGTGCTACTACTCTTTCTTTCCCACTCCTTCGCATTTGCTCCTTCTTGCCACCTGACGAAATAACGCAACATTAACACTTTTGCTTTTTACCTTCCTTTTTGCTTCGCGTTCATCGAGCTTTAATCTTTAGTCGAGATGACGGCCGAAATCACAAACGGCTCCGCCCCCGCGCCGGCTCGGACCAAGATTTGCGTCTTCTGCGGCGCCTCCCCCGGCAAGACGCCCGAATACATCGAAGCCGCCCGCGCCCTCGCCCGCGCCATGGCTGCCAACAACATTGATCTCGGTACGTTCTTCCCCCCCGTCCCCCTCCTTGTGCTCGTATCCCACAAACATCCCCCCCGCTAACCATCCAACCAACCCCCCCCTTCCGCAGTCTACGGCGGCGGCACAGTCGGCCTCATGGGCGAAGTCGCCAAGACGCTCTGCGAGCTCCGCGGTCCCGACGCAGTCCACGGCATCATCCCCGAGGCGCTCGTCAAGTGGGAGCGCGACGGCACCTACGCGACCGTTAACGCCGACGGCCGCTACGTCCCCGACGAGTCCAGGTACGGCCGCACCACCGTCGTTCCGGACATGCACACCCGCAAGAAGCTCATGGCCGAGGAGGTCTTTGCCGGCGGTCCCGGATCGGGCTTCATTGGCCTGCCCGGCGGCTTCGGCACCATGGAGGAGCTGTTCGAGGTCATTACCTGGAACCAGCTCGGCATCCACGAAAAGGGCATTGTGCTGCTCAATGTCGGCGACTACTGGCGCGGCATGCTGGACCTCATCGACACGGCCGTCGACCAGGGCTTCATCCGCGACGCCAACAAGAATATCGTGTTGGCGGCCAAGGGCGGCGATGAGGCCATTGCCATGCTGCGCGATTACAAGGTGTCGTCGGCCATTTACGGTCTGCAATGGGGCAAGCAGTAGAGGGAAGGCGCTTTTGGATATACAAAATACAACACGGAGAATAGATTAACCTTATAGACTCTGGGTTCACAAAAACACGGCGAATGTGTGGTTTGCGCGCACTGGCTTGTGGCTTGGGAACGGCGTTGGCTCTACTCTTCAATATTACATTGAATCTCCCATCGGACTCTACTCATCACCAGAAGACACTCTACTTCTTACCGTCAAATACCATACATCACTCATCCCGCGAATTGCATGAATTGGTATAGTGCACGAGTTGCACAGAATTCGCCGTCTCGCAGCTTGTATTGTACATGTTCTACCAGTTTATTTCTTCATCACGTCGTTGCGCGCGGGCCCTTTAACCGTCCACCTCCATGCCACCTTGGCTCTCGCCGACGCGATCAATCCATTCCTTGACATCGTACTCGTCGTAGAGCTTAAACTGCTCGATGCCCTTGGCGCCCTCGGCGCGGACGCCTACGAGCCCGACCGAGGTGTTGTCGACCGTCAGCTCCTTGTCCTGCACGAGGCTCTCGCGGAGGGCGCGCAGGCCGTGCTGGACGAGCTCCTCGCGGGAGCAGTCTGCAAACGAGTCGACGTGGCGCTCGAGGTATGTGCGGGCCATCTGGCTGCGGGCGCCAATGGCAAAGGCCGACATCTCCTCCGTCATGCCCGAGGGCTGAAATTCAAAGAGATGCGGGCCCGTCTCGTCAACACCGGCAATGAGCAGTCCGACACCATAGGGCCGCTTGCCGTACTGTTGCGTGTTGGTCTGCGCCTTGTCGCCAATCATGCCGACGAGGGTGCGCAGGGGCATGGCACGCCCGTAGGTGAGGCGGTGGCCTAGGCACTGCTGCTTCATGAAATTGGAGAGGACGCGGGCGTCGGATGTGAGGCCGGCAATGGCGATGCCGGCATGCTCGTCAATGTTGAACAGCTTCTTTTGGTATGATGAGAGCTCTTCGGCGTTGCGCTGCAGAGGAAAAGTCAACTGGGTTAGCGGAAGTTCGATGGAATGCGAATCGTCAACAGTGGTGACCATTTACCTTGACGGCGCAGAGAACGGCATGGGTCTTGCTGACAATGCCAACAACTACCGAACCTTGCTTGACAGCTTCGGCAGCATATTCAATCTGGAATATTCGGCCCTGGGGCGAGCTGCGAGAGGCATGGTCAGCTAAGGAGCTTCTAGCAACGAAATGGCGGCAGCGACTCCGTCTGCAAACAAGGGTCGCATCGAAGTAATCGGGCAAGGGCAGGCGTACAATGTGACTGAATCGTTATCGTAGTTGTTGCGAAACATGATGTATAGCTCCCTGGCGCAGATGGAGATGGGTTGGTGGAGGATGGGTGGTCGCGGAGGTAATGGGAGGTTGAAGCTCAAGCTGGAGCGAGTTGGCGTTGCCCACCAGTGCAGCAGCCAGGCAACCCAAGCTTCGTCGCCTCTGGTCCAGGCTGAAAGCTGTCGCGCGTGGCGGCAGATCCGCGGTTAGACCATCACACCGCCTGCCTAAAATGGACGTGTAACAGGCAGGCAGCAACTGCAAACAGCGGACATGTGGGAGGCTGAACAAGTATAAAATCGCGTTGAATGTGAAATTTAGTGGCAGTTGATAATCTTGGATACAAAAAGCCCATCTGGGAGGCATTTTAAACCCCATGTATGATACGCTTGCAATTTTGAGAGTTGTCCATACTGATGGCAGTCAACCCGCTAGAACAGTCGCCAACAGTCCACTAATGACACCCCTGTTCCAGGGTTCAAGTACCAGCACGCTGCAAACAATGTGCATTGAGAAAGCCTGAATCATTCCGACTGTTCAAAATTACGCAGACTATCTCATTATCCTGCAGTAGTCGTCGAAGATCTTCAGGAGCCGCTACATTACCACCATCTTGCACCAATGACTCTTTGCCAGCTGTTGGCGAGTACAACTCAACCACGGCCATGTCTCCACCATTGAAGCTTGACTCTCGCAACAACCACCCTACACAAGGCACCGAGGGCATCAGTCAGTCCAGAGAGCCTTGTTGAAGCCATTACGATGCAAGCATGTCAAGGCCATGTGCATTGATAGTCAGCGCTGCTCGCGCAACAGTTCGCGCGGCTGGGCCATGGCCCCATCGTAGTACAACATGCCGCCGCCAACCATGGCCAGTTCAACGGAGAGCTCTCTCAACAACGCGTCATTGCCGTACTACAGCTGCACATTTCGGATTTCCGACAAGTGATACGATATATGCCTTATCTACAGCTCAAGGGAAGGCCGGGATTGCTGTCATTCGCATATCAGGGTCATCATGTCTAGAGGTTGGTACGCTCACAGCCCCCTTTGGCTTGAAGTGTCATCTCACACACATTATAGATATATAGAAGCCTATGCCCTTCCAGGCCAGCTCCCAAGCCACGCTACGCTACTGTTCGCACGCTTTTCCATCCCCATTATCACGGCGCTTCCGCCGTTGTAATTGACTCGGAGGCGCTGGTTCTCTTCTTTCCGGCCCCCGCCACCGTGACGGGCGAGGACGTGTTGGAGCTCCACGTCCACGGCGGCGCCGCCACCGTCAAGGCCGTCCTCGCCGCCATCCATAGCTGCTCGTCCTCGATCTCTGGCATCCGCCACGCTGAGCCCGGCGAATTCACCAAGCGCGCCTTTCTCCACGACCGCCTGGACCTGGCGCAGGTCGAGTCGCTCAGCGACGCCCTCGCCGCCGAGACGGAGCAGCAGCGGCGCGCCGCTGTGCGGGGCACCTCGGGCGCCCTAGGCCGCACGTATGAAGCGTGGCGGCAGCAGCTGCTGTTGGCGCGCGGCGAGCTCGAGGCGCTGATTGATTTCGCCGAGGACCAGCACTTTGACGAGTCGCCGGAAGATCTACTAGGAAGTGTGCGCGGCCAGGTCGAGGATATGCTGCACGGCATCAGGCTACACGAGAGGGGCAGCGAAAAGAGCGAGCTACTGCGGAATGGTATCAAGATTGCATTAGTAGGGCCGCCCAATGCAGGCAAGAGCTCGTTGATGAATTTGATCGTTGGACGCGAGGCGTCAATTGTGTCGGGCGAGGCGGGCACTACGAGAGATGTGGTCGAGGCGAGCCTGGATATTAGAGGGTATCTGTGCTCGTTTGCGGACACAGCGGGCTTTAGGGCGAGAGAGGAGGGGAGCGAGATTGGCATTGTGGAGGAGGAAGGCATTCGGCGAGCGAAGAACAAGGCAAAGGAGGCGGATGTCGTGGCGGTGCTGGCGTCTGTTGAGAGGAACAGCAGTGGCGATGTGTATATTCGATATGACGAGCAGACGCTTGAACTTGCGGCAGAGGCGGACAGCTGTCTTGTGCTTGTCAACAAGAGAGACGCCGTGGATGAAGAGACACTGCAGACTTTGCTGTCAGGGTTTCGCAGAACACTACAGAACAAAAGCGGTAAGTTGAACGGCATCAAGATACACACCGTGTCCTGCAGAGACGCACATGACATCGTCGTCGGGAACACGGACCCCGGCGGCGTCCACGGCGTCATTGACGCGCTGTGCGACAACTTCGCGTCCATGACGACGCTGCCCGCTGACCAGCAAGACCTGCTCGGCGTGACGGAGCGCCAGCGGCAGTTGCTTGCCGACTGCCGGGGCTATCTAGAGGAATTTGTACTGGAGGCTTCGCGCGGGCAGCATGATGATGATGATGGCCTCGAGGCGGACAGCGTGCTGGCGGCCGAGTTTCTGCGGTATGCGGCGGACTGTCTGGCGCGCATCACAGGACGAGGTGAGGGAGGCGACGTGGAGGAGGTCTTGGGTGTTGTATTTGAAAAGTGAGTACCTTTGGTTGGTGAAGCTTGGAGACGATTGCTGACTCGAAGATAGATTTTGCGTGGGAAAGTAGAGAGTGTAAAATTGTAAGATATTGTACGAGTTAGCATTGGGATGGGAATTTGGCACATGTCGAGGCTGTTCTGGACTATCATAATTCTATATTTTTTTATCACTTTTGGTCTTGTAGATGAAGATGCGATATCGTATGTACATTTTTCTACTTTACTGCGTGGCGCGAAACGGTCACTCATTCGCTGCATGAAGCAGCGCATGAAGCAGCGCATGAAGCAGCGCATCAAGTAGCGCATGAGGCAACGCATGAAGCACCATCTATGCTTCCCCTCTTTTTTCCCTCAAAAAAAAAAAAAAACTCCCGAACATGACAAAGGAAGAAAACAAGTTCCCCAAAAGAAGATGCAGGCACGACCTTTTATGCCGCCTTATCCGCCTCTGCCTTTCGCGCGGCCGCCAGCCCACCGATCTTGTCCGCTGCGGCCGTCAGCGCAGGCGGGTTGGCGCCCTTGAGGTCGAGCTGGCCATGAACCATGACCTGCTTGCCGTCCTTGAAGAAGAGGAAAGTGGGCATGGCCGTGATGCCGTACTTTTGCGCAGCGTCGGAGGCCTCCTCGACATTGACCTTTGCAAAGGCAAAGTAGCCCGGGGCGGCGTGCTTGTCGGCGAGCTTCTCAAAGACGGGCGCGATGGCCTTGCAGGGAGGGCACCAGGTGGCGAAGAAGTCGACGACGACGTAGGTGTTTGCGGCGAAAACCTCGTTGAGCTGCGCGAGGGAGGTGACGTGCTGGATGGCCATGATTGGTTTGAGACGACGGGGGACTCGAGGGGGGGGGGGGGGATTGCTGGTGGGCTGTGACGGACGGCTTGTGAGGTGATGCGAGTGGATGAACGGGGTTGTCGGAGTTGACTGGTGCTTTTTTTGGAGGGAAGAAATGGGGATAGAGTTTGAGACGAGTGGATTTCGATGTTGGAAGTAAACGCCTGTTTGAGATGAATTAATCAAGGTGGAAGTCAAAAGGATCGCGCCTTCTTGTCAATGACTTGGTCGAAATGGGGGGAATCGTCCGGAGTGGGGTGGAGGACGGCTGTGTCAGCATGATGGGATGTTACCGGGAGCTAATAGGGCCACGGGTACCCGTGGCTAAAATATTTCACGGGTACCCGTGGGGATTATGTC